ATCTAAAAGTTCAAGTCTTTCTTATATTCACACGATGCAGACAAGATTTTAAAAATAAACATTGAGCATAAAACAAAAGTAAAATAAATAATTACCCAATATGCATAGTATTGTATGTACTTTATTTTACACAAAAACCATGTAAAAATCGTTAAAAATCACATATCGTTACATTTGTCTAGAGAGAGAAAACGGCTATATCCAATTTTTTTCTTTACAATAATAAATTGTTATAAAAATTCGTGGGTTATATTATAATATAATTGTATCAAAATATACTATTACATTTACATATGTTAATATGAAAATAGCGTGAGACAAGCGAGAACAAACTATATTTCGGTAACTTGTTTAAAACACATAATACAATGTATAATTGTTGTTATGGACACAAACTTTTGTAAACGTTTATATAATCATTTTCAAAATATACTGAACATATCGAATCATCGTCATCATACACACTTCTGCACGGTTTTAAGCTGGCAAATGGATTGTTATAACAGCGATTTTCTAGTGCGTTACCTAACTCAGTATTTATTATCTGATCTAAATTATTCTTTCGTGAGTAACATAAAAGAAAAGGACAATTGTGTTGAGCTATATGCTTAAGAGATGATTTCCATATAGATTGAAGTGTTTCGTAATAATCGTCATAAAAAGTATTATTATAAAATCTTATAACTAAATCTGGTCTTTTAAAAGTCGGAGCCTTTTGTACATAATCTGCGTACGATGAATTGCGCCACTCTACCATATATATTTTTTTACTTCGGTTACAAATATCACAAACCTCTTGTTTTTTCAAAAACGTAACGTGTGGTCCTATCAGGACAAGTTTTAAATATTTTAGTTTGGGAAATACGTGGTGTAGAATTTCCCACTCTTCCAAATATCTTAATTCATTAATATGCGCAGCAATAATATGAATAACTAATTCTGTCTTATTTTCCTTATACATCGGAATATAATCTAATACGCGCATTCCGTATACTATTGTCAATGGTTTGGTGAGACGAGCTGATAGGTCAATTTCAAAGAACTCAGGAGATATTTCAGGAGAGAATTCTTCCGTTTGAATATCTTTTATACCACCATAAATACTAATAAACTCCTTTATGTTAAAAAATTCCTTTTCGTAAGAAGGAACTTTCATATAAGCGCTGGTTAGAAGTGAAGTTAGCTTAACACGTAATACGTCAGTTAAGCAGCACAATCGCAGAAGGCCACAACTGTTACTATCGTGATTGTGTTGTGCACATAACCACACAGCCACGCATTCCGAACATCGTAGTAATTCATTTCTTTTGTAGCAAACTATACACATCCTTGAATATTTAAACATCTGTACTTCGTACAATTGTAAACGACGTCCCAATTTGTCCGTCACCATCTGTTTTAAAAACTCCATCATATATGGTCCTGTAAGTGCGGATAATTCACTCTTGTATGTTTCATTTACATGTTGTATAGCTTTGCATAAATCTTTATGTTTTGGCCAGTGTTCTTTCTGATGATTGCGATCACAATAGAAGATCATTTTGCATCCGCTACACTGTTTCAAATCGTTATCACCAAGTGTCTTGCAGACGTGACACGTAGTTGAATAGAAAAATTCATTTAACTCTATTGCCAACGAATAAAATTTGGAGAACATTGACAGATAATCCATTTTTGTATATTTTTACGTACACACGTGTCTGATGTTTTGCAAAAGATTAATGTTTTCAGAGGAAAACTGCGCGATAAGATATACTTGTTCTTCTACAAACGTGTCGAGCTAGCTAACAGCTATCAAAAGACAGTAGAAGAAGGTGTGCAAAGTCCGTTATTCGTTACCCCAACAAGAATGATGATATTTCAAATATCGTCGTATCTTTTCAGTATGCCAATTGACTATTAAATAGGGAATTTTAGAGCTTCAAAATTCTCTATTTAATAGCACGTATAAAAACGTGTTTTATTGTACAAATATAACGTTTAGATAATGTGTCAGTTAAGAAAAGTACCATGCAAGTAAATGAATACACGTAATCCGAAAAAAATCGAAGACAATTGTAGCGACATAATAAATTTATATCGAAGTATTTACTACAAGTATTTTAAAGAATAAATAGCGATTTGGAAGATAACTGCGACTAAAACAGCGTATTAGAAATTCCGCATTTATAAGTTACAGCACTTCATTTAAAATATAACATTAACGCTTCATTAAAAAATGTAAGAAGAAATGTATATTGCTGTAATGAACATAAATTGCTTTGTAATTTCGCATCAAGGATACAAAATTCCTATCCTAGATCATCATTCTGCATTCCGTTACACTGTTTCAAAACGATGTTATCACCGAATTTCTTGCAGATGTGACATACAGTTGCATAGAAAAATTTATTTAAGTAGCATCGGCATTGTTTACCGAAGTATTCATTTGTTTTTAATATGATTACATGTGTACAGGGTGTCTGACATTTAGTGTAAAATCTCTCGTAGGCAGGTAGAAGGAGTAAAATCGAGTCGAAAAGTTCTGAACCATTTTTTTCTATTACATATAATAAAGGAGTAATAATTGAATAAATCAAGCCAATGAGTGCCGGCCTTTAGCCGAACGCACGTCAGTGAACCACGTGATTTTCGTGTTTTTCGTTCATAACAGCATAATTGAAAAATTTTTAGAATCGTGAAAATGATCTCATAGGGTAGTTCGACGCGTCTTGACGAGCTCTATAAGTAACCAGTTTTACTTTTTTTGATATTTCGCTTAAAACTTATCGATTTTCGCGTTCAAAAGTGTGTGCTTGTACATTTTCGGCTTTAGTGGCTAAGATGTAATTGTAATACAGCCTATATAAGGCGATTTTTGGCGATCGTATGGTGTACGTATACCAAAGTGTACCAAACTATAGTTCGAGTGACTTCAAATTATAGTTTGGTACACTTTGGTATATGTACCATACGATCGCCAAAAATCGCCTATAGACTTCGTTCCGATGTTAACTGGGGTACGTTCCAAAAATCCTACCTTAGTAATTAAAACCTATAATACACGTGACGTAAAATATAGCATTTTAATCAAGGTAGTATTTTGGGACGTAATCCCGTCAGTACTAAAAATCTATAGCACGTGTGACGTGAAATATAGATTTTTAGTACTGACGGTGAATATCGGGTCACAGCCCTATTAAAGAGAAAGTCAGTACATCGGGGTGATTATATTTTTGTATATTTGTCTATTCACTTCAAGCCAATTATTTTTTTGCTGTGAAAAGTGCACAATAAAATTTATAAACCTCAGAGATGGAGTAATCTCTGAGCTCTTATGTGACGCTAAAATGAATCGCATCCTATAGGATGACCGCAACTGTTGTGTGTAACTGTTGTTTGAGGTTAAGGTTCTAAGAGAAACTGTCAGATCGAGGAAGGTCTTCGTCTATTTGACATTTCAAGAAGCTGACGGATTACGCGATAAAAAGAAACGATGGCGGGTTCAGCTCTCAGACGACTGATGGCAGAATATAAACGTAAAATTCGACTTTTTTTTTATGAGTTTCTCAGTACATTACGGTAGCGTATTAGTTTGCTTAGCGATATTATTACATAAAGTTTTCCTTGTTTTTTGTGACATCTTTCCTGTGGATTATTAATATCTGGTCTATATACTTGGTCATATGTCATGAACTTGCAGAGCTAACCTTGAATCCACCTGAGGGTATTATAGCCGGCCCGATTAACGAAGAAAACTTCTTTGAATGGGAGGCTCTCATTACGTGAGTTGTTAATATTGTTTCTTCAGAATATTTTGATTGTGTGATGTGCTATTTGTTGTGCCTCATTTTGGTGCATAATTTTATTAATCTAAGAGACTTAAATACATACATATTGTTTACATTTCAATGCAATGTAATGTTACATGATAATGAATAAACAACACTTGTTTATACGGTTGAGACGAAACTTGTAGTAATTTACCAATGATTGTTTAAATCCCAGTCTTGATATTGATGTTGAATTTTTAGTGGACCAGAAGGAACATGTTTTGAGGGTGGAGTGTTCCCAGCAAAGTTAATATTTCCTCCAGATTATCCATTGAGTCCTCCAAAGATGCAGTTCACCTGTGAGATGTTTCATCCTAACAGTAAGATTTTACACGATAAAATTTAGAAGAGACCTCTGGTTAAATTGATTCAATTTTCTGATTGTGTTCTTTCTACCTAGTATATGCAGATGGAAGAGTTTGTATAAGTATATTACATGCTCCTGGTGATGATCCAATGGGTTACGAAAGCAGTGCGGAAAGATGGAGTCCGGTACAAAGTGTGGAGAAGATATTGTTGAGTGTGGTAAGTATGTTGGCAGAGCCGAATGACGAAAGTGGAGCCAATGTAGATGCGGCTAAAATGTGGCGAGAAGATCGCAGCGAATTTGAGAGAATAGCACAGAAGCTAGTGAGAAAGACTCTGGGTATTCCGCCTTAGAGCAAAGTGATAAAATAAATTTATTAAATAAGAGAAGGAAGAAAAAAATATGACAACTGTTACGTTTATGCGACTGAGTAGCGCTTTCCTGTGTAAAGTAATAAAATTTTTATCTGTGTGTAGCACATCACAATCTTGTTAATTATTATTTCTCCTTCAACATATTTTGTTGATTATTTATATTAAATATTAAACTTAGAAGAGATTCTCTGATTCTTTCTTTGGTGTTTTCGAGCGTTACAAAAATCAGCGGATGTTAATCTCAAAAAATGTATTTTAGTTTCAACATTGCAGTACAAACATGGGTAATCAAATACGTATGCTGTTACCTCATACGCTTACATATACCATTCCATCGTGACAAACCGATAACGAAGGACAGGATTCACTTCTTATGTTTGGATGCGTGATTGACGCGTTTAAGTGTTAGCACTTAAAATTACCAACTGATCCCACGAATTACTCTACAGCGATGTTAAAGTAATTATCACATTTTTTTCGCAGGTGTTGTGTGGTTTTTACGTTATATAACCGCGTTGTAAATTTACATCGGTGAGAAACTTAATACTAATTAATCGACTAATATATTTGAATATATATCCTTTCTCTGTGAAAAGAGGATATAAAAATTAAAAATAATGATATTTATATAATATTTTACAAAGATGTGTGTATTACGCGTGTGTGTTTACAAAATAACAAGCGGAGCAGTTATTTGTATTCTCTCACTGAAAATGTTTGTCAGAAAACTCATGATTTTTATTAACACAAAACAAAAGAAAACGAGCTAAACTCGCAGTCTGTTACTCCTACTGTTATTTCTACAGAATGATGAGCGTCGATCGAGAGAAATATCGACGCGCGATTGCAGTAGAAATTCCGGAACGTATATAAATTTGTCGCATTATATGTACAAAATCAAAACATCCACAGCAGACGTCTGATTATCGTGCACATTCCACTCTGATAACAATCGAACTTGGTGACAAAAATGCGGGGTATCTCGCCTAAAGCGACGTAATTCAAAGCGATCAAACGATTTAGTTGAAAAGAAAGCGATTGGATTTTTAAGAAAGTTTTAAGAATAAAATTCTTTTCGAGAAGATTTTTCACGCAGTGAATTTAACTCGCATTCTCTCAGATACTGGCGTCAAAAATTGCTTTGCGCAAAACACCCCGCACGTTAGACTAGAATAAATCAATTAATACACTTTATATTATCGTATACGATAATTGATCATTGCGATCGAATTGTGGATCTGACATCAAGGATCAAACAAGTCTATGTTTTAAAGTGATTATAGATTTTATTGAGTCCGTTCGTGTCTAGATTATACGCACAAGAAGCACAACTGAAGAGGTTTTTTTTTTTTTTGCCAATTCGGCAGAACTTGAATCAGTGACAAAACTTCATCTTTTTTTTTTTTTTTTCGCTCTCTCCTTTCGCACTCAAAACTTTAAAAAGTACACTCGCTTGTTCCTTGCTCACTTCCCTGTTCACTTTCTTCCTTTGTTCTTGGATCAAAAACGTTAGAATAAATAGAAAAAACTTCGCATGGTAATTGATATTTTATTAGTAAACAATACTGAAGTCCAACTAAAAAGAAAATGCGGTATTTGTGACTAGCATTCAGCAATTATTCATAAATAAGATTTTTTTTATGTTAACTGGGGTTTGTACAGCCGAAGTACAACATCTCGTGAGTTTCTCTATCAAGTTTTTCAATCTCCTTGACCAACGTTACTCCGTAAAACAATTTTGTTTTCTTTCGCAAACTTCGAATATTTCTATCTAAACGGGGAACACACAAAAATTCGTACACGATACTAAACTTGTGTGTGAATTAAAAAAAAAAAAAAAAAAAAAAAACAGTTACAACAATAAAAAACTTTGTACGTTCGACGCGAGATCGCACAGATGTTGTACTCTGGATACAGCTGCATATACTTTGGCATACGAGAGAGGATGCAAATTTTGTTGCATTTACATTCTGTGCCAAGCGATTGTATCACCGATCTCTGGATCCAACTTGGATCTCTCGATCGGATATCGGAACGAATTTTTACAAGCATTTCTCACAACCAGAATCGGAAAGCTTCTCGTTTTTTTTTTCTTTCGCGCTTATAATTATCCCGCAGATTTAAGCATTAAATATTTTATTACTAGTTTAGTCGGAGAACTTAGAGCACAAGATTTATATACGCGCGCAACAGAGAGTGTCGGGATATATTCCTTACGCGAACATTCGATTCGTCTTAAAAAGTTTGTAAATGTGTTTCGCTCGACGCGAGACTGATTTTTAATCACTCGCACGTCCGTCCGTTTATCAGTAATATCACATTTCGCTGAAAGAAGTGTACATTCAAAAGCAATCGCACCTCGCCAGTGCCGACGATCACAAATGTTACAAATATACAAAAACATTTGACACGTACACTTCCCTAATTCACACGCAGTATTTGTGATCGACAATAACGAAGACGGGGATTTGAGCTACTTGGACGAGTCTCGCTCGGACTGCGAACGTGTCGCTAATTACGTTTAACGAATGCGAGAATTCGAAGTTTCTTATCTCATTTCAATGCCGATTGTTTTAGTCTCAAAAATAGCACGCTTCGATTTTGCTGCACGGTTTGCGTGCTTGTCACGCGAGTTCGTACTTGACAAAGACGAATATTCTCTTCAGTCTTGGACACGTCGCAGCCTTCGAGGGCTCCCGCTTGGCGCAGAACGCTGTCTGTTCTTACAATTAATTTTTTAGAGCCAGTTGCACCAACTCTGGTTAACATCCGATCGTAGCGTTTATCTGCGATTAAATAAACATTCTTTATTTACACATTATTGGCTAGGGCTACTATATTTGTAAGCAATTAACCAAGATATTAATTTGAACTAAACGTTAAAGATCTAAAATTGCACTAACATTAGCTTTACCGGTTCTTGATTAAAACCTATTTTGTAAAATATATAATTCTAATTGATCAATTTAATAAACAAATAAGAGTTACCTTACTTAAAATACTTAATACTAATTAAATTACTTAAAATTTAAACATATTTTAACATAATTGATTTGAATAACGTAAGTTAATTAACATTTATTAAATTTAATGGAAACTTTTTTTCTATTTCTACTTCTATCAATTAACCAAGTCTGTTAATGCAACTGACTCTTAAAACATAATCTTATTAAATAAGACACGCTCCATTATATAACAACTAGAATTTTTTCACAGACGAGGACGCAAGTCTCTCTCGCTCTCTCTTTCACACATATGCGCTCTTTCTTTCTCCCTGTGTTTATTTTGTGTGTGTCTATGTGTTGTGCGCCCAACTTTTATATATATATATATACACATATATTTATATATATGTATATATATATATATATATATATATGTATGTATATGCCCACGTAAATATGTTCATTATAAAACCTTACTAATTCTGCTTTATATGTATATATATACCTCCTTCTGTGACTATGAGGTATTGTGCCATTATTAACTATATGCACATGCCTTACACATTCCACGAAGGACTTTCCCTGGACGATCTCGTTAATATTAATAGTAATCGTGTAATTGTAAAATCTACCTGGTGGATATAAAATTTGTCCATGTACGCGTATACATGCGTTTTTGTGTAGTGCATGCGTATGTATGTGTGTATGTATGTGTGCGTGTCACTTTACCAAAGCGCAAAAATCCGAATTCCAAACGACACACTTTCTGATTAAACCTACTTATATCCGTATATCATATATATATATATATATATCTCAAAAACTCAGTTAACAAACCACTTCTCGATGTCAATGTAATATATACGAAAAAGAAAGCAGAAACAAAAATTAAAATAAAAACAGAGGACTTTTACGTAAAACATATCTTCTCTCACGACACTCGGCTACAAATTGCGAGAGGAAAAACTTGCTTTTTGGAAAAGATCCAATATACTAATGCCACGTTATTTAAGCTCTAGGAAATATTGAAGGATGAAAATTGGTCGGAGTAAATTTCTCGACTTCTCCAAAAAAAGTTTTGGAAAATTTATGTCACTTTTTCAGTTTTCCCTCGAGAAAACATACATAGAAATAAAACAATAAAATTATTCGTAAGAAATTACAATGAAAATACAAAAATAATTATTCGATTCTGATATTTTCCCTACGGCCCGATTGATTTCTCGACGAGTGTCTTGTTTGACTTGAAACCTCAAGTATAAAACCACGAATACTCTAAATGAAAAGTTATTATTGTAATATTCAATTTCACATAGCACCAGTCACTAATACGTTTCACTAGTTCCCGCGTTCAATTAAATATTAATTAGTTTTAAAATTAGCTAGTCAAACGAACAAGAAATCAATGCAATGCTGAAAATTGTGCATTACATATTTTTTTTTTTTTTTATTATTTTTTTTTTATTTTTTTTTATAGCTAAACCCTTTACATATTGCCAGAATTCCCTTTGGTTATATATATGTACATGTAAGAGCTTTTGTAATGGAGAGACCACTTTCACTAATTTCACATGATCGATTCGTAAAAGCAGACCAAAAATTCTCGCAAAAATGTGTGTATGGCACACGCACTCTTTTCAAATTTGTAGTATGATTAAGCAACGCAAGTTCCACAATACAAATCTTATTCTTGTTCAGAAAGGAGATACAAATATTTTGTAAGTGTCGCAAACAACATTTAGGCAATTCGCTAGTTCTGTCGGAAAGCGCGAAAAAATCGATTGTTCTTTTTTTCGATTAAATTAGGTAATTTGAAATACACACACGAACAATGATATTGCAGCTCTAGATATACGGTACACACTAAATTTTCCTATTTTGTTTTTTTGTTTTTTTTTTTTTTTTGCATTGACATTTAACAATATTTGTTTTACGAATCGATACGCGTCGTCAAAATCAAAATCACAGCAAAATTGTTAACTTTATATTATGTTATGTTGACGCAAGTAAAAGCTTAATTACGTCAAAAAATCAAAGTTTTAATAAAATGTAAGTAAAACTTCCATAAAAAATTTAATTGATGCGAGTTACTGCAATAATTAATTAAACCATTGATTATGTAACGAACAAATAACAAAATTAAATTGTTGCACGATAGATAAAACTTTGATTATACAATGTGTACAAGTATAATAAAAAGATTCTCGTACTTAAGCAAAATAATAATTATATTATGAAAATAAATTATTGCACGCGTCAGTCATCCAAAGTCACAAAGACAAAATTCCGCGTTCAAGCAGAACTTTGCTCAAGTAACTATTGAATTCTTGAGCGTCAACAAGTTTAAGTTGAACAAAAACTTATGTTTTGTTGAAAATTCAATTAACCTGTGAGTTAAATTCGCGCTAAAGTCGGTGCCGGCGTTCAACGCGAGTGTCTGTACAGGGAGCAGATTGGAGGAAAACAATCACACAGCTGTGCCTCACGAGAGGCCTTGCGGTGTGAAGCAGATCTTTTCGAGTTCACCGGTCGACGAACTGACCGGTGACTCGGCTCGGTCGTCTTGCTCGGCCGCGAGTTGCTCGCTGTAGTAATGCGGCGTGCTTAGATAGTCAATAAGCCGGCGAGGTAGCGGCAATGTCGGTATCAAATCCCTACGCACCATTTTCAGAATAACAAATCTGCAGGTGTGCTGCAAACTTTGCACTTGCTTGAAACGCGATACTGGATGGAGCAGTTGCACTCGCATTGGACCCAAGACCGGTCGGCGGTGCAGGAAGAAGAGGTAGCGACCGCTACGTGAGTGCTCGACCGCGTTCTCAATGAAATCAACAATCGTGTGTGACTTGAACTTGGTGCAACTGCCAAAGCTGAAATTACCTGCCATCGAAAGAAATCAATTTAAAATGAACGTATTTAGAACACCGGCTTTGAAAACAAAATTTTGCACGTAATAAAACTTACCCTGATCATGTTCTATTCTTACGTGTCGCACGCAACTGTTGAGTCTGAACGACAAAGAGAAGATATAGTGATCATCGCTACTGTCCCGTACGATGAACGAGCCGTCCGGCTCATTGGACAATATTTTCTCCGCTGCTTCGCCGGATATGGGTCCCCAGTACCATCCGTACTATATTAAAAAAGAAATATTACTTAAAAATAAAATATATATGAATGTTTTCGACACTCAAGTGCTCTATAAGAAAGAAAATCTTACATCCTTCACTTTCTCAATACTGGCGGCAAAGTCCATACTGGTATCCTCTACGGTCTCCTCTTCGGGTCGCGCGATGGACGGCGGGACTTGTTGTTGCACCGAGCTCGGAGACTCGCACTTGGGCGCCATTGCCGTGAGGGCTTCCTCCGCCTGTTCTACGCCCACTTGACTGTTACTCTTCGGTAGAGGTGGCAAGGCGCGTTTGAAGAACGGCAACTTCTGCGCGGACGGCTCCGTCTCAGACGTAGCGGTATTGTTGTTGTTCGCATGTTGATCGGAATCGACGCTCTCCTCCTCCTCGACGATCTCTCCTTGCACGATGCTGTTACGTTTCTCCACAAAGTGATCCGGCGACCCCAGCCGTCGAAATCGAAAGATGTTGCAAAGCGTCTGTTTGAGATTCAATGAGAAATTACGCTGGCTCTTCTTCATTTTTTCCCGCTCGGATTCGCTCTTTTCCTTGTGCGATTCGTCGCGGGCTTTTTTGTGCCTGATACCGACGAACGCGTTCCTCTTGTGCTTTTTCGCATTATTGGAATTATTGTTGTGATTGTTATTATTGTTGTGATGATGAATCATCAGCCCGTTGCTGGTGCTCTTGTTGGACACCGGCGTGTCCGTGGACGAGTCTATGTGCGCGTTATTATTATACCTATTTATTAAATATCTCATTAGAGATTATTTATAGATATATAGATTATTTATAAATATACTGTTAAATCGCTATTTTAACATCAATTTAGCAATAATGGAAAATCTATATTGAAACGTAAAATTTAACCGTAAAACCTGATTATGACTTTTGTAGAATAATAAGCAAATTATTTTTCTCCAAACAAGAAGAAAATAATATACTTTTCTTAAAAAGCTTTTGCACCCACCTATTATTATTATTTACACTAAGAGGTTTGGGTGTAGCAGCCAGATGCACCGGTGTATGACCTAGCATCGGTGCTTTGTCTCGCTTGATCTTGTTCTCGCTGGAATCGCTCGAGCTCGAGTACAGCGTCTGCAGGTACTGTCGCACCTCGTGCAACGTCATGTGAATCGGCTCGCCGATATTGTGAGCGTGACCGTTCGATGTTCTGACACTGTGACGACCAGAAGTACCCGGCACACTGTGCCGTTTGCCACCGCCGCTCCCGCCAGTGCCACCGCCGCCACCACCGCCACTATTACCGATACCGGGATTGCCCTCGTTGCAGCACACGTCAGCCAGCAAACGCTGCGATTTAATCACATGCGTGATGGCACGGGACTTGCCGCAATAATGGCGCGCTTGCTGGATGTGCGCTTCCAGCTCGCTCTGCGAACTCGCGGAAACATTTCGCCGTCTTTTGCGATGATGCCGATGCCGTTTAGGCCGTTGCGGGGTCCGCAAATCGTGCAACGGTCGCACCACGTCAATCGGCACCGTGTAGATGTCCGAATCAAACGGCACGTTGTACATGTCGCTGATCTCGCTGGTAGTCAATACGTCGTGCGACATTGCGGACGTGATAAAGCTACTGTCATCGACTTTGTGACCGAGTCCGGTAGTGTTGATAGAATTGTGCGAGCTGGACAACCGCGAGGAGGCCAGGGAGCACCGTGAGTTCGGTCGGTTTAGCGTGTTGTACGGAGTGATGGTGATGGTAGCGGCACTTTGACACACCGGCGGCGTTATCAAGTCCCACATACGCTTAGGATTGGTCTGTTGGACCCGCGTCACTACTGGAATCGCGATTGTCGCTTGTGCAATTCTTCCCTCAGGCCAAGAGATACGGCAAGAAATAGCTAATGCTTCTTCCACTATTGACTGCATCAGATTTTCAGCGTAATCGTCGATCCAACTTGGCGTTTTGCGTCTCATCAGACGTGCGTAGCTAAGAATCGGCGCCGATAGAGACTCCGAGTCCGGTGGCGATGGACTATCCTGAAATTCTGGTGGGGGTTTGATCGCAACATCAACCACTTCAACCTCCAACTTGCCGTCTCCGTCGCCCCAACCTGGGCCTTTCTTCAGAGTGTTGAAGTTCTCGCCGCACATGCCGTCTGAATAATCAAAGGAATCTTGCGATAGAGATTTACTCTCTATGTCACTTTCCTGCATCTGAAATAAATTTTTATCATTACATTTTCGTATTGTTCGCGATGTTGTTTTCGCGTGTTATGAAAATTTTGATGACATTTGAAAATTTTCCAAAATCCGAAGCAATCAAAACTACCTCCATCACAAGATGCGCTCGAACGGAATCACTGGAAATTGAACCCCCCAAACCACTGCTACCAAGATCACTGAGAGGCCCAGCGCTTAGTGAACATGACGGTGGGGAGTCCATCTCAGATTTCGTTTGGCTTAACTGCGCACTGAAAAGTTTACAGCAGACGCAAGTCTTTATATTTCCATATCGCTCCCTGCAAATTTACAACATGAATGTTAATTTTTTTTTTTTTTTTTTTTACATTTTCTTCATCTTTCAGATTTACGCTGTAGATACTTAACCTGGAACAAGATGCTATAGGCGATAAACGACTGCTTTGCGATATCCATATTCATACATTCACTTGTACTTCTTGCATGGTCCATTATTAAGGAAACCCGGCAATAATATAAATTATTTCAAAATTAACACAGTCGACAAACCTACAATCATACAAAACAAGATAAAATGCATTTTGTAAGTTCTCAATGACGCACGTGTGTATATACCGCAGATTAAATCCTTATATAAATGCGTGCAACTACAGATATGAATCATAACAATTGATCCTTTTAAATCATTTTGTCCTTGATCACAGCAGCACATTGAAGGTCTCAATAAAAGAGTCAGACATATCAAAAAAAAAAAAAAAATCCACCAATTAAACAAACTTTCCGGTGTTGCACATTACGTGCGAATCGCACTCTATCGAACAGGCTCCGGATCTGTTAATAAATTAACTGGAATTTTTGGCATATATTAACATTTTTACTCGACAGCTAACCAAAACTGCGGATTCGATGACGTGAGACCGCCGAATGAGACCAAACTCGCGTGTGGATGTCGACGTCGAGAGACAGTTCGGGACGACCGAGGAAGACGAAGACACGAGGAGAAAGAAAGAGAACGTGGGAACGTGGCGTTTTTTAGCCACGTTAAATCTGAAATATCTCTGTCGACGAGAAATCGTTCGGCGAACGGCGGCTGAAACTTGCGCCCGGCGAACGGGAATTTGATTCCGCGTTTGATATAAAATCGCGTCGCGCTCTCGTCGAGAGATAGACGTCGGTGTCGTTTCAGGTTCGACACGGAGACAGAAGTGAGGCGGGTGCCTCGGCGACGTCGTAGCGCTTACCTCCGCGCTAAATTGGCCGCCACGGCACGCTCGCGAGTCCAGGACCTTCGTCGTAAATTTGTCGCGCAAGGGTATTGCCGCTCATGATCGCCGCATGACGCGCGCGGACCCACGCCGGGCTCCAATCGATATCTGCGAGACAACACGGAGCACCCTCACGTTTCGCCTCGCACCATGTTCGGTTCGGTCCGGTTCGCCGTGTTCCGGAGCGTCACGCCTAGGCAACCGGCGTTACCAACCCTCGATTCGCCAGAAAGAGACCGAGGGGTATTTTAACGGTCACCCTCCAAACACATAACCTCGAACTCTCGTTTTCCTCTTCTCTCTCCCGTTCTCTCCGCACACTCGGCTAGCTGCAAAAAAAGGGAGAACGAGAAGGACGACAGATCGAGATATCTCGAGAGAGAGAGAGAGAGAGAGAGAAAGCGACCCTTTTAAAATCCCTCGATCTCCCGACACGCCGTACCAATATCGCCGCGCAAAATGTCCTGCCAACGTTCTTTCCTCGGGTTTACCATCGATCTGTAATACAGAACTCTACGTGAACCCCGTTTGGTAAAAACACAACACCGTTCAATAATTCGCACATTCATCGTGAATGTAAAAAAAAAAAAAAAGGGTATAAGGTGAGAGCAAGGTCGGGTGGAAGAAGGGGAGTGGGAATCGGTAGGAGGCAATATAACATATGTGTTTTTTTCACGCAGGTGGAGTGAAGGAAGGAGCGCAGAGAAGAGAATGAGGGTGGAAGAAGGAGACCCCGGGTAAAAGCGACACCAATGTGGTATTTGGTCTCTCGTCGAGCTCGGAGGAGGCAATGTGCGGAGCTCGCGCGACACGAGTGTACACGTTCTCAAAGACGGACCGAAAGAGATTTGGCAAGTTTAGCTCGGCGGTGAAACGTGACTGATTGCACAAGCGCGGTGAGATAATAGACAGAGCAAAAGACCTTTTGAACTCTTTGATTGATTTTGTGTCGTGCTTGACAGGTGTCAAGCGAGTTTCGCGCCTCGCTCTTGGAATAAATAATCCAAATACAAATAGGATGACGTAAAACAGAACAATATTATATTGAGTCGAATGTACATATGTAAAGAGTGTATTAGAAGTTAAAAAAAAAAAAAAAAGAAACAAATCAAAGAAAATTACACAACGATGACGTTGCTGCGACAGTTTGCGGATTTGCTGAGTTTGATAACAATAGCTATGTGCTTCGTGCTGAAAATTCCGCAAATATTGAAATTAATTTCCGTGAAATCGACCGACGGAATTTCCATGACGGGACTGATTTTGGAACTGACGAGGTAATTTTTCAATAATTCTTTGTTAATTTTTTATTTTGCTTTTGTTTTTTTTTAATTTAGTCCTTTCTCGAGAGAAAGGAGAATAAATAATCAACTTGACTCTCTCTTTCGTCTCCAGTTACACCGTGATGACCGGTTACAATTACACTAATGGATATTCGGTACTGTCTTACTTGGAATATCCGATAATATTGGCGCAGGAATACGTACTGATATTTTTCGTACTGAAGTATAAGAACAAGCTCAACATGTGGTCTCTCGCGTGCGCCGTAATATACTTTCAATTAACTGGCTGTTTGTTGTTGAAAATTATCCCAAAAATTGTACTTACGTTTTTGGCGGTCAGTATGAGAACAATTAAAAAAAAAAAAAAAAAAAACGTCCCGCTAATACCGTTCGCGAGACGTAATTTTAACGAAGAATGCAATTGAATTTTTTAGCCGATGTGCACTCCAATTTCCGCTTCCAGTAAAATGGTCCAGCTGCTAGCGATACTCAGAGCCAAAAACGCGGACTCGGTATCGCCTCTTACGTGGTTCATATCTACCTTCACAAACTTAAGTAAGTTTTTGATTTTTTTTTTTTTTTTTGAAGAACATGATGATGATAAGACAAAAAATAAATATCACACAGTACTCAAAAAAAAAAAAAAATTAAATTAATTTACTAATTTCCAGCGAGGGTGTTTACGATATGGATGGACTCGGCCGACGTGCTCTTGCTGGGAAACTTCGTTATCTCGGTGCTTCTGAGTTCCAGCATCATGTTCTCCGCGATTTATTACAGAAACCGCGCGGTGAAACAGGATTGAACGAGCGGAAAATTGCGCGACACTGTTTTCTAGTCAGAAACGTACGATCTATTGAAATTTATCAAATACATATATATTTTATCTTATCCGCATTCTGTCTCGCGCGCAAATTTTTTGTCCTCGATTTTGTTCCCACGTTCCCCCCTTTCCCCCCATCGCCTCCTCGAGAAAGAGATATTTCGAGAGATTTGTAAAAATTATGCGCACGATTGTTTAAAATATTTATCTTATATTTTTTTTTTAGATTAAATTGTCAAATACGACAAAGTAATTTGCAAGAGAAAAAAAACTGAGATTTTTTTTTACTCGAAAGACGATCGTCGCTCAATGTCGCTTTTGTATCTGACAGATCGATCTAAGCTGCGAGATAATCATTTGAAACCCGCTAACAAGATTCTATTCTGTGAGTATATTATGCACATCCGTGTGTGTATACGAAGAATGCCATGTGGTCTCCATCTACACGGACTATTCCTTCCAAATCAGTGATCTTCAAAGTTTCGCTTCGATCGCATTAATTTCAATCAGAAAATAACAAGCAATGTAGAGGTAAATTGCACACAAAAAATGTTTACATTTGTTTTAAAAACAATATTTAAAACTTGTGTGTAAATCGCACAAAAGTATGTGTAATCTTTGTTTGTGCGACAATTATTTGTAAACAGTTGTCATTTGGGGAAAAATATTTAAAAAAAATGTACATAAAAGCGCGTAAGCATATACGCGTGAAAATATTGTGATAAAGTTTGATCTGTCACCTTTCTATTTGTTTTCAATTTTTAATTTATCTCTCTTTCAAAAACCTGTTTGAACGAAACAATACAGGGTGTTTGAGCTGCGGTCCAAGGGAGTCTCGTGATCCGGCTTGAAGACCACTGATCTGTTCCGCCCCCACCGAGCCTTCTCCTTCTCATCTCGACGGCGTTGGGTGAATTCCTCGGTCGGGACAGTCGACACCGAAAAGGCGTGCTGGCATCATCGCCTCTCTCACGATAGAAAAAGAGAGTGAGAGAGGGACGGAGAGGCGGAGAACGTGGAGTGAAGAGAAGAAGAAGAAGAAGAAGAGAAAAAAAAGGAACAGTGAAGCATATAAATTTTTCGAGGAAAAAGTAGCTGTGTCGAACTTCCTTCTGACGGTCAGAATGCAGTTACCGGCAATTCTTGCCGGTGTTCTGCTCGTCGTTCGACTGTCCGGCGGTGAGATCCTGACGCCGCCATACTTCAATCTGGCCGAGGGCAAGGAGATCGTCGCCTCGGCTACGTGCGGCGTCGACACCCCTGGACCAGAACTCTACTGCAAGCTTGTCGGCGCGAACGCCGATCAGGACGAGAATATCAATCTGATTCAGGGTCAGGTGAGCGCGCGAGCGACATGTGTACCTGAAAAAAAAAAAAAACAAAAAAAAACAGCCGGTGTTTCAAAAAAATTTTATGTAGAATCATTTGTTGAATTATATATTATAAATTTTGGAGTACTCGTCAAACTTTCCATCGAAATTTAAATTAATCAAATCTGCATAATTTTCTTAAATGTGTGAGAATGTTAAACTAAAACAGATTGTTTATATTAAAAAAAAAAAAAAAAAAGAAACCAGACTTTCTTGCGCGCACGCGCTCTCCGAATTAATATTTGAGAATACAAGTGTGTTGTATGTTGATATTAAATTTTTACAACGTACAAATAACGCGCCGCGGTTTGATATGAATAATCGTGTGCCGCGGATAAGTCACACGATATTTTTGTCTTCATTATATATACGCGCCGAATTTTATCTACTATCATTAGATTCCGTGAGTCCAAGAGTTTATCAGTCCCGAGACATCGACCCGCTTTAACTTAAGTAATATACTTCCTTTTCTTATTCTTTTTCGTGTGTTAAGAAACTACATCTCATCGGAATGTGATACTCGTATAAACATTTATAAATATAACCGTGCGCTCTTTCTGTTTCTTTTTATCTCTCTTTCTGTCTCTCTCTGTCTCTCGGGAATTACGAGATGATAAGGAACAAGTAATTGCCTTTCTGTGCCCCTTGAGAAACGTGAATAAAATCATTCATGAAGAAGTCAAATCTCGTCACAATTTTGCACATGAGAAATTTTGACGATGAACAGTTTCGCCGTTTTGTCTCACACGTTACCTTTTCACCGGTTGAATGAAATAATTAACAATTAAGTGTTTGTTAGTTACAAAATTACGATACGCTCAATTCTCGTAAATATCATCTCACATTGTGCGTTTATGCGAGTTAGAGAAACCGACACACGAACCAGAAGCAGAATGTCCGATAAAGCGGAAGATAAGGGGATGACCCCTTAATGACTCGCGATCGTGCATTCGAAATTAGAGACTTTGTATGTTTCACGGATGACCTACATAAATCATATCTTATCTTTTGGTGATCATTCATTAAATATTATATTGTAGAAGATTAAAATTTTAAATAGATATTTTATTACAAAAGGAAGAATTAAATAATTGTATTAAATAATTTTCTCTCGCGCGCGCGCGCGCGAAAGAAATTTTTCTTACGCGAAGCTCTTATGTAAATTAGATATTTAAAATTACTTAGATTCGATTGATCTATCAGTCTTTAAACCTCATAAGAGACAATGAATTTTATATCTTGTGTTTTGAGAATGAAAAGATTTTTATCTTTTTAATAAATAAAATCTTCACAAAAAAAATATGTTGTTACGGCAAGTGCACAGGCAGCAATCGGCGAAGCGTTCGACGAACGTGGTAGGTCCGCTTTAATTAATCAATTTTTTGTGATTTTTCCGACAGGTGTGCGATTATTGCGATCCCGATAATCCCGAAAAGAAGCATCCGCCCGAATATGCGGTGGACGGCATGGAAACCTGGTGGCAGTCGCCACCTTTGTCCAGAGGAATGAAATATAACGAAGTGAATTTGACGATCAACCTGGGACAAGTGAGAGTTTTCGTTAAATATTATTATTTAGATTATTGTGTTTGACAAAAAAGAGCTCGTCTACCAAAGCGCGTTAAAAAAAGAATTTGTGTGATTTAGAGAGTAACCGTATGCATATATAGAAACTGCAGGAAACGATGAGACACGATGATTCTTTTATCGGCGACATAAACATTCTATCGCGTAGGTAGGCGTTTTCCTGCAAGTAGGAAGATTTATCGTCCGGTTGCTTCCGGAGAAACAATGAGAAATTTGCAGCCTGAAGACAAACTCTAGAAAATGAAACTTCGAACGATACGAGATGTTCTTTTCGTTGTCGAAAATTTTGTTTCGCAACGGTTTCTTCAACAATTTTCTCCCGCATCTTATCTACTTGTCAACAAAATATTGGTTTTTGTCAAACATTTGTTATTTGCGCGGAGAGAGATTGTTGTATAATTTATAACGATGATGCAAACACATTGTCTTGAACGCGTTGCAAATAGTACTGAAACTTTCTCAATATCGATCTTAATACCTGATGCAAAGCAAGCCGTCGAACGAAGAGTCGACAATGTTAGTCGCAGTCTGTTTCTCGCGGCGCACGACAAAAACGTCTGTTTTCCGCTAATCATCTTTCTAGGAAGAACTCATTTGCACTATCATTTCGCCGTGCGCGTAACTCTTTCTCTTCTCTCCGTCTCTCCTCTTCTCTTTCTTCTCCTCTTCCTTCTTCAATAACGTAATTGCAAACTTTTGTAAAATATCACGCATCTTCTTTTTCGTATTTTTTTCTACGATCCTTTCTCGTCTGTTTTTTCTTCCTATTAAGAAAAAAAAAAAACAGAGCAAAGAATGAAAAAATAATTGTTTCGATTAAAAATTACCGCAGGAGTTTCACGTCGCTTACGTTTACATACGGATGGGCAATGCGCCCCGTCCGGGGCTCTGGGTTCTGGAGAAGTCCAAGGATTACGGCAACACTTGGTCACCCTGGCAATATTTCTCAGATTCCGCCAGCGATTGTCTGACGTACTTCGGTGTGGACAGCCACACGCCGATCACACGTGACGACAGCGTGATCTGCACCACGGAGTACTCGCAAGTGGTTCCGCTCGAAGGCGGTGAGATTCCGATCTCGATTTTGAACAATCGGCCGTCGGCGAAGCACTACTTCAACTCGACCCTCCTGCAGGAATGGACGCGGGCGACCAACGTCCGCTTTCGCTTTCTCAGAACGAAGAATCTGTTGGGCCATTTGATGTCCGTCGCCCGTCAGGATCCAACTGTTACCAGAAGAGTAAGTGATACTGATACGCGATAAGAGCAACGTTATATTTGTCATTTGTTAACACGAGTCTTTGTTTGTTAGCGAGCGGAGGAAATTCGGTAAGCGCGTTTCGAGAGATACGATTTCTGTTCGATTTTTCGTTTTTTATTGAAATTTTATTGATGTATTCTTGTAGTTCAAGCCGATTCTTCACAAGCAAATCAATCTGTTCGCAGTATTTCTATTCGATCAAGGACATCAGTATCGGCGGTCGCTGCATGTGCAACGGACACGCGGACACTTGCGACATTCAGGATCCCAACATGCCGAAGAAGCTGGTCTGTCGCTGCCAGCACAACACATGCGGGCCTCAGTGCGCGACGTGTTGCAAGGGCTTCGAGCAGAAGAAATGGCGACAGTCCACGGCGTTCCAGAAATTCACGTGCGAACGTAAGAACAATTCGCTTCCTCATTGTCATCGAGAAGAAAGATTTCGCGCGCTCGTACGTATTAAAGAAACTGTCAAAAATCACTCTTTTGCAGCCTGTAACTGTTTTGGACATTCGGACGAGTGCGTCTACGATCCGGAAATCGACGAGAAACACTTGTCGCTGGACATTCACGGTAATTACGACGGCGGTGGGATCTGTAAGAATTGCAGACATAACACCGAGGGTATCAACTGCAACCGCTGCATGCCCAGGTTCTACAGGCCTCACGACAAACCGCTCAACGCAACTGACGTGTGTCAACGTAAGTTTGTTTCGAATTTGAACTCTTTCGATATTTCTCGAAACTTTTTTAAACATTTGTTTTCTCATTGAATCAGCTTGCAACTGCGACTTCTTTTATTCGACCGGGAATTGCGCCGATTCCACCGGGAAGTGCGAGTGCCGGAAAGAATTCACGCCGCCAAACTGCGACTCCTGCAACTACGGATACTTCGGCTATCCCGATTGCCGACCGTGCGAGTGCAATTTGCAAGGCACTGATGGTTATCACTGCGAAGCGACGGACGGCTACTGCCCTTGCAAGCTAAATTACGCCGGTCATTACTGCAACCTCTGCGCGGAGGGATATTACAACTTCCCCGACTGCTTACGTGAGTTCAATTTTTATCTCGAGATAAAAGATCGAAAAATAATGTTATAACCGTTTTTTTTTGCTTTGCATTTCAGCTTGCAATTGCAATCCTCTGGGTGCTTTGAGCGACGTCTGCGACGTTGTGTCGGGCAACTGCACGTGCAAGAACAACTACGGAGACAGAACATGCGACATTTGCGAGGATGGTTACTTCAATTATCCACTTTGCACATGTACGAAAATATTTGATATCTGTTGGTATTTATATCTTGAGAAAATGCAGCGTATTGGAATATCACCGTTTGATCGAGATTGCATGTGACTTAAAAAACGAAACTAAACAAACAAACGTATCGTTAAATCTATGTTTTATCCGATAACAGACACATGGTGTTTTTGTACAGTTTGTAATTGCGATGCGCGTGGAACAGAACCCGGTATTTGTGACAAGAGAGATGGCGTTTGTCTGTGCAAGGAGGGATACGGCGGCAGCAGATGCGACCAATGCATTCCTGGCTACTACGGTTATCCCAATTGCAGACCGTGCAACTGCAGCACCGTTGGCTCGTCATCTGTCAGCTGTGACGCCACGGGCAAGTGCTCGTGTCTCGCCAGCTTCGCCGGGAGAACGTGCAATCAGTGCAGTCCAGGATACTACAAATATCCGGAATGCATCGGTGCGTGATGTACATCAATTACATTCCTCTTGTTGGAATGTCTCCAGCTGAATCGTATTTTTACAACAACATTTGTGTTTTTTCCTGTTTATCTTTTCTTCTTCCTTTTGAGTGTAGCTTGCAATTGCGATAGTCACGGCTCGATTGGTGTGTCCTGTGACGGCGAGGGCAAATGCCAGTGCCGCGAGAATTTCGACGGTATCAGATGCGAACAGTGTAAAGAAGGCTATTACAATTTCCCCACTTGCGAAGGTTGCAATTGCGATCCGGCTGGTATAGTCGCGACCTTTCAAGGTTGCGGCTCTCTGCCACCCGGCGAGCTTTGCCAGTGCAAGGATCGGGTTGAGGGCAGGATATGCAATCAGTGCAAACCGCTCTATTGGAATCTGCAACCTTACAATCCAGACGGTTGCGAAGGTTGGAAATTATTAATATGTACATTTCGTGACGTACTTTTTTATGTGAGGAATGATCGTTTTTTTTCTATCATAAAGCATTATTTGTATTCAAGAGTGCCAGTGCAATATTCCCGGAGTTATCGGCGGCATCGGTGAGTGCGATACGAAGAGTGGACAATGCATATGCAAACCTGGTGTGACCGACAGAGGATGCACACGGTGCATCGATGGAACATATAATCTTCAGGAAAACAATCTCTTCGGCTGTTCCGGTAAGTTACAGTGTCGTACGAATCTTAAGTTACGTTCAATATTATACTTTTAACAGCGCTGTGATCTTTTGATGCAGATTGCGCTTGCGACGTCGGAGGTTCTGTGAATTCAATATGCGACAAGCAGACCGGTCAGTGTCCTTGCCAACCGCGAGTAACCGGACTGACGTGCAAAGAACCCCTGAAAGCGCATTACTTCCCTACTCTTCATCAATATCAGTACGAAGCTGAGGACGGCAGAACTCCCAGCGGTAGCGCCGTACGTTATGATTTCGCGGAAGACCTGTTTCCGGACTTCAGTTGGAAAGGTTACGCCGTGTTCGACTCGACTTTGCAAAACAAAATCGTACTGGGTGTGGACATCAGCAAGTCCTCGCTTTACCGTATGGTCTTGCGCTACGTGAATCCCAATAACGAGCCGATTCTCGGCACCATCACTATCATTCCCGACAATCCGTCTGAAGTGGAGCAAGTGTTTAAAGTGAACTTCAAACCTTCGACTAAACGACCGTCGTTTGTAACCGTTGCCGGAGCGCATGGAAACCATCCGTCACCCATGGTCATGAATCCTGGACACTGGTCCATCAACATTGCCACAGAGAAGAGTTTATTCCTCGATTATTTTGTTCTACTGCCGTCGGAATATTATGAAGGTGGCATACTTACGCAAGATGTGAACGTGCCCTGCGAAATCGGTTATAAGGGACTTTGCAGACACTACGGATATCCGAATCTGATGCGGTTTGACTCAGTCCACGGCGACGGTGGCTTCCTTAACGAGAACAATGCTCGAATTCCGTTAAGCGAGTACTTCACTGATCGCGAGACCTTGCAAGAAATCGGCGAGGACGAGGTACCGCTTATCAACGATCAACAAGAGGAAATCCACTTCGATCTGAGGATTAGCAAGCCCGGTCCCCATGTTCTTGTGGTGACTTATATTACTCCGAAATATGAGGAAACTACGTCGGTGTTACTGATTGAGGCCAATACTATTGGCAAAGGCAAAGTTACCTTGAATCCTTGTAGGTATACCAGCCTATGCCGACAAGTTGTCACCGATACTTATGGCAAAGTGGCCGTTATGAACTTCTTATCGAATTACATCAGCCTTGTACTGACCGGCGAGCCAATCGCGAATGTTGCGATTGATTCGATAGTGGCGATTCCCTATCATGAGTGGTCGCTCGATTATGTGAAGCCTAAATCCGTTTGTGTGAGGAAAGACGGCAAATGTGTGCAGGGACACTTCCCCGATGCCGCTGATGCCAAGAAGATTGAGTTTGAAACATCCAGTGGTGTTCCTGAATCAGAATATCGTCCTTCTGGTATTTATGATAACGCTACTAAGTTGATTTACTTGAAGGACGGCGATACAATGGTGGATATTCATGCGAAAGTGTCTCAGCCGGGAGACTACGTCTTTGTGATACAGTATTATCAGCCAGATTATCCTGAATTTGAACTTGACGTGTTAGTTCAAAACGGAAAATTTTACGAAGCGAAGATTCCGGTTCCTCATTGTCCCAGTAATAGCGGCTGCCGTAGCATTGTACGTCAGATCGATGGCGGTAGTACCATATTTCAGCTGATCGAGAACTTTATGTTAACTCTGAAGGAACCCAGCGATGGACGCGGTATCTGGTTGGATTATGTTTTAGTGATTCCTGCTGATCTGTACAACGAAAAGATTCTCAGCAAGGTGCAGTTTGATCAGACCAAGGAGTTCATCAAGCGTTGCGGCAATAATCATTTCCGTATTAACATCACAGAAGACGGTTTTTGTCGCGATTCCAGTTTTTCTCTGACAACCAATTACAATAACGGAGCGTTGCCCTGTAATTGCGACGTCGAGGGCTCTACCAGTTTCGAGTGCGACAAGTTCGGTGGCCAGTGTCCCTGTCGGCCAAATATTATCGGTAGACGATGCGAAATCTGCAAGACTGGCTTCTACGGGTTCCCTAGATGCAGACCGTGTAACTGTCCCGCTCTTTGTGAACCGGATACCGGCAGATGTATTTGTCCGCCTCGCGTAACGGGTGAACGGTGTGATCAGTGCGAGGTCGGCACCTATGGTTTCCATCAGATTATCGGCTGCGAGGAGTGCAACTGCTCGCCCTTAGGTGTTATAGACGGTGATTTGCAGTGTCACTTGCAAGACGGCAGCTGCCGTTGCAAGGAAAACGTGGTGGGCCGTCAGTGCGATCGCTGCCGTGCCGGTTATTCGCAATTTCCGCATTGCGAGCGCTGCGATTGCGATTTGCGCGGTACTACCAATGAAATTTGCGATCAGTACACGGCCGAATGCTTCTGCAAAGCAAACGTGCAGGGCCAGGCGTGCGACGTATGCCGCGAGGGCACCTTCGACATTCAGGCCGCGAACGAGGACGGCTGTACCAAGTGTTTCTGCTTCGGCAAAACTACCAGATGCGCCTCTGCGAATCTCTACTGGACTTACCTCATAGACATGGTCAACTGGGAAATGGTCGTGCCCATTGACAAGAACGGCAATTTTACCACTATGTCAATCTATCCGGAAGGAAATGATACTGCAACAGAAATAAATCTTACCACCGACGACGAAAACGTCAATTCGTTGGTTTATTTCTCGGCGCCTGACACGTATCTCAACAAGAAGTTAACTTCCTACGGCGGATATTTCAACTTCACTATCCATTACATCACGGGACCCTTCGGTAAGGCTATCAGCGCCGCTGACGTTGTTCTTCAGGGGGCCGATACCACATTATTTTACTATTCCGATGAGCAACCGCCATCCTTCGTAAACTACAAGTTATCCGTTCGTCTCGTCGAGACCAATTTTCTGACTAGCAATCGACTTAGTGCAACGAGAGAACAAATTATGGTTGTTCTTGAAGATCTACGTGGAATATACGTTCGTGCTACGTACTGGGATCCTACATTCAGGGCTTCATTGTCATATGTAACTTTGGACGTCACAACGGAACAATACTCGGCTCAGTACAGCGTCCCGGCTAGCAGCGTGGAGCAGTGTCAGTGTCCGCCCAATTATCAAGGTCTTTCGTGCGAGGAGTGCGCTCCGGGATACTACAGAGTTCAGTCAGGACCTTACGGAGGATATTGCGCGCCCTGTCAGTGCAACGGTCACGCGACCACATGTGACGTGAATACCGGGATCTGTGAGGATTGCAAGAACGGCACTACCGGCGACCACTGCGAGTTCTGCGAGCAAGGCTACTACGGCAACGCCACTGTAGGCACACCGACGGACTGTCTGATCTGTGCGTGTCCGTTACCAATTGCCTCAAACAACTTCGCCACCGGTTGCGAGGTGAACGAGGAAGGTAACAAGATCAGCTGTGACTGCCTGCCTGGATATTACGGTGCTCGTTGCGAAGCTTGTGCCGCTGGCTATTACGGTACTCCCGAGACGTATGGCGAATATTGCAAACCGTGCGAATGTTCCGGCAATATCGACACCAATCAGATCGGCTCGTGTGACAGTATAACCGGTGAGTGTCTACAATGTTTGAACAACACCTACGGCGAAGCGTGCAACTTGTGCGCACCCGGCTACTTCGGCGATGCCGTGGAACGGAAGGATTGCCGTAGTTGTACGTGTGACGACTGCGGAATGGAACGCTGCGACAGCTACAGCGGTCAGTGCTTCTGTCAGGAGAATGTAATCGGTGAGCATTGCGATAGTTGTGAACCCTATCATTACGGTTTCAACAGCTGCGAGGGTTGCAAACCCTGTGATTGCGGATTGGCCTCTGAAAGCAGTCAGTGCGACGACGAGACTGGACAATGTAAATGCATGCCGGGTGTCACCGGTCGCAGATGCGATCAATGCATTCCGGGTTATTGGGACTACGGGCCGGACGGATGTACATCGTGCGAATGTCACACCGGTTACTCCGTCGGTGTATCGTGCAACACAACCACCGGCCAGTGCACTTGTCTGCCAGGTGTGATTGGCGAAAAGTGCGATCACTGTCCGTATCGACATGTGCTAATTCCAGCACAAGGTTGTTTTGCCTGTGATTCTTGCACGGGAAATCTTCTGGATGTCACGGACGATCTAGCACGTTCATTAGAACCTGTTTTAAGCGAGTACAGTACGGTTGCGGAAAGTTACTTTACAAATCAACGACTCAAGTTTATCAACGACATGGTCAATGAGCTTCATCCGAAAGTTCAATTGTTGGATCCAAACCGAGTAAATCTGTTGCCGTTGCAAGAAAAATTGGAACGATTAAATTACGAAGTAGACAGTCAGAAGCGGCAGATTGATTTCACGTCCGAGGACAGCGTTAAAACGAGAGATAATGCCGAAAACACGCTGCAAAATATGATCAATCTGGAAGAGGATGTGATGAATGAGATCAATCTGGTTAACTTGATTGTCTCGGAGGTGCAGTCGCTAGCGCAGAATATCGAGTTGGGAACGGGCGCGAAGGTTGAAAATGCTCTAAAAGAAGCAAAAGATATTCTGAAGAGAATCAAGGACGTATCCTTTGTCGACTTTCGAGACAAGGCTGTGGATCAAGCGGATCAGGCTAACATTCTAGTCTCTGAAATGCAGGAGTACAATTTTCCGGTCAGCAACTTGAGCTTAGCCACCGCTCAGCTCAGCGATAAGATCAAAAACGCCAGCGCTAAGATGGACGATATGTTGGACTTGGCGCAAGAAGCTCAAGAAGTGGCTGGCACGGTAGACAGACTGAATCGAGAGAATAGAATCGCGGCTCAAACCGGTAACTTAGACATAGTGAAAAACTCTACGGCCGAGGCGAAAGAAGACTTAAATGTCGGAGAAGAGCTCAATAAAAACGCCAGCCAATTTCTTGAGGACGCGAAGGCCAACATCGCTACTTTGCAAGACAACATTAGCAACGGCACATTTGCTCAACAAACGCTAAACAATACCATTGTCCAGAACGATCAGATGTTAATCGATCTCGACGATCCGGTGCGAAAAGCCCATAATCACGCGGCATATTTATATAATCGTTCGCTCGAGTTGGACAGTCTTCTAACTGATACTCGTAACACCAACGCCGTAAGAGCTGTTTCGGCATATAGAGATATCGAAGCCGCCATTCAAGCCGCGATGAACGCTACCGAACATGCCATAATAGCTGCGGACAATGCAACGGCGCTCTCTGATGGAATTGAACAGAAATTGTCGGATTTCCAAGAGGAGTGCGTTAAATTGTTGCGCGTCGCGCAACTCACTTTGGGAAAGACGACAGGACAGCCTGAGAACGATTTGCGTGACGCAAGAATTAACGCGACTCTGATTGACAACCAAAATAAACGCAACAAAGAAACTCTCGATACTATCGACAAGATTCTTGCTAATATTCCCTCACAATCGTCTTCATCAGTTGCGCATGACGCCATGAATCAGACGGTAAATGTCGAGCGTAACATCAAAACCGCTATCGACGACTTGAATGGTATTGTGGATCAGATTCCGGCTGATCTGCAGGAGGCGAAACAACTTTCGAAATACATGTCGGAGTCGATTCGCAACATTTCGCAGGCAAACAAGCAACTCGACATTGTGGATAAAATCTTGCCGAACATCACCAATCTGTTGAACAATCTGAACAACAATCAGAAATCGATCGACGCGACCGGGAACGACTTGCAGAGCAGACTCGAGGCTTTGAGAAACAAAATCGCGAACGCTCGTGAACTGGCGAACCGATTCAAGACCGGTTTGACTTTTTACAGAAACACCACTCTGGAATTGAAGAATCCAGAAAGTTTACCACTTCTGGCCACGTCCACTAAGATTTCCCTGTATTTCAGAACCAACAAGACAAATGGCTTTTTGTTGTATCTTGGCAATGAGGAAAAGATGAAACTACCGCGCTCCAAGACTCATGACTTTATGGCGTTACTGATAGAGAGCGGATATCCCGTGCTTATAGTCGACCTGGGATCCGGACCTGAAAAGATTATTCATGACAAATTTGTATCCGATAATGTGTGGCGGCAGATCATCATTGACAGAACCGGCAAGAACGTCAAATTGATTGTTCGCGAAGACATCGGTGATGGTCAGGACAGTTTATACGAAAAGGAGCGAGTCTTGTCGGGCACCTATTATATATTTAATGTAGATCCGGACTATACGAAACTATTTGTCGGTGGCTATCCGTCGTCCTTCCACATCCAAGATGCCGTGACCGCGTCTTCGTTCGAAGGCGAGATGGAAGAGCTCGTGATAGGCGATATACCGGTGTCTTTCTGGAATTTCGTCGACGGCGAAAACAATTGGAAGAGCGCGCTCGAGCGCGACAAACTTATCAACTTCGCGCCGAGTACCGGATATCGCTTCGATCGAAATGGCTACGCAATTCTCAACAAGAAGAACTCGCAGATCTTGACGGACACGAAGAAGTTCAGCATCAAACTATCGTTCAGAACTTTCGCGGATGACGGATTGATCTACTTAATGGGCAAAAACAAACAGTTCTTGTCGTTGGAGTTGAGTAACGGTCAGTTGTTGTATCAGTTCGATCTTGGCGAAGGTACGATCGCCTTGAGATCTTCGGACAAATACAACGATGGTACGTGGCACGTCGTAGAAGCTCTTAGACAGGAAAGAAAGGGCTTGCTCAAGGTTGATGGCCATATCGTCGCGTCGCAAGAGGGAGAAGGGACTTCCAAAACCTTGGCTTCGTCGGATTATATCTACTTCGGCGGTTATCCACCCAACGTGAAGCATCCTTACCAGTCGGTCAGCAATAGCGGCTTTGATGGTTGCATTGACAACGTCATCATTCGTGATACTTCGATAGATCTGACTCACAACGTCCAGGCGTTTGGAGTCATGCCTGGTTGTCCAGTTAGGTTCGCCAGCCTTGTTTCCTTCGAGAAGAATATGCCTGGCTATGTGAGATGGCGCAATTGGGAAGAGAATTTGCCGTACTTGGTAAACGAATTGCAGGTGAATCTGAAGTTCAAAACCTCAGCGAGCGACGGCCTAATCTTTTACGCGACGAACGATGACCAGCCTAGTCCGTCTACCTCCTACCTGTCGTTAGTGGACGGCCAGCTCGTGTTCAATAGTCAGGGCAAGGAACTCACCACTAGTTCATCGGATGTAAAGTTCAACGACGACGAATGGCATGTGGTGACCGCTACTCACAATCAATCGGTTCTCAGTCTCGATATCGATGACGCGAAGAGTTACAGCATCGACTCGGCATTGCCGTTGAACTTCCTTCAAGGCAATCTATACATCGGTGGATTGCCGTCCAGTTTAGATCTCGACAATAGATTCGTGCCTTTCGTCGGGTGTATCGGCGACGCGACTTTCAACGGAAGAATCATCAACTTCGCCAGCACGTCTCACGACGATCGACCGCACGCGTTCTTAGAAAAGTGCAAGAGAGGCGATCACATACAACCCTCGCAACCAGAAGTTTTGATACCATTGATACCATCAGATATTCCAGATGATAGTTCAGTAGAAATGACGACTCAAATCAGCGTCGTAAATGTGACCTCAGATGAGGAAGAAATCGACGATAGTGGACCAGGTCTGGAAGGACGAATTCACATTAGCAAAGAGCACGATATCACAACCACTACCACTGCGCAAAGTCCAACTCAGCAGCCTCAAACTGTCGACGATTGTCACTTGCCCTATTACCCGGCTACGGATCCTGATCTCGAGAACGCTTATCGATTTGGTATCGCGAGGAACAGTAGATTAGAATACAGAACAGTCAAAGGAAGATATAAGGATGATTACGATTTCCAAATTGATATACAAACAGCAGAGGACGAGGGAATTATATTTTACACTTCCGATCTCAATAAGCGGGACTTGATCGCCGTGTACGTCCTCAACGGAACGATTCATTACAAATTCGACTGCGGAAGCGGACCGGCGTTGCTGATAAGCGACAAGAAGATCAACGACAACCAATGGCACATGATTACTTTTAAGAGACAAGGTAACTACGGAAAGCTGATCGTGGACGACGAAAATCCAGTGACGGATTATTCGCAAGGAGACGAAATCACCATCGACGTCAATCCGCCATTCTTCGTGGGCGGTGTTTTACCAGAATTATCTAAAGCTGTGGACACGGAAATTGTAAGATTGAAGATCTTTAATTTTTTTTTTTATATAGCACAATTAGGTATGCAGACTTATGAGAGACGCGTCTTTGCATTTCTCTTTCCAGGGTTTCAATAAGACGTTTAGCGGTTGTTTAGGAAATTTAATGATAAATGGACAACTGGTCGGAGAACCGTCTGAGAAAATAGGCGTGATACCGTGCTCGAAGAAGGTCGAACCCGGTCTCTTCTTCTTCCCCAGTTCCGGAAACGTCAGTAACATATTCAAACCAGGTGAGAAGGATCTGATCGAAAAATAAAACCTGTTCTCAAAAAGATAAGACGTTGAACAGTAATGAATATAAATTTCTATATTGCGCAGAGACGCAACTTTTTATAAGTATCAAAAGTACATACCGCCAGTAAAATAATAAAAACCTCAACTTTAGTTGAAGAGAATAATTTTACTGTTATTTTATTTTATTTTTTTTCAGTTGATCGATTCAATGTGGATCGTCAGATCGACATCGAAATGGATATAAAGCCGCGATCGACATCCGGACATTTGTTTTCGGTGCACGGTAGAAGAGATTATATCGTGCTTGAAATGGTCAACAACACCATCAGATTCCTTGTGGCCACCCACAAAGGCTCGATCGAAACCTCGTTTGAGCCGACCAAACCAAATTCGTTGTGCGATGGTCATTGGCACAATATCCGAGGTACGTAATATTAATAATTTGAACTGTAAATGATCTTAAAAATTATGGCGCACATTCTCTTGTTTTGAACAGCTTCCAAATCGAAGAACGCGGTTTTGCTGTCGGTCGATCACAAACCAGCGACGCCTGGAATCGGCAACAAAAATATAGCCAGAGTGTTGTCGAGGCACCCAATTTACATCGGCGGCCATCCACTGCTGAGTACGTTGCGGGGCAGCACCTCGAAAGCTCAATTTGTCGGCTGTATCAGCAATATATACATTAATATGAGGCCTGTTAGAATCAGGCCCGAGCGAGCCTTCGGTCAAGTTCTCGCTGGTGTATGTCCGACTATTTAAAATATTGAAATTATCTTAACACGCACAACCACGAATTTAAATTTAATATTTAATCACTTTTTTCTCCTTAATTGTCGTATTGTAACTTTCGATGCTCAAATTTGAAAGATAAGAGAAAAACAGATGAGAAATAAATCTGTACAAAAAAAAAAAAAAAAAAAAAAAAAGACTGCACTTACAAAGCTATAAATATTTCCGCGGAAAAAAACGTTTTCTCAATTTTACCAGATGCAAAAAACGGCTATGAAAATCTAGTTGAGATAAAAGAAAAAACTCGTCTACAACCAAAGATAACAACAAAGCGCACAAAGTGTATGAATTATACTCGGACAAAAAAGTTGGTTTTTTAATATTACAGAGAAGGAGATAAGTTAAAAACCACAATAAAATACTTGTAAAAGTTATAAGCGTTTTTATTTTTTTGTGAATATATATATATATATATATGTATACGTAATATGTAATAATTGTGCGTCATCGCACTGTCTACATCTTGTAAATAAATCGAAATTCTCATATGATAAATTCTCAAAAATGTCTTATGCGTTTTTTTTTTTTTTTTTTTTTTTTTTTGATTCAGTCTTGATATTGTTTTGTGTGACTGATGCGCGAAAATCATTGTTCTCTCAAATAATCGCCTGCTCCTCCTCGTCAAAATGCGCGCAATCGTTGTTGTTTCGTTATAGTGATCAAAATTTAAACAATTTACGTTTCTATCATTCGGAAGTGTTCGAAAACTTCAAACGAAATTTGTGACAAACAAATTATTTACTTGATTTGCATGAACGCAAATGTGTTGGAAACTATTACGCTGCAGCGAAAAACAAAATAATGCGACTGTTAGTTGAACACACACACACACACACACACATACACAAGTATTACGTGAAGTGAAAGAGTGCAATCGTGAAAACTATGTGCAAATGAAAAATTACGTTTAACTTAGTAAAAGTAAATCGTTCTGCGCAAAAATGATCAAAAATGATAAGCGTTAAAATTGAAACTTGGAAAATGTGTGCGTGAAATGTTTTTCTTCTTTTTTTTAACTCAAAAGAATTATGGAACATTTTTATTGTAAACAATGATATTACCGATTATTTATTGATTATTGACCGATACACTTGATACTTCGTATTGCGAACGAGAATAAAAGAAAATAGTTTTTACCGATTGTGTGTTGCGTTTAAAGTAAAAAAAAAAAAAAAAAAGTATTAAAATTTAACTGTTGCAATTACATCTCATTTACATCGTACACATAATCCTGCACGGAATTTGCGGATTGCATAACTCGTTTGGAGTGAGAGAGAAAAAGAGAGAGAAAAAAATAAAAATACAAAGTGTATATCGAAAATTCATCTATAATATGCGTAAATAAACATCTGGTTTATTAGCATTAATATGTATGCATACGTATATACATATGATCAATCTATTATTATGCTGAATTGTTTTACAATTGTTTGTTTTCTTTTTTACGTATACAACACATTATGTGTTTAAAACTCTAATTTACTTACAAGTTTATGTTACTTCGTGATTTTTTTTAGTGGCGTTTGTCGAGAGTGTTATTTTTTTTTTCTTTTTTTTTGTTTTGAACGAAAAAAGAGATATAAAAGATATCAAATACGATTCTCTTGTGTTCTTAATATTCTCCGGGTTATTTTCTGTGGCTTTCTTCAATATATATGACTTTTCTCGAAGATCTCTTAAACGTAAATTAAAGCACGATATCTAATGCATTGACAGGGCATTACAAGATCATTTTTTTGTCGAGAGAGAAACGATTCTTATCTTGACATACAAATAGCTTTTTCATTGCTTTTTTATTACGCGTTTACAAACTTGGATCACTCGATTGTCGTCGACAAAAAAAAAAAAAAAAAAGTGTTGCGCTTTGTGATCTTGACTTACATCTGCTGGGTCTATTGTGTACATATATGTTATACCGTAGAAAAAATACTATACGAAGAAAAAAAAAGTCATATTTTGACGTTACACAATTCGCAAACCGTAAATCAATGATGTGTGCAATAAAACTAATTCGGCTACTACAATAATAATGAAATTGATTGGTGTGTTAAATAATACGGAACTTCGCAGATATTTTCAACTGAATACTTCTTTCAGAGCAAAAAGATACAATAAGACATCTCAGCATGATATGATACAACAAGCAAGTAAAACGTGCTATCAACTAAGAGCAACAAATATTTGCGACATATATTACTAGAATTTATAAACAAAGACAATAATTGACAACAATTCGTAGGGAGTGCTTTAAGTAGGTCTGGTGGCTTATGGAGGACTTACTTATGACGTACACAAATGTATAATAGATGAAAACTTTACAAAAGTAAAGAAATTTAAGAAAGAACAAAATAAATCGCAGAGAAGTGAAAAAGTTTGTCAGAAGAAAAAACGCGGCTTCTGAGACACACACGTGTAAAAATGTTTAAAAACGGATCACAGTGATAACGAATCTATTTCCCCCATTATTCGAGATCTCATGTTTGCATTATCGAGTCACAATGTGGATTTTTGTTTTTCTCTTCGATCATCTCTCGCTTAATCTTCTAAAATATTATATTTAGACACTCACAGACTTCTAGGTATCCATAAACGATCCTGAAATGAATACGATAAACGGACTGCCGGTGAAAAGAAAAATGCACTATTCGTTTGATCGACTGGTCGATCGAGAATGGTCATTTATCACGCACCTTTAAAGTAGGTTTCTCACCGACGTGGAATATCACAGTGTAACAATCCAGACACTCGATTGAGTTTTTCTGCGAAGATTCGGTCAAGGTAACCGATAATGGCAAGCCGAACCTATTATGACAAGAAATGTGTTCTGATTTTTTTTTTTTAGAGCAGATTTGATCGCACACTACTCCGCATTGATGCACATTAAAGATCGCGTTACGTAAAGTCGTACGTAAAAAGTTGTTCAAATGCAAAAGCATAAATCAAAACGTTCGATGTGTGTTATATCATTATATTATTTAGAACGTATTATATAATATGTATTTGTTGTTGTTTTTTTTTTTTTTTTTTATATAAATATACAACATACATATGAACACTTTTGAACACTTTCTCGGTCAAAGTAGCTATACGTTATATATGCTTTTGTACTCAGATAACTTATAATAGCTTCTGGCAGGCTTCAATGTGGGGTTCAGCAGAGTAGTGCAAGTGATCTGCACTGCTTAGAGAATTTCTTGCGTCAATTACAATAAATGTCCTGATCGACCCTGTATGTGCAATCGTGCCTGTAGAATTGCGTATCACAAAGGGCGACAGTGTGTGCATCATTGTTTTTAAATGTATGCAAAGGCTCTTGCAATCTTACGATTCCAGCCATAAACGAGACGAATGTATCCCGGAATATTTTTCCAAATAAATCTTGACGCGTTCGGTCGAGTCAATCCTGAGTGGGGATCCAGAACCATCCATGTCAGTTCGCAAATGATGGAAGAACAAATTTCAATATTCATTCTTCAATATTCACTCTTTGTAATTTGCAAAGCGACATCGATGATCCTGGTTCCATAGTGAAATGTTCAATAAAAAAGTCATATTCACATACGACTCTCAACGATTCTACTCAATGCCATGAGCGAAGATCATTACTAGCCCCGGTTCAACCATCATGTCTTCCGGCATATGCGTGTTATCACAATGTAGTACCAGCACAGCTTGCTTGCCAGGTACTCGCTTGCATACATAATTGTCGTACTGCCGTCGCGAGTTCTGTCTGGTCTCGAGGGAATTTAAGCCCGGCGGCCACTTTCTCTCGTGGCAGTTCTCCATCAGCTCATCGATCACATGCGGTGGACAATTGTACTCCGACAGGGTTCTCTTTATCATTGTCTGCAAACGACAAAGACGCAATCTCGTGGTGAGCACAATGATTGAAATGTCGCTTGACTCTGCAATTAATAGGATTAATTAATTGCAAATTAACAAATCATCGCACCTGCAACAATTCATCCGGAGTGGAGATCATGCCGCCCCACCTGGTGACCCTGGCGCGAGGTAAGGACGCGGACCATCTGACAACTTCGTCCCGTTCCATCTGGTCGGCGATCGCTCGCATCGCTGGATTCGACACTCTGAGAGCGCGCATAAAATCCTTCAACAGATGTATCTCGCGCTTGTGTTGATTGATCTGCAGCTGCTGCTCGCCGAGCTCGCGTTTCATGTCGGCCAGTTTCTGTTGCTGCGACTGTATCAGATTGCGAAGTTCTCGCACGCAATTGTGATCCTTGAGCTCGTTTTTAGGGATGATCAGACTGCAACCTTGCTCGCACAACATTGGTCTCTTCGGATTGTATTCGCACTGCTCCAAGTGAGACGCCAAGCTGTCCAGTTTGACGATCGTGTTGCAGCCGTACACAATATTGTCGCAATTGATGCACAAACGTGCGAGAAGGTTCCTCAAGATTCTGGGAACTGCTCTAAGCTGAGCTGATGTGATGGGTGTGCGATCCAAGGGACAGGTAGGCTGACGATTTATCCACTCATTGATACAGGTACGACAAAAGGCATGCTCGCATACTGGTGCCTGCAACATATTAGGACTTATCTGCAAGTCCTCATAAAATACTAATTGGCAACTTACTAGCACAATATAAAGATATGTGAGGTTTTTTTTTCAAAGAAGAGTAGGCAATAGAGAATAGACATTTATCCGCAAGTAGTTTATCTTGCAAAAAAAAATAGAATATTTTACTCAATTATAATTTATTTTATTAATATCTTTATTATTAGTAGAATAATTTTGCTCGAGAACGAAAAGACCAAATATTAAAGAAACAAACGCATGTTAGAGAGCAGAGTTAAGAAAAAAGAAGTATTAGATTATTTTGCAAGTGAAATTATAGAAAGTACTGAATCATTGTCGGCTGAAACATTTTTCTATTTAGATCAACTTTCATTCGCAATTGCTCGATTGAGTGTTGAAAACGGTGCGAGCTCCTCGCAGATGCAAATAAGGTCAACAAGAATATATACATGTGTGTGTGCGTGTGTAGCACAACATTAAAAGGATACGAAAAGCTAACCTATTCGCGCGAGATGCAAGATTTGCGATCAATTTGCAAATCCGAGCAAAGACGAGAGAAGAAATTTGCTAAGCAAATCGAAGCGTTAAAATCTCTCAGGCGGAACAATCGTACGATTATTCGAAAACGCGCGTCGCGCGATACGCAAAATTGCAAAATCTCGCTCGAGATCACCGTCACCTTTCTTATCTCGCAATCGAACGTGTGATAAAATACACGGATTCGCAATGTTCCGAGAACCTTCATTGATTTTCTTTCTCGGATTTGGAATATTTTCTTTCACATAAGTGCGTTGTTGTTGTTGTTGTTTCTCTTCGAATTGTCCCCCCCGTTGAACTTAAATTTGTCGCGCACGAGTACAGGAATCGAGGTTAAGCGGACAGGGTGGGTCAGAGAAGAAAATGTGCGAGAGATGAAATTCTTCCGGACGGGACACACACGTGCGTCTCCTACCTGGACGGGATCCTCAAGCACACCGGAACATATCGGACACACGAGTTCTTCGTCCACGTCGCCCTGAAAGCGATTCACGTCGAACCCCATCGCTCGCGAATAGCGTGTGTGTTTTAACCTCCTCGTCTCTCGCTCTCTCGCGTACACTCCACACACTTATCTCACGATCGTAAGTCTGGAACGGTCTGCGAGAAGAGGGGAGAGGAAGGAGACACAGACGACGCGCACGCACACACGAGGATTTTATCAAACAAAAAAAAATGAGTGTCTCTCGACTCCCGTATAGTTTTCACGAACTTTCCCTCGGGGCTTGGAAACTTCTATTTAAAAAAAAAAAATGCAAATGTATTTCCAAATACGCGCGTGTGTATGTGTGAGCAATTTTAAAACACAAACAAATATGAACAAGGTAAAAAAATATGACACGGAGAGAGAAACGTTCGTTAAATCGTTGCGAGTTTTAAGTTGTTCTTCCTATGACCGCGATGTGTGCAAAAAAAAAAAAAACGAGATAGAGAGCAGAAAAGCAAAGCAATTGTTTCATTACGGATTTTGCCACTAACAAATTTCAATTGGCGGAGAGTCGCGTTTTTTACCGTCGCGAAAAAACACATAGTTGTCGGATTTGTTTTTTTTTTTTTTTTTTTTTTTTTTATAAAAACGTATATATTTTTTTTTTTTTTTTTTTTTTTTTTTTTTTTTTTTTTTTGGAAAACACTTGTTCGATCGAATTTGTCGACTACAGTTTCCCGTGAAATTTGTCAACGAGTACGAGAAGACAGCACCGAGAAGAGGACCTTGATCTCTTCCGCGAAGGAGTTCCAGTTTCGTTACTGCTGGACGGCGACAATTTTACCGTTATATACCGCGAGTCCGATCCGTCCTGTTCTTCGTGCTAATCGGTTCGCTGCTCCCGAAACGCACAATCGAAATTAACCCGCTCGTCGCTTCACCATTAACGAACGAATTCGGCAATTTCTCTTTCGCGATCTCGTCGCGGAGATTTGTCAAATTTCTTTTACGGGAATATTACAAAGAACGTATCGAAATAGACCTATTGTATATATATATATATAATATATATTACGCATATCTTATGTGTACATACAGACGCTAATAAGCAATACAGTGTATCCACATCGCTATTTTGAGTTAAATTACGCGTTAAGATTAAAAAAAAAGATGTATATATTTTTTTTGAGATGTTTGTGTAATTTGGATATATAAAAACATTTAAGTTTTTAAAAACACTATTGAAAAACGTTTTTTCATAGTTAAAGAAGCACACTACATAAATATCTTAATATTTTTTGTGGGTTCACATTGTGTGCATTGCTTATTAGCGTCCATATGTTTTTTTTTTTAACAATAATTTTTGTCAGCGCACAAAAACCGACTATTAAATTATTTATTAAATTACCTTGAAAGTTAATGTCTTAACAATAGAAATTATAACACAAAGACTTATCGTCATTGATAATCTGGTGTGACTGCAATTTCCGTGCGCGCAGGCTAGGTACGTGCGTGTTCGGCGAAAGAATTACGTTTCTCACACAACGTTGAGGTAAAAATTGAAAACTTCTCTAAGTTCAATCGATACTCTTAATAATAACCTGCTCTTATATTCGACCGATTACCCCACCTCGATTGCGGTTTCCGTATAATTTTTATCAATAATTAAAATCGATTGTGATGTTAATTAACAGACGATACTCTATCTCGTCAATTGTATGTGATTATGTTTTTTTACATAGATTAATAATTTACAATTAACGTTGCGTTTGTTTTAATCTACAGTTATTACTATATATATGTATATATATGTATGCTGCGATTGCGGTCGCTCTGGGCGCTTACGCGTTTTACACAAGTGTCGGTTCGTCTTTGTTGCTCTTTAAATGTGGAGCAAAGATAAACCGACAGAGTCAAAGCGCATGAGCGCCCAAAGCAAAATCGCATCTTACGTACACATACGTTATTGAATATTAATGCGACAATTCTCACAACGAAAGCTTTATCTGTCGAAGAACATAATATGAAAGTTGTGTGTGCGAACACACAATACTAAATTCCATTGAATCGATATCGATTGATTTTATCGTGCAATCGCGTACGTACGTATTTCGCATCCCGGATGCTCACTTGCGCCACTAATATTGTTCCGTTTTTTTTTTTTTTTTAAACGGCTTCTGACCTTCAATTCTTTTATCTTATAAACAAGATATCGCGCTTGTCACTGACCACATACTGCGCACACTCACAAGCAGGTACACGAGCTGTATGTTACAAAAACTCGATGTCAGTTTCACACAACTGTACCCGTTGCAACATGTCGAGTTAGTGACAAAACAAAGAAAAGGAAGAAGATTGTGTTTTTTTTTTTTTATGACATAGGATCTATATAAAAGAAATATAATTTATATGTTGTACGAATTTCTTTTGTTTGTACTAAGCTCTACACGACACGTCTAAGCCGAAGATCTCTCAAGATTGTGACAATATGCAAAACAAGAGGTAGACGAAGTCGAAGGTCGAGTTTGAATCTCTGTAAGTATTGTAATCTCTCTTTTGTACTTTTATGGAGACACTTCTCAGGATTTCTAGATAAAAAGCGTCGGTTCAAAGACCCCTAACGAAATTTATAAGATAAAGACAAAAAAGAGATCTCTTCCCGGATTACAGATTTAAAAAAGAAATGCAAATAAGCGCATGTCAACGAAAAGATGAAATTTTAGTATTATTAATTATTTTTTACGTAAAATTTTAGTATTATTATGTTACTTTTTTAAATTTTTCTGTAAATGTTATCTGTGTAATATATGAAAAAAACTATATATTTTTATGAGGGAAGGTGAATAAAAGAGAGAGAGAGAGAGAGAGAGAGAAAATGTGTGTAAATCTTGTCTTTTTAAAGTGACGTCAATAAAATTCTTGCGGAATTTGATGCATTTGAAAAATACGTAATACTGAACACAAAAACATGTTGTTTCAGTATTCTATATCATGAGCAATAGATTTGCTAAGAGAAAGCGGCCTTCATCATCGTCATCATCACGAGATCTTATTCTTTGCTAATTGTAAAAATAGATCGCAAGATATATATAAAAACTGTGAACACGCGCCAATAATTTTCTCGTCGACAATTTTGACAGCACGTATTTTAACGTAAGTAAATACGAACTAACAAAATTAGAAATTGAGAAAATTGCTCAACACTTATTGCGTGCAAGTCGAAGTAAAAATGAGATGATTTTCTGTCTTCACGCGATACGTGCGAATGACAGTAAGTGAGTCTCAAATTAGATCTCACGGATCAGGTCCAACTCTTTGGAACGGGAATTTGTTGTGCTCAGTTATAGGTCAAAGATAGTCACATGATTTTTATACACATATCATGACTCGCTGCCTCTCTCTCTCTCTCTCTCTCTCTCTCTCTTTCACAACCTCTAGTAGTTTTTAATTGATTTTAAAACGTCAACTTATTTGCGTAATTCAAAGACTTACTTATGTACGTCTTATTTTTTACGACTCAATCTCTAGTGTATCACATTAAGCTATTGTGATATTCATACTTGCAGATATCTCGCAAACATTTGATTAAAACATGTGTTTGTTTGCATTGACTCTCGAAGTGACGATATTTCCTGTGTGTTTGCGACATGTTTTTGAACATCCGTATCGATAACACGTAACATTTATCTTTCGCGAGATTTCTCATATCTAAGATTTTCTACGATCAACATGAACGGATGAAGATCAATGACAATAAATTCGTCGTCAAAAATGAGAAATCTGCTGCTTTTGTTTGCGAAAAAAAAAAAAACTGTTCGTTGAAAATTGTGGAACTTTCCAAGAAGGAAACTTCTGTAAAAATTTTCCTCACGAAAATTACATATTCATGATTTGTTTGCTTCGTGCTATTTTTGGTCAAAACAGCAGGTCTCTCAATTTAATTTGCGCTCGACTACGCACGTCTATATATATATATATATATATATATATACGGACGATAAGCATCTCGCGTGATATCAACATCTAATGATGCTTAAGCGCGATTTAAATCTATCACGAGTGCGGCCGCTCGTAAGCCTCGATGTCACGTGCGTGCGCTCCGGTGTTATCGCACGCGTTACGACGATACGCACAGCGATGAATAAAAAAAAGTTCGGTTTGACGTTCGTCTTTATCAGCCGTGTGAATAAATTCGTGCTTGTTCTTTATTTCGTCTATTTCGCAACGTGACGCTTCAACACACGACGCGACGTATCCTCGGTTACAACACATCCTTTTCCTTCGCGTTGTTCAATTCTCCTTCGCGTATTTCAGCTAAAAATGATCAACTAAAATTATTATTAGAATTTTTTTTATTCTCTCACAACGTGAGAGAGTCAACAAAATTTTTCGCGCAATGCAAAATGCCGAAAGCGCAGAAAGCACGCACCGCAAAATATCCTTTTCCGTGTAGTGTTACGCTCGAAGAGGCGCATTTGATATTGCTGATTGTTGCACATCGATCACGTTCTCTCCTGGCTCGAAAACGCGCGCGTTAATAGCGCGTTTCTCTCTTATTATAGCTCCCCTTGCCAATTTAGACGCTTTTTAATAACGACTTCTTTCCTGTTTCCAATTTATCATAACGATCTAGGATCGGGATCGACCTTCAGAATTGGCTTCCATTCTCCAGAACAGAAATTTCTCTCTGTCAATTAAAAAAACTAACAATTATAACAGTTTTACTGAGAGCGCGGCAACAAGTTCGTCACCTGAAACAACATAGACGTTCTCTTGAAAAACAAGGCTCTCCCTCTCGTTTTGTGATAAAAAAAAAAAAGAAAGAAAGGTGCGCGTCTGGCCGGAACTGAATCGAATTTCCGAAACGATTAATGACATGGTTCTGGTAAACGAAGCGATGCGACCGGTCGATCGTCAAATTGACGTCATCGAACGCTCCGGGAGCGATTCAAACCCGGCACCGCTCGAAAACGTTTATTGTGTTCAAAGTTTACTTTTTTTTTACACATTTGTACCTCTCACCTGTAACGCTTTCGTTCTTTACGCCTTTTTATTGGCGCGTCGTCATTTTAATAATTTCTTTACAGCTTTGTACGTACCGTCTCGAAATCGATTCGAAAAACAAATTCGCACAAACGTGTCTCTCCGCCAAACACGTGTCTCGTTTGCATTGAATTTCGGCAAGTCATAACGCGCAACGATCGGCCAATTAGATTTCACGGTGTGGGATATTCGCGAAATCTGATTGGTCAACATTCGCAGGAAACCGTCGTCGTCGTCGTCGTCCATCTGGCGGCGAACTGTTCAAAATCAGTCGCATTATCCGAGGTGACTCCGTCGTTCTCACATCCCCGTTTTTCATATCATCGTCGCGTTCTCCCTCGCCGCTGCGGATATCGTCGTGGTGACTGCATCGTCGTTCGGTTCGGGTGAGCTCGGGAATTAGTGCGCCGCTTGCTGTTGTGCCTGACGCTTGGAGGACTTCAACGCGGATATTCTGTATTACAATACGATTATGTCGAGACCCGCGAGATACGCTATACTACGGCTGCCGCAGGCATTCGTTAAGTAACGCGAGTGGAAAGGTGTTATATATACAGCGAAAGAGAGCGAAAGAGAGGAAGAGCACACAGCGGATCTGTTGCAGCGAGAATCGAGATCTTCTTCGCGTTGTAAGTAAGAATTTTGTTACATCCCGTCGCCTCGTTACGAAAGTTAATTTCGTCAGAAACCGCGTGGCGAAACATCCGCTCGAGCGAGCGGAGCGGAGCGGAAATTCGCCATCCAGGAATACGTATTCGAAAACAATTTTGTTGTTGCTTTTTGGACCGGAGTTGATTCTTATCCGGTGATCGTTGGCTGTATCGGAGGTGTCGTCCCGCGACACCAAAGAGCTCGGGGAGATCTAGACTCGCGAAATTCTAGATCGGGATCGTCGACGTTTTGCCGATGAGACGACTCATGCCCAGTCTTCTTTGCACGTTCAATCACGTGTAAACGCGGTAATTTTTCGCCCATAAAGTTTTTCTCCCAATTGGAAAAGAACGTTCTCGTTCTTTGCAAAAAAAAAAGGACGCGCACGTGCACACGACGACGACATTTCTCTTGAACATTGCCCGTCCGATTTTTATCGTTCTTCCGGGAACAAACTTTCCCCACGCACGTTCTTTCGCTCGAACGACGCAATTGTTGTACGCGATGTTCTTTGTACTCGCGCGTGTTTTGCCGTCGCGTGCCTGAAAAAAATGTCGCGAGGAAACATCTGTTCCCATCGGCGTTTGCGATCGCGGGTTTTCTCGATCGACGTGTTATCACCGCTGTGTGACACGTCGCTTGCGATGACGTTACGTCAATCAAGCGTCGATTCTCTTCTCTCGTTGGAGCAACAATTTCAAGCTAGAAAAATCCGTGCGATTTAGGTTTTTTAATATGAAAAATATTCGCGACAACTCCCGCTCATGTCCCCGGTGGACGGAAAAGTCGCGGATTCCGACCACCACCAGTCTAGCGACTCCGTTACATGAAAGTCAAAGCAGATCTCGCGAGAGAGCAGAATTATAAAATTCTGTTCGCGGCTCCCTGTCGAGCTGCGCTACACGCGGATCTTACTCATCGGTAGACTTTGTTCGCAATCTGTCGTCAATCTGTCTGCTGTCTGATAGCGGCTAAACACTTGTCACCGCAAAAAAAAAAAAAAAAACGTAAGCGGCACCGATTCTGATACCAAGTTTCCGATCGAACTTGTGGTTCTTTTCCATCGTTTGCTTCCTGGATTAAAATTCATAAAGCAAATTTATACATTATATTGAACACATTAAAATAAAAAAACTACATAATTAAAAAAATAAATGATTATGTATTATTATGTGAATTATTTAAAACACATTTGCGACTTTGATACAATTTATTCTAGAAGTTTTTCCCTTAGAGAGAGATAATAATATTACGACATTTCTCCGTATCGTGTTATTCTGCGCGTATATGTGCGCATGTTACGTACTGCTTTGTGCACATGTGGTTTGCTTAATTACTAACTGTATATGAAATTATTTAGATCCTTGCAGAGAGAGAGAGAGTAAAAATCTAATTATATGATGTGGCAATCCAATTCTCCAATCACGTCAAACGTTTAATCGAATAGACGCGGTATTTGAAGATTTAGAAAAAAATAAATTTAATATTCTCGCCTTCTCAATGGAATCAGATGGATTTTTGTAGATTTTAGGGTGCTACGTGCGAATCTGATCTCAGAATTTTGTTATCACATCAAGATTTTTAAAGATAATGAGATAAAATTATCTCGTGGCCCAAATCTAAAAAGATCACTTCTCTTTATTAAAAAATTATAAAAAATACACAAGGTATATATATACAAAATATGCAAATATGCAAAAATATATATTGTGCAGTGTAATTTTAAAATATTTATGCAACCTGTACGATAAATTAATAAGTAGAAAAAAATTTCACATAATTGACTTAACATATCATTTAATTAGGAAAAAATTTCAATTAACATTATTATTACTTTTACCTACAATTAACATTATTATAACTCATAACAGTTACAGTACTTACATGTTAATTACTTAATAATAACAATATAAAAAGAAACTTAGAGAAACATTAAGAGATAAAAGAACATTAAAAACCCCATAAGAAAAACAAAACAATAAATAAACAATTAAAATTCTTGAAATATCTCATAAACAATTATAAAAGGAAAAAGAGATAAGTTGATAATGTATGACGAATGTAGTTTTTAGAGGAGAGGACAAGAAGACTTTTTCAAACACAGATGCACACGTGTAACATCATCAAGGTGGAAAACGTAGAGAATTCAGATATGAGAGGGTCTAAAAGAGACTGGATTTTTAGGGTCCAGGTAATTTTGAAAACGCTATAGTTTTCACCTTAATAGTTTTTAATAAGTATTTCAATCATTTTTAATAAAGAATCAAATATTTTATAATATGATTTACCTTTATGATTTAAAAGGTGCCTAATCTGGAGAAAAATGAGGTTGTTTACGTCGTTGGGAATCTGCCTGAATTGGGTGCTTGGAATCACAATCAAGCCATTCTGATGTCGCAGGAACATGTCAGTCGAAGAGAGTCTCCTATGCTGTTCGATAGTAACAGCAGTAGCGACTTTTACAGCGACGATGGCAACGCAACTAATGGCATGTGTGATGGCGAAGAAAAGTAAGTATGTGCATACATGATTATGAAGGAACAAAGTTTATTTTTATCACAAAAAAGTTTTTATATCGCTTTTTTTTATAAATAAAAATAAATTTTTTATTAAAAAAAACACGCAAATGCGTTTCAGGAATGTGCGAATATTCTCGCAAAAGGTTGCTCTTCCCATCGATGCTGATATTGAGTTCCGATATTTTATAGCCGTTATTTGTCAGTCAAACGGTACTAAAAATTCGGCCAAAACTTTGATCATCCGCAAATGGGAAACTCACATGACACCACGACAAATTAGAAAAAATAGTATGTAGTTCTTATCAAACAGTGTTTATCTTAATAATTTATAACTAAAATATATCGCAATCATTATTTACATGTAGCTTCGCAAATATATTACCTTCTCTGAAAGGACATTCTCTGGTTTTTTTGACAAACAGAAATTGAATTTTAATTTGTATATTTTTTTAAATTTATATACATAAAATTAATTCCCTGTCTTTTGCAGCACCAAGCAATTTTGATAATGATACATTGCCAGATCCCGACATATTTAGCTATCACAATAATTATCGCAAAGTCGAACGAGGCTGGCTAACAGATGAAACTGTGATACAATTTAAGGTTTTTAACAATCCTATTAAACTTTGGAAACACCGATTACAAAACAAAGAAGTCCATATTAAGGTACAATATAAATAATATTATATACGTTATATATTTTTACTTTCTAGCGTTTTTCAATTTGTTTTAAGTCGCAATTTTCAAAGGAAGGATTAATTAATCGCGTATTTACAGATGACGCCTGTAAATCTAGTTAGGCACAATTCCTTAGAACTGCAACAGTTTGGGGGCGACTGTGTAGACGACAGTCTCTCTATGGATACACAGGATATTGTTGATCAACCTGCTTTTACCAGTATTACAGAAATTGCTGTGAGTATAAATTTTTAAAGATATCTTCTAAAACGTCTAACTGTCGAGTAAAATCCTAACTAAAAAACGCAATCGTACATGCATTTCTAGGTGATGAATGACGAAGAGGCTACGTTCAAAGTCCAAGAGCAATTCGGTCGTCCTTACAATGCAGACGAATTTGTTATCTTCAGTGTTGCTGTTCGGTATCCCGAAACAATCGTAAGTTTCCACGTAAAGAATCTCATCGAGGCATCATGTACTATACACACGATTATGTGAAAAACCATTGGCTGGAATTTATTGCTTGCATCGCTTGCAATTTTTTCATAATAAGTAATTGGAGTGTGTGATGTATTATACATTGATTGATTCGTGCGTTCAGAAATATCACATTGCTTCTCCTGGTACTCACGTAACCTGATATTCTGAGAATTCACAATGAAATAAAAATTTATATCAACGTTCTGTCGACTTAGTTCTTCGAAATGTTGAAAGTGAAATTGGTTTTCACTTATGTTTAACTCTTTTCGGGGGGAACTCGGTGAGGTAACAACTGGAAAAGAAGGAAAGACAAAAGAATCGTTGGTGTGGCAGAGCAATAAATGATCAGTTTAATGGTGATTCACAAAAACGAGCTGAGCACACTAAGAATACGCATTGACCATATCATGTGAGTTTTCAGTAGACCACGAGTAGGCCGGCCACGTCTTCTCGCGCACCTTGTTCGATTATTTGGTAAAAGATAATTAAACTTGTCCAGCAGTTATCTTCCTCCTCGGAAATGCCAGCAGCGACGTACTTGCGCGGTGTCCGGTCTCGAGCAACCTGAAGACGACGTGTTCGACTTGTACAAAAGCAAGACTGGTGCAAATGATGATGCTATTGCAATGATGTATCGATGCTAAGCATCGTCTACCACTTTACATCTGTGTCACACGACATCACACAGAGATATGATGGTTTTGATCGTCGTTCACCCTACCAGACCCATCCTTCGGCTGACCTTTCGTAAATCGATTATTTTTCTTTCAAAAGTAACAATCGATTATAAAAGAACAAGTTGTTCGTTTAAATTAAAGTCTCCCAAAAAAAAAAAAAACTAAACCTCGTCTCATATTAATTTGTTTGGTTTTATTTGTCCGTTGATTTGTTGATTTATGTGGGTCACAGCCAGTCCGTAAATTCCTAAAAATTTTGCGATATCAACGCTATCACATCTCATATCCATCTGTGTGCGTCGAAAATGGTGAGATTCCCATCACTCCTACTTCCTTTTAGTATACTACTAATATTTTCTAGCTCTGATCGACTTCTTCTGTACCGTACGTGTCACCGCTGCGCTGCCAGAATCTATGCTGTCAGAATCTTCTGAATCCGAATTGCACATTGTTGCTGACTTGCTCTGTTCAATCTATTTATCTTCACTATCTCGAAATTTAATTACTAAGTGATATCTCGGCAGGTGTTGCGGAATACGCGTCCATCAGGCAGTGTACAACATTTTAATAATTTATTGATCCGGCTAGATAATACCAGAAATTTGTTGCTCTTGCCTACCAACGATTCGACAGATTTCAAAATTTTTGTATTGCTGCGAAGCGTAACGGAAGCTTCAAGGCAATAATTGTTTAGTTTATTTAATTTCGATATATGATCAAGAAATTTATCTTGTATATCGGAACAGTTCTATATCAATCATACTTTTGAATTATTTTAAAATTTATACAGATCGTTTGTTGTGGTAAAGAAACAAAATTCTTTCATTTTTACAAACATATTGCTGAAGTATTATCGCTTTTTTTTTTTTTGCATTCGCCTGTTCTTGATCATGGGACGAGGTTATAATACTGAAGCAAACACAAAAAATGGATGAGCTAAAATTTTGTATTTGAGAGAAAAACATTGGTGTTGTTTAAAATACTAAAGTTTCTTCCGATGAAGTATTAAGTAGACTCATTTTCCAGGCGTACTTAGTGGACTACTATGTGTACAGCTCAAGGTGTTTCCCAGGAGAACCACCAAATCACATTGGTTTTAGCTACATCTTGCCTAGTACTTTACAACCCAGCGTCGGACTTTTGACCGTTCCAATCACTAGTACAAAACACAGACCCATCGGTGAGTCACAGGTGTCTGTATAATAAATTTGTTTTTATATAAAAAATAACGCTTCCGCTGCAATGAACATTCTTATTATTAGGACAATTGACAGTGGAATACGTCGTCATAAAACCAATTCCGGATTATCCATGGGACATGAGTATCTCGTACGCGAAACACTGGGAACAGCGATGGTCAGGCTTGGACGTAGGACACAGAGGACTCGGCACTTCTTTTAAATTTGAAACGAAGAAGTAAGTTAACACGGATCACATTTCAGAGTTACATCCGTATTTAAAAACTAATTTTAAATGTAATTTTTACAACGTATCACGTGATCACACACATGATCTCTTAAATATACAAAAATAAAATTTTTATTATCAAGGTTTTTTCGCAGAAAATATCATGTTGCAACGATATCTTTACAGCTGCGCTAACGTACGCGAGAACACGATCGCCTCGTTAAAAACCGCGTCGTATCACGGTGCCGACATGGTTGAGTTTGATGTTCAGCTATCGAAAGATTTCATTCCTGTAATCTACCACGACTTTTACGTGTCGATCTCTTTGAAACGTAAGAAGCAGATAGATGCTATGGACATGTTGGAAATACCGGTTAAAGATCTTACCTTGGAGCAACTGCATCTGCTGAAGGTACAAATTAATCGAAATAACGTTCACATGTTTTTATATCATGCATTTTTGTTTTTTGCATTTTATATATTTTTATATATTTGTAACTGATTTGTCAAGTATTTTATATCAACTCTCTTTAATTACAATTTATGAATGTATTTAATGATATATTTCTATTTTTTGTGTCAAATATTTTTTCTATTTTATTCTATGTTTGACAATGCGAACACGTTTAACATTTTTATAAAAGAAGATTTTATGTTAAATTATTTTTAGAAGATAACACTACATAAAACTGTGTGTTTAATTGAGCGGCCGAAAGACACGAGTCGTACCTTTACAGATTGTTAAAAAAAGAGAGTATCATTATATATCAAAAGATCATTATAAAAGTATCAATATCATATCGATTGTTTAAAAAACTGTTAAGAAAATACACTTTATTAGTCTTTAGATCTTATACAACTTATGATTACAATATCTTTTAATCTAGATTATTTTCTATTTGTATCTATTTACTGATTTTACTGATTTTCCGCTTGCTTAATTAACACACTCGTTATAATTAATCATATGATAACAGTAAAATATGGGAATGCTTCGCGGTGTCAGTGTTTCGCTTTCAATGTCCTTTTGTCAAAATAAAGAAGGAATATATTACTTTGGAAGGAGAATATGCCGCGTATGTAAAAACGCTCATCAATTCATACCTAAACCTGACGAAATGACGCTCTCTCGTATTTGTTTGTTTTTTTTAATATTCAACAGGATTATTGTTACCCGGGAGACTCGTTGGGTAAGGTGCTCTATTTCGTTGATAAAGCTGAGCAGGGGGTTAACAGACTGGTGAGCTTTCATATCCCGCTTGGGTCGGCTAACGTCGCTAAAAACCGTATAAATTTTATTCGACTTGCATGCTTTTTTTCCCAAAAGCTACCAAACAATAAGCAATCAAGTCTATCAATATTTCAATTACTGTTGCTATTGCGAAAAAAAAAACGATCTCCTTTCTCACAACTATACGAATTATGTACTGCAGTATTTTGCTTTTTTTAGAAGCTGAAAAACTGAATATTCGCCTGTACGATAAATTTGTCTTTTTGAAAGCAATTTTCTTTCTGGTAAAACTTTTCATTCTTGCCGGACGTTTGTGACTACGATTTTTTGTTTGAGATATTTGAGAGAGACCGACTTTCCGCACTAAAATATTTCGATAAACGAATCTAAGCCGAGCGTCGCAATGAGTTTTATTATCAAAAATTGCTCTCAGAGACGCAAAGTATTCTGTTCAGTGAATATTCAATCTTAACAGCTTGTAGCAAATCATAAAATTTGTTCAGTAAGAAATCATTATGCAACGACGAAATGTAACTAACGGTAACATTCACGAAAATGCTTCCAACGTTTCAAACATATCCTTAACAAAGTTGTCAGTCACCAGTTTTCACCCCCTCAATGATTATCATGTAAATGCTCACACATAAATTGAAGTTCATACATGAAAAAGAAAGAGAAATAAAGACAGAATTGCTCAGGACTTGGAAAAGTTATGAACAGAAAAAAAAGCATCATTCTTATAGTTCTAAAAAAGTTGTATTTTATTCGTATTGAAGCTGTAAAAGAAGTATTGTCATAGGTGTGTACCCTCACACACCTATGACCAATACTTCATTTGTTTTCTGTAATTCTCTTGCAGCTCCTGCAATGTTTCCGATACATCCTGTGCAATTGTATAAATCATAGCATGCGACTAATCACAAACGGCACGACATTACAAGATATCTTCGCATACAATCAATGCGATTGTTCTGTCTTGCTTTTAACGTTTGTCATATCAACGGCGATGTAATCTTGTACTCTTGCGACTTGAAGGTCATTATGCGCACAATATCACGTACATATTTTGTTTATTAACGGGAATTTTCTTGCAGGTTTATCACGTGGCCGAAGGTCGAGAGAAAAATCAAAGATTCTTTGACGAGGACTTGGAGGATCATCAGCCCTTTCCCACGCTGCAGACCGCGCTTCAGGAACTAGAACGACATGTTGGATGTAACATCGAAATCAAATGGACCATGCAATTGAAGGTAAGGATTTTGTTTTTCAACTACTACTTTGTAACATATTTCTTTTTAATACCGAAAATAATAAAAAAAAATGTATCTTTTATCGCCAGGATGGTACATTTGAACTCAATCATCCGTTCGATCTCAACATGTATCTTGATATTATTCTAAAAGTGGTGTTAGAATACGGAGGTGATCGAAAAATAGTATTTTCCTCTTTTAATCCGGACATCTGCGCGATGATACGTCTCAAACAGAACAAGTATCCGGTAGTATTTCTAACGCAAGGCATCACAACGAGGTATCCCACGTATCATGATCCGAGATGTCAATCGGTACCTATGGCAATTAGACACGCATTGGCTGCGGATATCTTGGGAATTAACGTTCACAGCGAAGATATTCTTCGAGATCCGTCTCAGGTCAAGTTGGTGAGAGATGCTGGATTGATCATCTTTTGCTGGGGCGACGATAACAATGATAAAGCTACTATACAACATCTGAAACAACTTGGCTTGCATGCAGTTATATACGACAAGTAAGCGACAAATAACATAGTAAAACGAGATATTAATAATCAAATAAAATTAGGAATAAAAAACATAATTATTTTGACGTAAACTATATTTGTTTTTTTTTTTTAATATGTTGTTTACAGGATCGACGAATATAATCCAAAAGAAAAGAAGGAAAGCATATTTTTAGTTGATGCCAGAGAAAGTCAGAAGGAGCTGATAGCCGTGGCGCAGTGCAGTCAAACACCACAGACACAGATTTCTACTCCCGTGAACGCGGAAAAAGTAATTATAGTATAATTGTATTATAATTTTAAAATTTTTCTCAGGAATTTTATTCTCTTCTAATTATTTTAAAAAAAGTTTTAATACGCATTAAGATTATTAAGTTTTTAAATAAGTAAGCGGTTTTATCGAATAAACGAGATTTATATGATGTGATTTAAACTTTAAAGGAATAATATTAATCTAGGAATATTATTTGGATCGACCGTCGACAACTACGTCATCGCTCGGAACCAGTAACATGAGCAGTGATAGTATATATTCCATGCCGACGTTAATGTTGTCGTCCAACTGCGAGAATAATCGAGAAATCAATGAGATGACCAAGGATTTTAGTGTCTGCGCAAATACCTTCGGTCATTCGGTAAAGACAAAAAGCAACAATTTGGCATGCGGTCAGCCGAACGTTATGCCTGAAGTTTATGGAGAGGATGATGCGGCAAAGGATTGCCTTTGATGCTTTTCCTTCAAAAAGCCTTTCTTCTCGTGGTTTTAAGGAGACATGTCATCAAGAGGGACCCTAGCGCGCGACGATAGCGAGAACTTTTTTTTATAATTTATGATATATTACACTTTACTTAGATGATAAGTCCAAATACCGAGGATTAGTTTCTAAGATCATAGAGAATATTGAAACTGGATCGTTATACAGGCTGTACATAACCAACTCGGATTTAAAACGATCAATGTTATTCTGTAATTTTAAAACTTGCCAGAAAACGGATTTTGCTTTATTGGTTTATAACCTGTATTCAAAAGTTCTAATATGGACGTATAATTTGCTCAATTGTGTTACTTTTTTTTTTTTTTTTTTTAATAAACAAATTCAAGACTACATACAATCACGTCTTTATATATGCTATGAGATATATTGTGCGAAATTAAAAACAAAAATGTTAATTACAGGCTTCAGTGAATCTTGTTTGTAAACAATAGAGAATAACATTGATTAATGTTGTAAAATAGTAATATAACACAATAGTATGCGAAGAAAAAAAGAACGTCCGATTTACTCCACTTCGAATACACACCATTCTCCTACAATTGGTCAGTTTTCTCACGCATTGTACAGTGTGTGTCGGAAATAGAGTATGGCCGGATACGTGAAAAGGAAAGGAATGGTTTTTTTTGCGCTTAGAATATTACGGTTTTGTTGAAGTCTCCTTACACCATTCGGTTTTGCAATAAAATTAATTGAACATTAAGTAATGGTAGTTAATTATTTATTATTTTTTTCACATCTTTTTAACTAAAAGTCAATACGTTTCAATCTAAATGTCAGAGACGTCAAAAATTTGATGTCTAAACAACGATGAAATCTCGTATGAGTGCAAAGTTATAAAAGTTTGTTTCTAAATGTTTAGCGAACACTGAAGCATAGACACGTAAATAATTAAGGGAATTTACGAATTTAACTTTTATTTATTACTATAGTTCAGCTTGTTATCTCACACATAAACACGCAATAGTTTGTCAATTAATCGCTAAATTTTTTTTACAAATAAAACTTGAAAACTAATGTATATTTTATTAGCTACCGGCATAACACTTCCACGCCGGTTGTGTAAATATATAGTAGCACATTCTACTCGTGTACATTTCGAACTCTGTAAATCCGACGCAGGCTGTAGAGAAACTGATTCTAATTTCCGCGAGTTCGAGCGGCGAACTAGCGCGGGAGTTACGTTTTTTAGTACAAATATCTTCAGGTATTTTTATTGTTTAGAATCTGAAAAAAAAAAAAAAAAACATTAGAGCTTCTTCTATATCTCCTTCGCTATCGATTTGGATATTACGATACGAATGAGTAATGAAAAAAAAAACAAAACAAAAACAGGAAAAACACCGAAAGATGTTACTTGTACGCATACAATACACGATGCAATTAATTAATATATTTTTAATATATTTTTAATATATTAAAAAAATATATTAATAATATATTAGTAATATATTAATATAATATATTTAATATATTTTTTACAAGCTGTCAAACAAATTTCGCCACGCAAAGGCGAGAAAAGAAAAAAAGCTTGTGAGTAATCACAATACACCACGAATTGCCTTTCTGACAGCTGTATTTTAAGTTTTGACGGTAATTGTAAGGTGAACTTTTTTCAGTAGTGATGTAGGAATCATGACCACTTGTTTATATATCACCTGAAACGAGACAATGTATACATTATTCGATCGGCGCAAACACGATCGAAAAAATACATATACAAATTGCTGAAAAAGATAAATAAAATTTTTTTTTAATTTTTTTATTTTGCATATGTATTTTTTTATTTTGCATTATTGTAACACTTATAAGTTGGCAGTCAGTTTTGTTCATTCTTAGTAGTTTTTTACAATATGATTGCGAAATACCTTGCGATCTTCTCTGGTGTACGTCGGACGTATGATGTTCACAGTTCGCGTGCGTGTCCGAAATCATTGAAAATCGTTTTTACTAAGATTTCAAGTTGACCTCTCACACTTAGTAGTCGAATAAGAAAAGGAATTTTATCCGCTTTATAGGAACAATCTATTGAACGCACCATGTTCCTTTAGGGCAAATAAAATAATAAAACCCTTCAACCGATAGCATTTGTCTATCTTACAGTGACACAAACGAGCCGAGCTCGTTGTACCGTCCGCTTCGGATTTTGATATCACAACAATTTGCAGTCTTTTTCATTAAAGATAAACGACGTTTCGCTGTGTGCAAGTAAAAAACCAACGCTTAGCAACATTGCGCTCACAATGAATTTTTTTCACGATCAAGCTTGTAACGAAATCAAGATCAAGTTGTGAAATATTTATCTGTCAAACGTTGTATCAAATTCATGCTCGAAATTTACATAGAAAACTTGAGCGATAATAACTTGGGAAAAAAAAATAGAATTGGATAAATTTAGATTATTTGTTAAATTATTGGATAAAATGAAATTAAATTATTGCTTACAATACTTGATTTTGTGTCACTGCATATAAGTTAAACAAAATAAATCACTGAAGAATTCAATGAGATCGAGTTATCATGAGATATCTTTTTGTTAAATGATATCGCGAAAATGTGACGATATACGAGTTCTTAAAATATATAAAAAGAATGGAATTCCTTATATATGTATATGTATAATTAGTATGATAATGATGAGTTGATTATTACGATAATTTAATATTACACATTGTTGTAAAAAATTATATTACGCTACATGATACTGTTACATATTTAATTATTATAACACGGTAGATTGTCGAAATGACGCAACTAAAGGTTGACTTCACAGCGCAAAGAGTTGATGACCTACCTACCGGATGAAGGGTTAATGAAAATATAGGTGCTTATATAAATGAGACGATTTTGAAATTTTTCACGGTGAAAGATAAAAAGAGAAAGAAATATGTATATATATATATAATGAAAAAAAAAATATATATATATATATACACATATATATATAAAATATATATGTATGTAAAATGTGTACCGCATTATGGTAGTAAAGCTGTATGTATATGGCTACACAGAACGATTGTATCAATCGACGAGACTCTGGCAATGTACAGTATATTTGTTGGGGAAAAATTAGCAAATACACTACTTGCATTGTTATAGAATTAAATCACTGCGCTATGTATATACATGCAGTGGTTATTTATTTTGTCTTTTTGTTTTTTTAAGTCGTTTTTACAAAAAAGCTGCGCATTTTGTTGACTCCTTGCGTCCAACGAAAGCAAATCGCAGAGACATTACCGGAGAGAATTACGTTACCGTGTTCTCCGTTTATTTAACAAAAATCACGCCGATAAATTAGAAAGGCTGGAACATGAACATGGCGAATAAATTGAAAGAATAATTAAATTTTATTATTGAATATAACAATAAGTTTTTTTTTTTTTCTAGTAAACACGGCAATAATATTGAGTGTATTAACATATATTGTAGCGCATTAATATTTAGCATAAGCGGCAAAGAGTTAATTCGGAAGAGAGACTTGGGAACTTGAATAGTGTGATTTTCGGATGAAAATATCAATATGAGAAAAACATATACGTGTGAAAAATTTATAATGTAACAAGTATCGAATTAAAAAAAATCTATGAGATAAAAAAGATGTTTTGTATTTTAAAAAAATATGAACAATTGTGTTGAAAATTTTAATACAATTAATATTTTAACAACGCGTATCTACGATAAAAATAAGACAATAAATTTTGACCACACGCTATTTAAGTTCCGAGTAATTTTCTTGCGCACACGCGAGTTAGTGATCTCTTTTGCAAGATTTAAAATATTGTGTATTGCAGATTGACTTCGTTCGATCTTCGAACTTCGGTCAGTCGGCAAACTTGAAGCGTACATAGTTAAGATTTCTATAATAACACAATTTATCCATTTCCACTTCTACTTTGTTTACGTTATACAACAACGAGGAAAGAATGGAAATAATAATTTATTCTTGCCGAGATAATAAAACATTTGTATTGCCAGACTGGATAATTTCACGACTGTATGCATTTTATCCCGACGATTACCTTTCGCTCATCCGTAGAAATTTTCGAGGAAATCGAGTGTTTTTATTTTTTTATAATAAATTGTATCATAAAATAACTATCAATAATCGTCATGAATAATTTTATCTCGTTTTTGTTTTTTTATGTTTGAAGTATATCTTTGTGGCGCAAATCGAAATTAAGACAAGAATCTGAGGAATGCGTCAGTATTGTTTTTTTTCTCGCACGAGATGTAAAGTGTAATATTTTTTACTTTTTTTTTTTTAATTTATAAAATAAAATTAATTCTTATGGTAAGAACATGGTATAGCAAATTTGTTCGCGTAAAATATGTATTTATAAAACTATTTTTATATTTATTTATGTTAATTTTATAAATGTATATATGTATTCTCTGGTAATTTAGTGCAAATGACACAGACTTATTCTGTCTCTTTCTTTATTTTGTGCTGCGTGTCTCACTTTTGTTTCACTTGTTCAAACGACGGAGGCGCTGGTAATCTTCATTACATCATGAAGATACTGATCTAGTAGTCCATGATTATATATACATATATACAACATATGTATAATATGATGTATGTATACGTATATATGTGTATATATATAGCGTCCATCTGATCGACAGAGGGCGCTCGTAATTTTCGAGTTGGAGGATAAAAAAGATGGCGGATGCAGTACGCGCAGCGATTGTGTGTTTTCTTCAGGCGCGTTGACATCCGTGACGAGGAGCGTCGTGCAGCCGCCCGGACAGCGCGAGTGATAGCTGTCGCGAACAAGCACGAACGAGCGTGTGTGCGTGCGTGTGTGTATATGTGTGTGTGTGTGTAAGCGCGATTACGCGATTCCGTCGCACGCGTGCGTGAATGCGTGTGTATCTCCCCATCTTCGTGACTAACGCGAGGGACTACGTTTTCCAACGAGTGCCACGAAATATGTCAGAGGCTCCGGAAGCATGAGTGAGGGAGCGGATTCGGGGACAGTGCAGATTAGCGAGGATTCGTGTAAATCCACGAAGAATGACGGCAAACATGATGCAACGGCCGCGACGACAACGCCGTCGTCGTCGTCGTCGTCGTCGCTGCCATCAGCACCACCACCATCATCAGCACCGCCGTCGCAGCCGCAGCTATCGGCAAGAACAAGCACCGGCAGGAGGCCGCGCTTCGGTACCGGTGGTCCACCGCCGTCGCCCTATATGTGGATTGATGGCCGTCAGCTGCGCAGCGCTCTGGCCTGGACTAAGAAGTCGCTACCGCGACGTGTCAGCTTCCCCTCGAGCGACAATCATCTGGTGACAGGCTACTTAGAACCTGCCAACCCCTGGCGACATGGTGAGCAGTATGGTCGTGTATATCATCTTTCTGCGATATATGTGTGGGTGTGTGTGTGCGTGGGTATGTGTGTGCGTGTGTGTGCGTGTGTGTGTGTGCGCAGTATTCTCTTTATTTGATCGTAACAGGTTGAGCATTCATTCATTGCACTTAAGAATATATTTTAAGATACATACACCTGTCTGTTAATTTAAATTTATTGTGACATATTGGTGAGATATTGTGATTTATACTGTTTCACAATGGACAGTTGGTTTAGGTTGAGTAGCTCTGGTTAGTAGTTTATTGTTGACCTTTATGACACAGACAGAAGAAGATAATATAACAGGATTAATACCGACAGAACTTGATGCAACCAGTTTATGGATGTTATAGGATCTAAAAGAACATGTTCTGTACACAAAAAGATGAAGCATGATCTAAGTTTGCTCGTGTGATGTACTCGGACTCCAGATTTATTCCAAAAAAAAAAAAAAAACAAAAATTTTCAATAATTTTCTTCATTTTATACTGCTTTTTGTTGAATGAGTTTCTGACATTTTAATGTAGATAATAAGTACTGCTTGTTTGTTTAAATTTTTTTTTTTTTTTTTTTTTTTTTTTAATTATTTTAAGCACTAATACGCATATTTATTTATTCAATTTGATTGTACTGATTTGTCTCTGGTCTTTTATAATTTGGTTGTGCATTTTGTTACTATACTATCAGGTTTTTTTATAGACTGTGTCTTTCAAGTAGAAGATTTTGCAATATAACACTATATAAATATAATGTACTAATTATAAGTTTGATGTGTTGGACAGATTGAAGTCTGTCTCTCGCACAGCGTACAATAAAAAAAAACTTTAACAATAATGGTTATTACATGCAAATGTAAATTTACTATTTGTTATTGTGTGGTGTACAAAATAATAATTTTCAATAAAACATATAAATACTTGTAGAAATCTTAACAAATGTTATTAATGTTTTTCTTTATTTTTATAATCTGTTTTTTGTTTAATACAATTTTATCATGCGTGTAATATGTTATTATACTCCTTTTGTACTATATCATGTGCGTCAGTTACTCATCAAGATCATCCAAGTATTAGAGAAATTGAATATTTGAAATAATTGTTTTTTTTTTTTTAACATATTTGAAACATGATACGAAGATTTTTTTAAAGTTTCAAAATTTAAAAGAAATTTCGCATTTACACTTGCAAATGTAAGTATCTATATAATTTATATATATACACACACACGTATACATAGTAACATTAGTAATATACGTATGTCATATAAACTAAAGTCATCAATAATTGTTCTCAGCTGAAAATGTGAATCGTGAGGATTTAATCTTCGCTTACAAGGAGTCCTGTGCACGTCACAATACTGAACCTTTACAAAATGTTTTAGTTCAGTTAGAGGTAAATGTGCAATTTATTTTTCTTCATTATACTCTATTATTCTTACATATTACGATTATATTATTAGATGCTTTTTGTTATGCATGAAAATTACAAGAGATATGAAAGTTGAATGCGCATGTAATGATAAAACGAAAGAAGAACTTGGGCTTGCGAGAACTGGGCTTTTGTGCATAAATATGTTCAACTTGGTTGCTGACGCTAAACTAGTTTAGATAAAAATGTTTATCTTTTTTACTCTCTTTTTTTTTTACCGCGTTATTGTTTGAACATGCTGATTTTTAATAGCAGGATTTTTTAAATGCGGCTTCACTCATTTGCAGTCATTTGCTGCTTCAAAGAATGCATTTGATTCTAACCGAAGTTTAACGTTTGGCTAACTATGCGGAGAAGAAAAAAGGTTTTTAGTTTATTTGATATATGTATATATATATATGTTCTTTATTTTTTCTTGTTGCGTAGAATCTGGATATAACTCAAGATCGTTACGAAGAGTTGAATTTAAAAGGAGAAAAATTGAATCAGGACAATTCTGAACCGTTAGAAGAGATACTGAAGAGAGTGCAATTTAAGAAAATTAATTTAGAAGGAACATCTCTGAACGAAGAGGTAGTTGTCCGCAGAACACATGAATTGTTTCTTTTATTTTACTGTCAAGTGTTATTTGATATGCGCATAATTGACATAACAATAAGTAATTATTATTGCAGAGTGCTACAATAATATTTGATATGTTGGAATATTACGAATCTGCGAGATACTTAAATGTTTCGTCTAATCCAGAAATCGGAGTACGTGGCTGGCAAGCGTGCTCGCATATGATTAAGAAGGTACACACATACATGTATTTTCAGTGATGAAAAATTCGTTATGAAAATGTTTTTTTTTTTATACGTACATATCAATCTTTTCTAGTTTCGTTTTTTTTTTATTTTTCAACAAATACAACTTAGTTGAGAGATACGTGTTAAGATAATGTAACTAATGCAGTTCTTATTTATTCTTATTCGTTTTTAGACTCAGTGTTTAGAGCAGCTTGAAGCGAGAGACATAATGTTTAACGAACAAAACATGAACATTTTAACCCGTGCGTTGCGATTAGTTAGTCATCTACATGTTCTTAAATTGGAAAATTGTGGACTATCGGGAAGAGCAATCGTTAGCCTTGGTATTTATCATGTTGATGTTTAATGTTTTTTTCTTATATATATATATTTATTAGAATATATTACATATTGCATCTATACATGTATTTTTCTTAGTCTTAGATAACTCACCACATATTGATTGTAATAAAAATAGTGATATTTATATATAATTTACGATATAGCGAGAAACAAATATGTTTGAGAAACATTAGTGTGACAAAATCTTTGAGAATTTTTGTTACAATATTGTTTTTTTACACGTAAATTTATAACTCATTTGTTTTCGCAACAGTTACAGCTCTAAAAATGAATAGCGGCATACGGGAACTATATTTAGCCGATAACGGGCTCAATTTTCACGATGCTATACAGCTTGGATCTCTCTTGAGAATGAACAATCACTTGCAACTGCTCGATATTAGGTATTTACTACTTGATAATTAGAAATTGGCAAATATTTTTCTACTAAATTTTGTCTTGCAAAGATGCTCAAATATTTCTCTGTATTTAGTGATGTTTTTTTTTTTTTATTTTTATTTATTTATTTTTTTTTTTAATTTAAATCTTATAGATTTCTCTGCGAACTTCTCTTTGTAAGTTTAGTTTTAATAATAGAAAGCAGTTTATACTTGCACATTGAATTGCGTGCACACATTTGCTTTTCATCATTTTCAAACTCGCGCATATTGTGTACAAACGAGTAACGATATTAGTACATTCGTGTTTTTTTTTTTTTTTTCTGAAACTGTTTCTTCAGTAATAATAACGTCCAGGACGACGGTGTGCGTGATATATTAGAAGGTTTGATCAATCAAGTGAACGAAGATAAAACTGGCAAAGGGCTCAGTATCCTGATATTATGGAATAATCGCCTGACCAAGAAATCATCATCCTACCTTTCAAGGATTCTAGTATGTACTACAAACATCTTGTGAATTATATGTTGTCTTTATCTGCCAATTTTTGCACTTGTTTCATGCATAGCGACTATGTTTGCGGCTTGTATAAATCATATAACACGTATGATCTAATCCTTTGATATTAACATGAAAGGAACTATATAGGAGATAATCCATGGTTTTGATTATTTTGCTAGTAGATTTTATATTCGGCAAGATTAACTTCAATTAATCGAAATGTTCACCGCTATTTTTATACTTCTAATATTTTTTATCACATTATGTGTATATTGTGCTATTAACATACACATAGTTTTGAAAAAACTCGATCGAAAGAAAAAATAAAAAATAAGCGATCGAAAAAAAAAAAGCGGCTTCAGACAGCTTGAATATATTTTACCCGCAAAACGTTTTTTAAATGATAAAAATCTAAAAATATCTTAAGTATCTCAGACAGAGTAAAGAGTGAGACAAATAAAGCAATAAAAAGTATGCTGTTTGTAGCGTAAGGCGTTTGCTGCCCTATTATGCCCACAATAATTATGTTCAGGCATTATCGAAAACATTGGAGACTCTGAATATCGGTCAGAACATGCTGACGGATGAGACATTGAGCACCGTTAACGAGTCACTGAAGAAGAATCGTGTTCTTTTGCAATTGGGCATGCAATCAACGGAACTCACATGCGACGGAATAATCACACTCGCTGACATAATGGAGACAAATCAAGTTCTGCAAGTAAGTACCTTTCATATTGTTGGTTTTTTAAAATTAATCTTGATGTTTTTTTGTATTCATCGCTCACATATTATCTTTTTGTCATTTATACAGAGAATAGATTTACGAGACAATACTATTCAAATGCGCGGTATGAATGCTCTCGTGAACATTATGAAAAAAAACAAGACTATTACGCAAATCGACTTGGACGATAAGCCACGAATAAAGATAGTGAGTATCAATGCTTGTTACATGCCGAAAATGCGATAATGAAAGACATTCTTCGCGTTATTTTTATCCGATACTCATGTACAATATTATTTTCGTTTTTACTTCTGAACAAAGGATGGCCCTTTACATGAGTATACCAGAATGGTTGCGGAGATTCGCAGTTGCTGCGGTAGAAACGAAGAGCGTCGCCTGCTGGAGGAGTCAACCGAGGACACGGAGAGTCCACAGAATGCGAACTCCCGTAAGATTTCGCTTACCTGTCAGACACTGCCAACTCCACCATCACGATCTGCGACGTCGTTGGTCGCTGACGAGCCGACGGCGCGCGCCATGCTGGAGCCGAAGCGTACTAGCGGAGGCCGTTTACGCTCTCCGGCCCCCAGTCCCATCCCTTCCCCTGTAGCTAGTCCGATCCCCAGCCCGTCCCGAAATCGCTTTGTCGTGTGTCGCGTACCGGAAGCATCGTTGCGCTCTACCGACTCCTCAGCGTCCTCCTCACCGGTTACCCCACCGTCCCTTGGTTCGTCCCCGTGTTTTTTCCACAACGCTAACAGCGGCTCGTCGCGATTTCGCGTATCAGTTGTTGAATCGACAGGAGGCCGCTCGTCGCCACAGTCGGTCGTTGCTTCCTCCAGAAGCTCAGTCACTATCGGCTTTAATGTCACGGTTCATTCGAACGATTCCGACAATGTTGACAGCTCAACCAATAAAGCGATCAAAGCTGATCGCAATGACACAGCTGTGTCTGTAAACACGTTTAATGTAGCCTCAATAACGGAAAAAACATCATCAAATCAGGATGTTGCAAGGAATAAAGATTGTTGCGAAAAAAAGACGATAAACGAAAAAACGCAATCGAATGAACGCGTCGATGCGACGATGTTGCCCAGAACAAATGAGATCGTGACGTGCGAAAACGAACGTCATCAAAAAACCGGAGAGAAAGAAGAGATATCAGCGCGGAACAACGTTATCGGGACATTGCAGTCTGGAGGAGACGTAAACATTACAGCAAAATGTGAGAATTTTCGCAACAATGTGACTAATCAGAGCAACGTTACAAAAGATCTCGGGAGCGTTGCGACGACTGACAAATCGATTAAGGATGATTGCATTAAGTATACGAGTACAAAAGAACTACAGGTACCTGCTTATCCGAATAAGGACACAACTTCGACGAAGATTATGGTACTCGGGGATGAGAATCCGAAAAGCGGGATAATATCGCCCTTAAACAAAGAGTCAGAATTGTGTCTTGATCAAAGAACTTCGGGAAAGTTGTCTACTTGTGTTGAGGAATCTTCTGAAACGAGCACTGCGGAAACGTCTTTGACTCACGCGACAGAGTCACACACGCAAGAACAGGTTAGCACGTCTGTACAGAAACACAAGTCCAATCTGGAGAAGCTTCTGTCGTTGTTTCAGCATCCGGGTCATTTGTTCTCGAACGACGCCGCAGACACGAGAAACTCTTTGCAGGAGAACGTGAGCAGCGTGATGACGTTGGGTGACAAATTGCAACAGTATCTGAAGGAGACTCGGGCCAAAGTCAGTACCGACAATTCCTCGTGGCATTCCTCGGAGCACGAATCTCCGTCGAAGAGTAAATCAATGAAACTAAATGTACAGCAGCTACAGAATTTTACTGGCATATTTACGTCTTTCAAACTCGAACCTCACGCGAATCTTGTCGAGCAGGGCACCAAGCTTTTCGGTCAGATCAAGAATCAAGGGGCGAATGTAAAAGAGAAGGATTACGAAAGATCGACAAAATTTGACGTCGCTAAAGTGGACGAAAACCTCTTATTTGATCAGGAAAAAAATCAAATTATGAGAAACAATGGCGCGAATAACAATGACACGGAAAACAGTCAAATGACGAAAAATGACGAGAGTAATTTGTTCGATGAGGAGCAAAATCAGATTGAGAGAAACGATGAGACGGATTTGACCAGCAAAGAGGGGAATCAGATTGTCAGAAATGATGAAAACAATTTAGTCGATCAAAACACCAATCAAGTTTTGAACAATGAGAAAAACTTGATTGATCAGGCGGGGATACAGGTTGTGAGAATTGATGAGAAGGATTTGGGAAATCAGAAGAAGAAACAGACCGACGAGAACGTGAACGAGAGTTTTGAGATTGAGGATAAAAATCGAATTGTTCAAGAAATCACTGAAAGTGAAAATTTATCGGGTGGGAGGCAAAATAAGATTGCAACTGACGACGAGCACGATTTAAACAATTGGAAAATGGTATCTGATGCAGAACACAACCGAGATTCGGAAGATTGTAGTAAAGAAATTAGGATTAGGAAAAATAACAAATATTCCATAAACACGCAAGATGTAAACGTTAGTGAGGATGTATGTAGCGTAAATAACTTACAATGTACACAATTTAATCTTAGTAATCGACCGTTACCTGACAGTGTGCAATCAAAGGACAATTTTGCTGATAATGTAGTATTAGACGGCGGCTGTATCGCGACGAATGCAGCGTCATCGTTTATTAGCGAAGACACTTATAAGTCCGTTGCGTGTATAGATTTAAAGTTAGCGAATAAATATAAATATAAACATTGTGCTTTAGAATTAAGTAAGACTGATAAAGCAGGGTGTAAAAACGCAAGGTGTTGCGAAAATTTTGTTAGTGACGATGAGGATAAGGGAGAGCGCAACATTACGCAGGATTCGAAAATGGTAGAGCATAATTATGCCGAACGCTTGAAACGCGATAACTCAGAGATTTTAGATAATAATGACAATGCAAAGTGTTCGGAACGTAACGACACAATTGGGGAAGCGAATGTTTTAACGGTGAAAAGGACATGTGATACTTCGACGGACAGTATTAATCAGACTAGTGATAGTAGTTTTTTGATTTATAATATAGCACATAATAGAAAAGCTGTAAATAATAGCGTAAGTATTGCTAGCACGTCGATGTGTGCCACGGCGGATGACGATGCCATGATTCAATCTACGCCGGATAAAAATGAGACATCGTCGGTGGACGATGTCGAGACGTTGTCGACCGCATTGAAGGATGTTGATGTGAACGACCACTTAAGGGAAGAAATGACCGGTAACACATGTCGCATAATCGATCAAGATCAACGATGCGACTTCACGACGGAGGAGACGAAGGAGGGCCCGGCAGAAATCCTCGACGATGCTTGCCGCGATACCCGTCATCGTAGAAGTACAAGTGTAAATATTAAGATAGAACCGCACGAGTCTGAATATCTGACAAGTTCAGATATTCAGGAGACATCGGAGAGGCACTGCGAGCGGCAACCGAATATGCCAAATAACGTCAATATACATCGAACCAAGGAGGAGATCGAAACCTATTCGGAGAACTCAACTGACGACGACAAGCGGATCGATCCGACCATCCTTGTTACGCCGTACGAGGCGTCCGCGACTCTAGACAGATCTGATGCTGAGGAACTAATTTTTTGCATGACCGACATATCCACGGACGGCACGTCCATGGAGGACGAGCTGTCACCGAGTATCATATCCAGGAATTCGCCGAATGACGTCGTTAAAGCGGCAGAATCGTTCTTCGAACTGCCAGCTTTGAGGACCACATCAACGGCCACGCTGCTGATCGAGAATTCTGAGGACATACACAGGAATAGTCAGGATTCGGGAATCGAAGAGGCCATTCTTGCGATCGTCGATGCTGTCGAGACGGTGGACGCGCATCCGTTGCCGCTGCCACGTAGCAGTCTTCAGGAGAGCGTGGACTCCGGAATCGAATCGGAGTGTTCGTCGTTATGCGTCAAGGTGGAGTCAGCTGCCGAACGAACGTCCGAGTCCGTCGCAGTCTCCAAGAAAATCTCGCGCGACTACAATATCGCTCGTGATCGAGACGACGATGATGCGGGAGACGACGGCGACGATGACGACGACGACGACGACGACGACGACGACGATGAGGACAACGACGATGGTGGTGATGACAACGATGTCAACGACGAATTCGAGGAATTCACATCAGATTTTCTCGCGAGAGAGACACGATTGGTAGATAATGACAACGTGAACGACGACATTGCACACTCGTATCTCAACAGTATCAAGTATACAGTCGTCAACGCGGCGAGGTCCATCGCTGAAAGTGCACCGTTAGGAGTCGCAGCCACCGTTGACAAAGACAACGTCGCTCATTCGGCAACATCGGTGGTCGCGCATTCTCCTACAATCGTGCACGACACCAGGTGAGTATATCACCTATAGATATATTGGATGCTTTCTTTCTTTACAGCTTTATAATCTCGTTGCAAGAACATAAAATACGTTGCAAACTCCACTCGGCGTGCTGCTATTTTATTACGTATATAAATTTTCTCTGTCGATCTATCTTTTCAAATAAAAATTTATTCTTATCTTTATGCTTTATTTCTTTTACATAATTTTCTGTTTTTTTCCTCATTTTTGTGTATGTTTATTATCATTATCAATCATTATTATCAATCATTATTACATTTATCCCTTCTGTCTCCTGGTGGTGTATGATTATTTCAAAACACCTTTGTGTGTGTGTACGTGTACACATGTCACTTTTTATAAAGTTTACAACATCAAAATTACAAACAACTCACATACACACAAACACATTTTGGTTTATTATTGTTAATAAACTCAATTATACATCTGTCTCGTTCTTTTCTCTCTCTCTTGCTTTTTTCTGAAAAAACTTTTGCTCAGTTTTTTCTTTAAAAAAATTGCACACAGCTTTTATTTTTTCTTCCCCGAGCGTGCAAATATATATCACACTATTTAGAATATAAGAACAATGCTCTCTGTTTTTGCAGTCCAAAATAATAAAATGGAAATGAGAAAAAAGGAGGATAACAGCAGCAAAGAGAATGTGCTAAATGCAACGGAATATGACGATGACGAAATCGACGAATTTGAAGAGGTGATGAAGCAGCTCGAGCCAAAATATCGACGGTATGCCAACTGGCGAATCTGAATACTACGCAAAATTGTTTATCATTAATTTGGAAGGTAATACAAAACAAACACATGTTTGACTTCAAGGCTATAGGCTCGTTTACATCAAGTCTATAGATAGCGACAATTGTATATTGTATTTTTCATAGCCGTGTATGTAAATTCTTGATTCTTTAAATAATTTGTGAGCGATATTAAGGATCCTCGCTTTGTGAGTTCTATCGTTTTATATTTTTGAAATCAAACATTTTTTTGTATAGAACTCTGTTTTTCTTTTTTTTTCAAAAATTTATAGATCTTTCGAGCTGTAAGATGAGACAATGTAAACAAAACACATTTTGACGTGGTTTTTAACGACTCCCTGGTAGAGGAAAGTACGCATATATACATATAATATATAATTAGTAATTATTGTAAACTTAATTTTTAAATCGTAATAGATAAAAATAGTGTCTTATATATTAGTTAGATTTTGTCGGCCATTTTTTTATTTTTCGGAAAGAGGAAAGGAATAATAAAGCTGCCGGGAAGCAGGGAAAGATAAAAAATGTATAGCAGACGATCGATTCTAGTCTCGAAGACAGTCGATCTGTCAAGAAAAACTGTAAACTTAATATGCAACACTGTCTCTCGCCGCGCTATGAAACACACTGGCAGTGATCAATAATGCCAGTGCTTCTTAAACTTACAAGACGAGACATCAAAGAATGGAATTTGTAGTTTGTTTTGCGTGTGTGTGTGTGTATGTGTGCGCGTGTGTTTGTTTGTTCGTCGTGTATACGCCTCGAATTTCTAGACAAACTTTTTTTTTTTTTGCGAAAAAAAAACTTTTATTACAGATAAAATAGTTAAATATATAACAAAAAGATAAATATATCTGTCACAATTAACGTACTAATCAACGTAGAATTATCAGTTATCAATTTCTGTCGAAAATAGTTTAAGGAACACTGACTTAAAGAACATGGCAATTACCTTAAACGAAATACTTTAACGAAGTATTACTTAAATATACATCACTGTTAACTATATCTGAAAAACCTTCCTGAATGCCTTGCATGTACAGTATGTCGTAGAAAATATGGAAATCAGTGATAGATTACGCTTGTGAAAAAAGATTTTAAATCGATTTATATTGAAAGAGAAAAATCATCTAATAAATATAAGTTTATATTTTTATTTCGGTATCGTATATTGTATAATATATTAAGTTCTCTAAAAGAAAAAAACGTAACTCAACTTTCAACTTTCAAAGATGTAAATAGATATTGGAGTTACAAAATTTGTGTAGATTTTATTTTATCAAAGCTAATAGATTATCGAAACATTTAATGTTGAAGATTAAATCATTGTTTAGAAGTTTTGAACATTTATTAAGCAATATCGAAGCTACATAACAGCTTCATTGAAGATATATGGTTCTTGTTACTGATTATCATGTTCTCTGAGATGTTCTATATATATTTATATATGTATTTGTATGTGTGTGAATAGATTTGTAGCGTCTCGTATGTATGGTAATAATGAATGTGTCGATGAGAACGCGATCTAGAAATATGTTCGCAGTTTAAACGATCGTGTTTTACATCACAGACGATAAGTTTCGGTGACGACTCAAATCTGCATGATTTTGTGAAAATCTATAAAGCTCGAATGATATAAATGTTTAATATTTATACTATTTTCGACGATATAAACAAAATAAAGATGCTATTTATTTTCTACAAATTTATATTTTATATGATAGAAAAATTGAACGCCGTGCGTGACTTCTCTGATTCGAATTTATCTTCGAAGAAGATCAAATTTGTGTTGATTTTCTCGCTGTAAGAAGTAATAACTGTTTTGACAATTTTTTATGCGAGAGTAACAAAATTATTTTATATTTTGTATAAAATTAAGATTTTTCTAGAGAGAGAAAAGAGATTGTTTGTTTTTTTTTTTTTTTTTTATAAGTTATGTTGTTTTTATTAATATTGTGATTTTTTTAAATTATTTGTTTTTAAATTATTTGTTTTTAAATTATTTGTTTTTAAATTATTAATTTTTGTGAAGTAACAGTATACTTTGATACGATATTTATAAATGTTCTTTTGTTCTCACATGTCTTTCTATTGTATCGTCTATATGCAGATTCGAGTCTCCTCGAGAGTATTATCGAAATCATATTTACGTGTAGCTCGCAGTTTTCTGAAAAAAAAAACAAAAAAAAAAAACAAAACACTAAGAGAGATCTATTATTATATTATTATTAAATTATATATATATATATATATCTCGTTTATTGTTATTTACTTACATACAAATCTCGTTACAAATGTAAATATATATATCTATATATACATGTATGTATAAGTATACATGCATAAAATATAAGTATGTGTATGTATATGTATATGTACAGATAAATATATACTTGCCACGTTGCTAGTGGCTAATGTTGTGTAGAAATAAGATTGTCACGGTGTTAAGACGATACAACTGTAAAACATTCTTGTACCTGTCTCTTACTGAGCAATAATTGCACGTGCAATTATGGCATTTTTACTCCGCGTTTGACAATTTCATCAAGCAGTGAATATCAACATCCACACAAAAGTTTTTTGATATATTACCCCGACAATATATAAGTAACAAAGAATTGCTAAACTTTTTACTGTTTCTTTGCGCGTTTGGTCAAAAGAATAGTACGTTGAATGATAAATACGAAACATAAAACAAGAATAATCTCATTTATTCGCAAATTTCGCATCGTTATTATATAAATGTATTTCGTAAATATCGAAATGATAATGAGTCATTAATAATAAGTACATATGTACACATATATATATATATTTGACAACTTAATTTCTAACGAAAGGTCACGGTTGAAAGAAAGATATCAGTTGTGTGTGTTGCGCGTGCAATTAAAGCACATGTCCTATCTTGTAACACGTACAACTTCCGTGCTATCGAAAAAAAAAAAAAAAAAAAAAAACTACCGCAATAATTTTATAAAGTTGCAGTTGCACGCGCACTTATTTCCCAGTGAAAAAAAAAATGCGAATTATTAATCCTAGATTTTTGCCGTGCTCCAAAGTCGCGATCTGATAAACTGATTGCGAATTATTGTAACTCAAAAATTGTACAAAGCGTAAAAACGTACAAAGAAGAAGGACGATCTTTTTGCCCTGTCGTTCCCAAAATATTAATACGTTTAAATATTAGACAATGTTTGAAGCTTGTAAAAAATTTTTGTAATGGTTTCTCTATTTAAGTGTGTATTTTATATAATACGGTTTTACACCCCACTCCCTCTTCTTCCCCCCTTACCCCCAAAAATGAAGGATCAAGATTTAGGTTTTGTCTATTCTCGCGTAACGAATCTCTTATCCACTCTGCAACAAATTCAATCTTTTAACGAAAAAACGTGGTTTTAAAGTTAAGTTTTAGTTAAAGTTGAGAGAGACAGAGAGAGAAAGAGAGAGAATTTGAAAGAAAACCATATGCGCGCATGTGTGTGTGTATGTGTGTGTGAAATTCGCGAAAATCTTCGAAACAGCAATTAGCGATTTCGCACGATTTATTGTTGCTTGTTCGCACACTCGCGAAGAAAAAACATTTGGAGAGAAGAAACTCAAACTTAACTTTTGTAATGATTTCGTAAAGAACAAATAACATTTATTAATAAAAATAAACGGATGTAATTTTATTAGAGCGATAAGAGACGTTTTTTCTTACAACGTTTTATCACTTACGACGAGCTGCCTTTTATGTGTATATATATATAATATGTTTTTTAAAGATAAGAATCTATTTGGAAGATTTTCTCTTAAACCGATATAACTCTTTTTGCGAGTGTTTCTTCTTGTTCAATCGTAAAGAAGAAAGATCAAAGTTTTTAAAGAAAGAGAGAGCGAGAGAGAAAGAAAGCTCTGGAAAGAAAACTAACAATTAGTTTTCCTAGGTTGCTTTATATATATATACATACATATGTGTGTATGCATGTGTGCGTGTTGTGCACATGAACAAATGTGAATACATTGAATGTATGCGACATTCTTAATGTATGTGTGTAAATAACTTGCGGAACGGCACATTCTAAAAGCGTCCTGAGAATAGTAAGTAATTATAATGAAAGAGAATTCTTATGTAATATCGAGAGATATAAATTGAGTTTGAGAGATTTTACCGAATTGACGTATATGCGAAAGAATAAAAGATGGATTTAATTATACAATTGCGCGATCTCATGTTTTTTTTTTTTTTTCACCCACCGTTCCTTATATTCCACATTTTAAAAGACAATCCTCTTCTGGTTTTAGAACTCGTACAATGTACAATCTGAGAAATGTATGAGTAATCGAACAAAGTAGAGTCAGCAAAAAAAAAAAAAAAAAAAAAAAAAAAAAAAAAAAAAAAAAAAAAAAAAAACAAGCGTCAGAAAAATAAGATACGACACGGACGATTTATCATCAAGGAGAGAGTTACAATAACAATTCCAACAAGAACCTTCGATTTTTCATATGTTACGTTTATTAAAGCTTCTGCAATACAATTTACTAATAATTGTTTGCACAACCTTACGTTTTCCCATCGTGTGTGGTACGAGTTTCAAAAGAATATAAATCGCACACACTCTCTCTCGTACCTCGAAAGTTCGCTGTATTTTCTTGTTTTTGTTTCACAACCTTTACTGTTTTTTTTTTGTTTTTTTTGTTTTTTTTTTCGTTACAATTTTTCCTCGGCTACACGAATCCCGTTGTTTCCTCGTTATTCGCACGACGCAATACCAACATACATTGGAATATCAACGCTCTCTTTGCTATCGACGCGACACGCGATATACATATATATATATATATAATAATTATATATAAAATAGAATATTTCGAAAATAAACGCTCAGATCTGTACAACCGAAAAATGATATACACTTACCGTATTTATGTATATACGTAATTTTTTATATATGTATACAATACATATATCTTTCTATGTATATAAATGTACACAATATCGATGCTTCTGTGTACTTCTTTAGTACTATATAAATATAAATATACTTATGTATATTTGTATTTATATTTACGTACGCTCTCGTGTGGAGCAACATGATCGAGTGTTAAGCGATGAATGAACAAAGCGAAATCGTCGCGAATTGCAATCGATCGCGTGATCTAAATTTTCACAATAAAAAAAAATAAAATAAAAACTAAAAAAAAAAAATTACCTTCAAACTCCCGTCTATCTTTCTCTCTCTCTCTCTAAATGGTCTTCTTCGATTCCATAAAAGATCTTCAAAATCACGCATGGAAGAGTTCTCGAGATATATGTAAATTTTGAGAAGGAACTTTGAATTTTTCAACACGCTTTACGTACTTTCGAGCGATAATATATATGGAAAAGTGAAGGAGATTAATATATACATTGGCGAGTAAGAGAAGCCGACAGGAGAGAGACAGGGACTGATATAGATAGTATCAGGTAAATCTCTGAAGAATAAAATAACAACAAAAGTCGAATTGCGTTCCGAGCAATGACTTGTGTGTGTGTGTGTGTGACAAGAAAAATACTCTGAGATTCAACAGATTGGTCGGTTTCTAACACGTCAATGTGTTTGCTTAATAATTAATCAACGAATATTATCTCTGTTCTATTCGAGGAACGCTCACGAATTCTTTGAACTAATTGATGACATGTATATTATGTGTAAAGGTATCTAAGCCGTTGCTTCACGCACATGCCTCGTTTATGCAATATAACAACAAGAAAACTCATGCGCATAAAAGAGGCCTTAGATCTTCAACCCGTTACGTAGCGTCGTTAGTTTAATCTATTTGGAAAATTAAAGCACACAAGAATGAGGTACGTTGCGTGACTGTTTTCATTCTCGCGGTCTTCCTTTACACGGTTTATCTTTTAAGATGAATCATATAAAACTGCCTCGTGCTATCCCATTTTCATACTTTTTGCAAAAATGTTCACTAAACATGTTAAATATTACGCTTGTATTACCTTTCCGTTTTTTTTTTTTTTTCTGGTTTTTGTTTTGTTTTTCTGATTAATACAATAGTCTCATCTAATCGTAAAGTATTTCTCGAGCAATGTACTCATTAATACGGTATATGCGCGTCGCACGTTACATCTCATTTTTTTCGAAGTAAAACGTTTCGCTCTTATGTACATACATATATGCTTACGATAAATAATATATTATATAGTAGAACGTTCTTTTTTTTTTTTTTTTTTTTCGCACACAACAATCGATTCTAATCGGTTTGGCATAGGAACCTTAAACATTACACATTGTCGAGCTCCATCGTCTTTAGTTAGAGATTCTAATACTGTTCAAATGATACGAATTCTGCGCGAGAAATAGAATTCTCTTCCTTCGGGAAGGAAAACCCATGAGTATATATTCCATGACGCGAAATCGTTTCGTTAAATGCTTACGAATGTGTCGACATATAAATTACAAATCGTTATATGTGTATACGTGTATATATATAACGACATATGTATATATACAAATCTTATTACAGTCTCGTCATGGAATGGTACGACAACACATAACGCGTGTAGATCAAAAATTTTATCTTACAATCGCTTCTCGTAGCTGCTACGCGGCACTCGACTTCTAATTAAAAAAAAAAAGAAAAAAAAACAAATAAAACAGTTTTGTGACTTTGTATTCACGGATTTGCAACACAAGATTTTTGTACGCGCGAATATTAAAATCTCTTTACACGTAGTACAGAATTTTCCAAGAATTTATGAAAAACTTGTAGTTTTATACGTAGTACAGTTTTTTTTTTTTTTTTTTTTCTAAATCAACGAACAGAATATATTTCACGCATATTCAACGCTCGCTTTGGCCAAAAGTAAAGAGAAGCATCTTAGCGGACCAATTCGCGTGGTACGACTCGGCTAACAGATCCCGATGTTATTCCGTAGAGTCGGAGAAACGACTCGTTGACGAGAAATATCTTCTCAGGTCGATTTATTCGTTCGGCTAACCGAGAACATTTGTCGCAACGATTTGACCAACTCGGAGGCTCACTCGCATATCGTGCACGCAAGACATACTCCAGAGAGATGCGTTCGATAACACATGAAATATATCCTGTACAACATGTACATCCTGGATTTACCGAATCTTAATATCACAAATCCTTATTTACATATTTAAATATTGCGTGACTTCATTTTTCACACGTTTTTACGGGAACCTTGGTTTCGAAGGTTCTGAAGAATCTGGAACGGATCCACTTGTGTCTTGTTTTATACATGTCACAACAAAAGTGTGTTTGTGAATTAAGTTCACCCATCTATCGGTTATTCCTCCTTGCTTTTACCGCAACGTATGTAATAAAAATTTCTGTAAAATTTTAAAATCGTAATAAATACACTTTTTAATATCTCTTTGTGCGCGCGCGCGCGCGCGCACGTTCTCGCATGTCGTGTGGATTTGTTATTTTACAGAAAAATTGAATTTGAAAATTTTTTTTTTTTTTTTGTTAGCCGGGCTAACACGCGACGTAAAAATCAACAAGGAATAGTTTTTATAGATAAATCACTGTACAAGGATAATAATGCGAGTTTACATCCTCGGGCTTGTAAATAGTAAATCCAAGATAACAAGTGCAAATATAAATACATGTATACGGACTCTCGAGAAATCGAGGTTTTTGAATAAAAAAAAAAAAAAAACCAGTATAATACGGGACGATGATGTGAACATTAATTGAGCATAAATTGCAACTTTTTTCATTCGAATTAAAATCGCAATTCGAACTCTTCGCATCGGTTTGCAAATTCCGAATGTACGAAGACTCTTAAAACTTTCTTGCTCTCTTTCTCTTGTGATTTTTTTATCAGAGTCACACTGCGAAAAATAACACCGCAAATCTTCAGTATCTCAGTGCACAGCAACGAGAAGATTAAACGGCACATGGAAATAGCAAAAATATTTAGTAGTAAAATTTATAAATTACACAGACGATCGTTATCAGAGATCTACCGATATCGTCCCGAGGTAATTTAACTTTAGAAACAATCGTGTTGAAAAAAATTCTAAAAAGGAAAATTGTTCGTTTGCAAATTCGAATGTGAATATTTTTTCAGATTAATCTGTTAATCCGTGTTCAAACATCGGAGCTCGTCGTCGACGATGTTCCGGAGAAATTGTACGGGAGAACCATTGGTGTGGAACTCGAAAATTGTCGAGATCGAGATTCCACCGTAACGCGGGTTCAGTTCGATGCGTGGCTATTTCTACGTCTTAGGAACACTCTGCTATTCACTGGATAAACCCGGGTCAAGAGTATGAGCGAGCTGCCTAAGGCGAGTTTGACAGGTGCTTGACGTCCACCAGGTAATCTGATAAACACTGTCGCCACTGCTGCTACGCCATCGTCAGTGGGCTCGACAGCAACGGGTCTCACGTCAGTGTGAAAGCTCACGTGCTTGCCGCGCCTGCCCTTACGTTGCGGCGAGGTTGGGCTACACTCGCCGCCATCCCGATCGTAGAGTATCGTTGCGGAAGCGAACGGCCGTTTCGCCATGTGCAGCATCTCAACAACGTGACGACGACGTGCGCGACGCATGTCCGCCGCTTGTTTCGTCTTCCACAGTACTACGCATAGCGCTAGAAGTAAGAAGAAGCAAGAGAAGAAGCACGAGAAGAAGACGAACAAGTCGATATGCAACTGATCCTGTCGAAAGAAGACCAATCCGTAGGCAGCGTGGTCGGTTAATTCCGCATTTGTCGGTTCGATCGCCCGTAACGCGATATGAAACTTCGTCTGGCCCAGTTCATGTCGATCTTGCGGCAGGGTTAACACCAGCCGATTTGTCAGATTGCGGACCACCAAGAATGTGTTTCGCTGTTCGATCGTTAGAAAAGTAGCTAGATTTTCTGCATAATATTCCATTACGTAGAATTGTAGCTTGGCATTCGAAGTCGACTCGGTTGTGGAGCCGTTCGCCGTGTTGCCGTGAGGATCGAACTCGACGATACGGAAGTTGCAGTTGGAGTGCTTCTCCATCAACCAATCGGATTGTGACTTGAATCTATTGTCTAACTCGACCTGCAAATATCGATATTTCACTTAGACACTATTTTAACATGTATTTTATAAGAATTAAAATCCTTCCTATATTAAAAAAGGCATTTGGACCGAGAAGTGCGCGTTTGGAGTCGAATATATCGCACCTATTGTTGCCTCTTTTCCGCGTTGCCGATTGGTTGATTGATCGAGTCGAATCGAATCGGTAAGATCGAGAGAGTAAATAATGAAAAGCGATTTTGAGACAGTTCGTCGTATATGTAGAGAAAATTAAAAACGCGCGCGTAACTAAAGTCACGTAACAGGAAAGAGTAGAAGAACAACACGTGAAAATAACGTGACTGTAATTTATATTATAACATTAAATAATACACACACATATAATTTGTTATATATTTATAATATTATACTTTATATTGTATTATATGTATTATATATATACTACAGTAATGTCACTGACCTCCGCCGCGCGGCCTTGGCGGGGTCACTGACCTCGGCCGCGCGGCCTTGACGGGGGCATTGACCTCGGCCGCGCGGCCTTGGTGGGGGGGGGGGTCAATGACCTCGGTCACGCGACTGCGGTGGAGTCACTGACCTCGGCCGCGCGACCGCGGCGGTGTTACTGACTTCGGTCACGTGATTACGGTATATATATATATACACATTTACGCGTATGTGTGTGTATTATATATAGATATAGAATATTACATATAATATATATAATATTCTCTTTTTTACCCTTTTCCCTGTCACGTGTTGTTTTTCCACTTTTCTCTTTCACTATTTTTTGAGTTTGATTTTCATGCGTTATTTCTGACATTTCTCATATGTGTATTATATGGTTTATAAGACGTATATACTATCTGTCATCGCGGTGACAGGTTGTGTTCACCGACAACACGTTAAATAAAAATAACAATAGCGTGCGCCTGTGTTGTGCTAGTTATAAAAAAAAAACTAAAAGTGGACGAATATTATATAAAATTATGAAAAACTTGAAATATCTTACATCCTGGTATCCAGTTGACGAGTTCAGAGTAACAACAAAAGAGTCGTCTCTGGGACTTAAAAACAGATCCAAAGCGCCTTGAGTGACATCTACTACAACTCTGATATCCACGTTCATAAATCGTGGTTGCACCATATAGAAGACAGTTTGACCAGGTTTCAAAGGTTTCGGTTTTGCTTTGCATTCATCTGGAACAGAATAACAGCGCAATTTTATTATTACGCACGAAAATTAGCGCACGTAAGATATTCGACGTATTTAGAACGAAAAGAGAAAGAGGCTACAAAATGTTTTCACACGAAACGTTTCAGACTACACGTTGAGAGGAATTTGTTTCTTTGCGAGATTGTATTATTTTTCGATTGAAACTTACCTATTAATTTTGAGTCGAAACACATTTTGTTGTCAACTGTAACAGTCTTGTAACATTGATGACCCATTGTCGGGGTGCCTGCGTAATTTTCCCTACACTTGCTGCACTGCACCATCCAGCATGGCGTGCCAGCAATATTCGTGCCTTTTATAGGACCGCTAATGCAGGACGGTTCGCTTTCTGTGTTATTGCCGCAGTTGCACTTCTCTCCGGTCACGGGATCGCAGGTGAAACCATGACCGTGACATTCGCACGGTCGACACACGTCTCGGAGATCTTCCGTTCCCCGAAAATAACCGGTCATGCATTCGCCGCATTTGTCACCCTTCGTGTTGTTGCCGCAATTGATGCACGTTGCTTTAGCCACTGGTCCTTCCACCAGTTCCGCCATTAAACGATCCAACGACATCTCGTCCACCTTCTTTGGATCTTCCACGCGAAACGAGCTGCCGTTGAGACAAATCCGAGTGTGTCCGTTGCAATACTCAAGACACGGCACACACTGACCGTTGTCGGCAGGATTGCCGACATACAGAGGCAAACATTTCTCGCATTGCGGTCCCATTGTGTTATTGTGACATTTCAAGCAGACATCGAGCTTATCCGGACCAGCGCAGTTGCTGTGTCCGTTGCACTGACACTGGATGGAACAATTGGCGCCGACGTAACCGAAATCACAACGGCACACATTGGGCTCAACACACGTACCTCTTACGCAACCTTGCGTACACATGGGCACGCAGATTTTTCTCCCGAACTCGTTTCCCCACGTAGTCTCGGTCTTGTATCCGTCTCCGCACTTACACTCGAATCCTACTTCCAGATCGAAACATTTCTCACTTTTCGGCGAACAGGTGTGATGTCCGTTTACGCATTCATTTTCCGGAGGACAGCGGACGTAATGCCACGAGAACTCTGGTTTCATTATCACGTTGGACAATAGCATCGTAACGTTGTCCTGTGACTCTAAGATATCCGTTTGAAGTGAGTTCAGTGTTACAGTAGTTGTTTCAATTTCCGGAAAATGTTGATGGTAAAACATTTCACAGGTACCGCCTGCCGGATGATCGGTTGGCGCTTCGAGCGATCCTTCCGTACATATTCCTTGTCCGGTTATATTGGCAGAATCCAGAGAGCACCAGCCGCAATGCGAGTGTTTCAGGCAGGTGCTGCACTGTTTGAAAACTGAACACGGTTCCGGGCAGTGATCCACATCCGTGTTACGCAATACTAATCCGCAGACACCACCAGCGCAATAGAGCGGTTGATAAGACGGAGAAATACATTCGTGCAATTGCGTGGACCATCTGCATTCGCTCCATCCTCCCTCGGCACCGGTACCCTTCAAACAGCTCCTGCAGTCCTTGTGATCGGAGCATCTTTTTTCGCACTGGGTGCTGCTCATTTTAATGCTGGACCGTTCGAAAATATAATTTGGAACGCAGTTCCAATCGTATACCGGTTCGCCCGTTAACGTCGCTCCAATCTCGTTCGTTTTCAACACTTGCCTCGTCCACGCGCAACCGCTTAGATTGTTGCATCTCTCGCAATCACTTGCCGGACACAAACGTTCCCAGCATTGATTCACATTAATGACCGACGTGCTGCATTTGTTCTCTCCTGGTATTTGTTCGTCACAGTTTTTGTCTGCAGAAATGCATCTGGGATGTGAACACTTGGTGCACCACTTGCAAACTGGCTTCTCATCTTTATAATACGGCCATTCCGCCAAACATTCCGTGCAAGTTTTGAAACTCTGACACTTTCTGCCTGCCATCCAATCCAAATTGCAAAATATTCCATTCGATCGTTGCGCTTGGGCGACGTTCTTGTCACATCTGTCGTCTCGGTTGCTCGACACTTCGTTTGAAAAACAGAAAGAAGTATTGACGCCTGTGATGGTGGTGATAGCGCAGAATGAGCAACCAAAGTACTTTCTGCATGTGGTCTTATCTGTCCACAGACTACACAGATCCTCCGGTACATTGATTAAGGTGACGTGACTCTTGATGCCACCGTCAAATCCGCCAACGACGTAAACGGCATTCGATTCTGGATCGGCGTGAGTCATCGCGTGGGCATACGCTGGCGGCGGTGGATTGCCGATCGTTTCCATGTCTTTTGTTATCAAACGTATCCATAGATTGCACGAGTATTTGTATGCTATCAGAGAGTCCGAGGTATTGTGAGGATTCTGTCGGCCGCCAAATATCACCATGTATTCATCTGTTGTAACCGCGGAATGAAGAAATCTAGCTTGTGGCAAACTGTTCCCATCGGTGACATCGTCTTCAAATGGTGGCAGCACGGACCACGTTCGTGTCTTGTAATCCAAGGCGTACAGTTTGTTCGAGATAAACGTTTTGTTTATCGCATAGGTGTAGCCACCGAAAACGTAGAAGCTATCCGACTTGCTGTGATATACCGTGGAGTGACCGTACACGCCCACGGGTCCGTTCCCGACAGTGCGCACTGTGTCCCAGGTTTCCGTTTCAAGATTAAATTCCCAAACCGTGTCCAAATAGCCGTACTTCGGACTGAAACCACCGATCAAAATCAGACTTTCCGATTCTCCATCTCTACGCAAGGTTAACGTGTGTCCAGCCAAAGGTAATGGTTCTTTCTTCGATTCATCTTGCAAAATTTGGCTCCACCGCTGGTTCTGCAAACTAAATTTCCAAAAATCGCTCAGAGTGTTGTTTGACAGTCCTTGTATCTCTTCATCCTTCATCGACAGACCACCGTAAACGTAAATCTGCTGTCTGCTGTGAACAATCTCGGCGGCATGGAAATAGCGTCCCTGCGGCATGGACGCTTCTGAGGTGGACTCGACTGTTACCGGCATCCACGTGTTGTTCTTCGTGTCGAAAAGTCTAATATCGTTCAAGGGTCCGTGACTCAGTGAGTAACCGCCGAACATCCACAGACTACCGCGTCGATCGGCTACGAGACTGTGTCCGAAGCGAGGAAGCGTCTTTCTCAAGTGATCCAGATGATCGGCTAAATACTCCGAATTGAACAATTCTGTGAAGATTAGTTGATGATTCTCGAGCTGGACGGAACAATCGCGACCACCGTAATCCTTCTCGCAGATGCAACGACCGTAACCCTTGTCGCAGACGCCGCGTTTTTTGGAGGCGGTGCAATTATTCGGACAAATCTCGACATCGCAATTAATACCGACGTAACCAGGTTTGCAAAGGCAATTGCCGTTGCGACACTCGCGATTGCCTACACAGTTGTTGCACGTCATCACAACATAACTCGCGTTGAAACCTTCGACCTCGTCCAGTTGCTTGTAGTGTACTGTCAAAAATCCAGATTTGGCCTCCACCGTAACCGGATAGTTTGTGCTTTCCGTGCAGTATACTCCAAGCAACTGGCTCTGATGACCGGTGGATGAGACGAATTCTGGTAGACCGTCGTAAACGTATACGCTGTTCTCCTGGCAGCTCACATTAATGTCGTCATGGATGGTGAACTGTATTATACTCTGAACTATTGGAGTGGTCAAGTCCGAGGAGAGATCCGTCTCCGGGCTAACGATCCACAAACACTCCCTAGTTGGCGAATCGCTCAAGTGACTGTCCCAGAGTGAGGACTGCGAGTGTCGACTACCAAGGCCCTGCTTCCCGTTCCCCACGCCGCCCAGCATACCCCGTGACATACAGCCGTAGTAGCACATTCCACCGTTTCGTGGGTCTCCGTAGTAACCTCGCTTACAACGTTGACACTTATCACCTTCGGTGTTATCGCGACAAAAACATACGCCGGTCTGTCGATCGCATACGCCGAGCTCTACGTCGCCATGGCCGTTGCAGTCACATTCGCGGCAGCCTAACGGCGTAGTCGCGTTACCATAGCTTCCCGCTTTGCACTCCTCGCAGTACTGTCCGGTCGTCCAATCCAGACACTTATCGCAAATGCCCGGTCCCTAAAGTATCAAAAAATTGAAAAATATTTACTTGACGTTAATCATTGATTAAAATAATCTTTGCGCTTGCCTGTATGCACGTGGAGTGATTGTAGCAACCGCAGTTGGTTCGGCAGTCTGGTCCGGTCCAACCTAAGTTGCACTTGCATTTGTACTTCGGTGCTCCGCTACAATATCCGTTGACGCACTTCTCGTAACAAGTCTTGGTACAGTTCTCCTTGCCGTCGCCGTTGAAGCCGCGCTTACACTGACAACTGAAACTACCGTGAGTGTTAGTGCAAACCGCGTCAGGATGACAGTCGTGCAAACCGAGATCGCATTCATCCACATCCGGACACTGTGCATACGCCCAGCCAGATTCGTTGACCTTCAGACTACTGTTCCGATACTCGTTGATGACTGTGCTACAATTAACGTGGGGTTGATTAAAATCACCCTGTACACATACACCGGTGATGGGATTCTCCAAGCTGTAGCACCAGCCGCAACTGAGGGAGTGCAGACAGCTGGAGCAGTTGGTGTGTCGACTGCAGCTCTTGCACTGATCGTTACCGGTGAGCAACGAACCGCTGCGCGACGTGACGCCCATCAGACCCGCCTGATCCATCCATTCTCGACACAAACCGAATTGATATTCTGATGTGTAGACAGAAAAAGAGAAACATTCCCGCGTAGCCTCGCACCATACACATCTACCGCGCTCGTCTAAACATTGAGTACAATTGGATCGCTGCCGACACGGGATTGGACACTGATCCAAACTCACTACGGCGTTCGGTAGACGACCGATTCGCGCGCATCTTGCCTCTTCCGTCCACCACTCGCATAGATTAGTGCCCACGCATGATTCGCAAGAAATATAGTTGGAGCAGTTGGCGCACGCTGACGGTGTAATTGTCAAGTAATGCCATTCGCGTATTGTCTCCTCGCCCCATTCTACATCCGCCACACAGCTCTCGGTCTCGTTCGTAGAGCGCGATAAACATTGATTAGTAATATCGCACCAACCGCACGAGGAATCCGTTAAGCAATGCAGGCAGTTACGATATTGGTGACAAGAGCCGTTTTGATACGGCTCCAGATATTCAAACGTGAAGACCTTTGGATTTTCCGTCTTCCTATTGTGAGTGATCTCCATCTTGCTCGCGTAAGCGTAGCTCGCGGTAACCATTCTTTTCGATTCGAAATCCAGCAAATAGCGGCCCGACGGTTCCAATTTCATTGGATTACCGTCAGGCCATTTAGTTGGCACACACTGCGACGTTTCCGCGGTTAGATTAGCGACCAATTCCTGAATAACACAATTACATATTTATATTACATATATTTATATATTTGTTTACGCACAGATTAAGTAAACATCAACTTTACCAATTTATCGGGCTTATCGTTTCGAGACACATGGAGCATCGCGCTGTTGTAACTGACGCATATTTTCAGCTGTTCCTCCGTACTTTCCCAAAAAGAGTGCGGTCTGAGAAAACCAGTCAATCTGGCAATCATCTCGCCCCCCAACGCCGATTCTGTTTTCGCACCCTGCATGGACGGCACATTGAAATCGACCGTTGTCGCGTTTACTATGGTAACTGAGTCTGGTTGAGTAAAGTTGACCGGTGGCTTGTACTTGAGAAAAGTCAAGCCCGGTCTCTTGTCCATCTCTCGGCACTCTTCAACCTTAGTGATCTCCGTACCCTTGGAACCCCACCAACCAGGTATCTGTGAGAGCGTGTCGTCTCGTAGACCGCACACTCCGTAATTGTCGTCTTTGTGATGACAACGGGCGTTCTGTACACACCACGTGCACGTGCCCAGATTCAATTTGTTGGAGACGGACTTTTTGCCACGAAAACTCGTGCCCCAGCCACCTCCGGGCTGGCCGTGTATCAAGCAGGAATGACAGTCGCCCAGGGCAGGACAAACTCCAGGACATCGGGTTGTTTGCAAATTTGTCGTGCAGTTACTGCCTATTGTCCGACCGTAGCATATCTAAAACATACAGAAATCGGAAAGTTTTTTTTATAAATAGAAAAAACTAGAGAGATTTAGGAACATCATACTTAAAGGATCATGCAATACATACTTCATCTGCGGAACACCATCCACATTCGGGATTTGCGGCGCACTCCATTAGGCTTTTGTGCCTCGAGCAAATTTGTTCCGGTTCGACAAGATCTTTATCTCCGGGTGCTAACATTGGCGGTAGAGTGTACGCCAGGAGATCTGCATTTACATTACCGTGATATCCGCCAACGAGCAGCAAGGTGTTTCCATTGCGTACATCCGCCGCGTGAGCGAACACACCTTGCTGTTTGGGATAACGAGAATCTGAAGAGCGAAAACGAGAAAAGAGAGAAGTAAAGATCTCGCTTAATAAAAACTTTATATAAACACGATAACTTTGCGTAACATAATTCGCCTCACCCTTATCATTCAAACCCAGCACATCGTGGCTCACCCAAGCGTGGCAACCAAGATGATAAAGATACATCTGATTGTCATAACAGATCTCTTCTTTATTGTGTCGGTGAGAATATCCGCCGAAGACAACCAGATAGTTTCCTATGATATTACACGTGTGAAACGCACGTTCTCTCGGTACGTATGTGTCTCGCAAATGAGCTCTGGGATAATGAATCTCAGACCAGACTTTTCTGTCCAGTTGGAAAACAAACATTCGATCTGATAATTTGCTGAAGCGAGCGACACTGGCAACCACGCCGCCGTACACCAATAGAGAATTGGTAGCGCGATGATAAACAGTCGAGTGTGCCACCACGCGCACGTCAAGTTCCTTGCCGCCCCTAGGTCGCACTTCCGTCCATCTTTCAGTAGTCGCCGTAGGATCCGCTAGATTACATTAACATTTTTTTTATTACCCCCCAGTAATGCCAATATACGTTACGCACACGTACAAATGCACCAAAGCGCTTAACTCACATAAATTTAATTTGATTTTGTACAGACTGGACGAAAATTCCCCATCAACAGTGCTGCCTCCGAACAAATAGACATAATCATCTGCCAAAGTTAGCGTGTGCCTTGTAAGTCTGGGCGGATAGAAAGGCGAGTTTTTAGCACGTAAAGTCCACACGCGCTTATTCACATTATAGTGCCACAGTTCGTTCGACAGCGAGCCGTCTTGTACTTTTCCTCCGTAAATCACGAAACCGTCTGAAAATACAAAGATTCTGTTTGCATCATACCGGTGAGAAAGTTGGTTTCAAGATCTATAAATTTTACAATTAAGATTCGAATTCTCTGTTGTAAACAACATTATTTACATACGCACGAACCTTGATATTTGCACGCAGCGTGACCGTATCGAGGATTCGGTTTAGGTAGTTCGTCAACGGTTGATTCTACAATTTCTTCCTTCAACGAGTCGTTTTTCGTTACTTTCGAATCCACGAATTCCTGCATAAAGATATCATCTTCCGCGGATCCCTCTATCATATGCTCTTCCCATTTTGTTTCATCGGTCTGCATACCCGACGCGTGCTGTTCTCCATATAAATTTTCCAAGTTTCTCCGATATCTTTAAAACAGAAATCATATTTAAAACAATAATTCGAGCTCAACATTAAAAAGTGACGTGCTATGCAAATATCTCAAAAAAATAAATAAATAAATAAAATATCTTAAATTTAAGTATAAAAACAACGCTCTTGCGTTTCAATGTTTTTACACAAATTCTTTCATATTAAATTTTTTTAAAAAAGTGTAAAATTTATCACTTACTACCTTATTTGCGCATATCGCGATCTTATGTTTCGCGGATGCTTTCTTCTGAAATCATTGTTCCTATTGATTCTAATGGTGCTTCTGCTCTTTTCGTTTTCTTTCGCCATATTTCTGAATTCCCGAACACCGTGCTGACTACCGTTAGCGGTTCGATCCAGCAGACTGAACGTGTTGTTATCTTTGATGCCGGCAAGCAACTTCCAAAATAAAGACGATGTCGGTAGACCGTATATCTCCTTCGCATTCGGATTGCGTTGTAATTCATTAGCGATTAACATCGGATCCAGATATTCGGCAGATGCGGCGCCTTCTGTGAAATTGCAAAACAAATACAAGTTGGAACAAGCATTGTGTATATCGCTTGATAAAAAAAAAAAAATTATAAAATTCACACACATTTTTGTGTGCGCACATACGAAGTGTGTCACTTATCGACTTACCTAACGTATTTCCATATTCGTCTTCCCATTGACTTGTGTTAAACCTATACACTTCTAAATCGCTGAGTATATAATTGAGATCGTATCCACCAAAGACGTAAAGTGAATCCGTCTCTTGAATATAAACTGCCGTGTGAGCTGCGCGCGGTCTTAGCCCACCTTCCGAATGTGAAAGCCAATGCCATCTAAACAAAAACAATTACATTACTGTGTAAATGTTTCGCTTTTTTTTTTATAACAAATATATTTTAATAGACACCGTTTAAGTTTTATAATTTTATTGTTACATAAAGCTACACAAGTTCAAAGATCTAAGTAGACAAAAAACATACCGGTTTCCTTCTGGATGTGTCTTATGTAAGGAACAAGACTGGCCGGAGTATCCGTCGTTACATTCGCATCTCTTCACTCCGCAGTCACCGCTGTAACTGCAATTGTTCGGACACAGAGCTCGTGAACAATCTTTGCCGCCCCAGTCGTTTTCGCAAAAGCAGGTGTTATTAATACACTTTCCGTGATGGGTACAATTGTTTGGGCAATCGGTAACTGAAAATTCTGCATGAAAACCATCCAGGACGTAATTTGTATCGCTATATAATAATATCAACATCTGTAAAACAAAAAAAAAAATATGTGAATATACAATTTCCCTTAGAATCTTACATTAGTTAGAATCTTCCAGTAGTTTTTTTTTCGTATATTTAATTGTAAACAATTTTTTTCCTAAACTTTGTTTCATATAAAATATCAACAATTATCAAGACAGAAGATAATAATCAAGAGGAATGCAAATCTGTGATATCTCATTTGAAAATCAGCAATATTGCAATATTGCTTACATAACCGGATGATGATGTCACTTGTTGCGGTTCTGTTTTGCCACTGAAGCTACCTAGAAGCGGAGACCGAAAGGAATCCCCATCGTAAACAAACACGTAATCGTAACTGCATTCTGTGCCCATTGTACGAAAACTTAATGTGATAAATTGACGACTGTGATTGGCTGCGGCGAGAAAAGCGGCAAGGATAAAAATATGCAAGAGTAAACATTTATATACATATATACAAATCTGTAAATAGTTTTTCATTACCTTTAATGAGCCATTCGCAATGAGAATCTTGAGTGTAATTTGAGCCCATAGGTCCATCACTGATAACTCCCCATGAGTCTGTGAAGACTTTTCTTGTTTTATCACATGGTACCTGCTTTGGAGAAGCCTGTGGAGCTAAATCAAAACCCCGAAGCAGGCAACTCCATATAATGATCCGTGCTGTGGTGGATGTTACCCACCCCATCACAGCTTGTGCACTTTACTATTGCTTGGCGGTATACAGATCATCATCCATATACATCAGAATCTTTCTTGAGCAATTACACAACGCAGAATATGCAGAAAAAGTCATATCTGAAAAAATATAACAACTCACATTAATTTGATTGTTTATCTGTGTCTGTTGAGTAATTGAAAGTATTTTTAAAGATATTATTATTGATATAAATTGTCGTCTCTCTCTCTCTCTTCTTTCACGCTCGTCACACGACAACACGAAGGCAAAAAGTTACACAAGCAAAAAAATCCACAATCTACTCAAGGATAAACAATCATTTAACAAACACACTGATCGCGAAACATAAATAAAACGCGTTTCTCTCACGCGTAAGAGACACATGTTGTAAAACGTGTATTAAAAGCCACACACACCAGCATATATTACGCGAGAACGCAAGGTTCTCTCTCTCTCCTGCTCCTGATCAATTTGCAAATAAGCATAAATAAGCAAATGACATACACGCACGTACGCTCCTACATGTGTGCACATTCGCGCGCACTCACTCACACACTTTACACACCACACACACACACTACGTAATATACATGTCCATGATTTTTTCGCACCCGTCACGACGACGATGATTGTGATGCGCGCAGCGCATAAACGTTCGCGAAATTACACCGTAATTTTCGCTAGAGTCCTAACAGAACTCGAATCGCATAAATTCTGCGAACTATCACGTTGTCTCCGACGAACGAGAGGGAAATGCGAATTACATCCGACTAAAAAAAAAAAAAAAAATAAAAAAAAATAAAACGAAGAGCGAAGAAAAAACGTGTACGTGCGAAAAGTAAAATTGGCGAGCTGGCGATAATATTATAAAGCACACTGAAAATATTTTCGACGACAAATCTCAAAAATTGTGTCACAATCAAAAAACAATGCGCGTTACAGTACTTCGCGAGCACGTAAGGAGGAACAAACGCGCGTTAATAAATAACGCGTTGGAAAAACGTGTCAATCTCGACGCGACGCCTTGCCTCTCGTTGACACCTCTGACACCTCGACTTGCTGCCCCGCTATATCCGCGCTATATCACTATATATATATAAATAATATATACAGCAGCATAACTTTCGGTCGGCATCTTTGATGTCGGCACGGCTAAGCGAAATGCTAGGTGTGCGAAATAAATCAGTAATCTCTATAACGCCCTCTACCGTATAGTATCAACAATACCTTCTCGTATACGACATCTCCGGGGGGGGGGTACGTTCCAAAATCTTATTTTGGTAACCGAAAACTATAGTACACGTGACGCAAAATATAGCATTTTATTTAACCAAGGTAGAGGATTTTGGAACGTACGCCTGGCTGAGAGGTAAAATTGACCAATCACGCTGGTCGATTGGCTGATACGATTCAATACGATTAGTCAAATTCTACCAGAACCTGTTCCTTGCGTTTGCGCTTGCGATCAATGTAGAACGGACTTAAGACGCGGCAACCAGCTTGTTAATTGCTGCACGGGCCTTTGAACACAAGGCCTGTGTCACCCCGACTTGATACAACATCGTCGCGCGTGCGTGCTGGTACTGTGGACTTCAATTGACAGACGACAATATCGTTTGACAGATTTTACATCAAGGGTGTCCACCATAGACCATATGTACGTGTCCACACGGAATTGCGCTATGTTTATATTGTATAATTGAAATTGAAGATAATGAACATACTATGTAAACTGAAACGTGTCGGTGTGTCAACAGGGTGGTTTTCTTCAAATAGAAACAAGCGCAAAATCGAGCATTGACTTCTGAGAAAGAATCATTGTGCCGATCACTTATAATGTACGTAATACATTTGTATTATTATAGTCACTTGATTGCGATCAAAATTATTGTTGATTGTAAGTTCTGTTACGTTTTTTTTTTTTTGGAGAGATTTACGTGCTTTCACAGCACTTCAATTTATTTGACTTTTTGTTTACATTTTAAAGAGCCATAAAGACAGACTTAATATATAATGACTTGCGTAGACAGAACGTGTCATCGCGTTGACCTTGGAACAACGCAACAACTAATCAGTATTTTGATTTTGTGGAAAACCAAAATATTGATTGGCTATCGCGTCGATATTTGATCAAGCGTAACGCGTTCTGTGTGTTTGCAGACGTCATATCACGAGAACAAACATCTTTCAAGTACGGTTGCGCTCATATAAATTGTCAAACTGTATATAATTTATTAGTAGTTGCGACACGTGCAGTAGTGAAAAAAAAAAAACAACGCTTGTTTTTATTTTATGTTAAGCAAAATACAAAAACTCAGTTTACTAGTAAGTTTTATATATTGCGCATCTCTTTTATATATTTGATTGACAATAATTGAAATTGAATTGATTTTCCTCTTTCAGTAACTTCAATGGAGACGCGACGTTCTTTGGGATTAATTACCGCATTGATGCTTCTTGTCGCTGTGCAGGCTGTGCCATTATTATTCTCATCCTTTTCCCCTATTGTTATTCAAGCAAACTACAGTACACTTTATCGAGACACTATAAATTCCACCGTTGAATATGTGTTTTTATATTCTGTCAGCAATGTAAGTTTTTAACAAAGTTATCTTTTTTTTCTATCTTATATTTTAACGATTCTTGTAAAAAGAAAGTAAATTAACATAACTGTGCAGATATCGTTGGAAACCGCAAGAATAAATATAGAAAGCAATGCAACTCGTAGCTTGCCGTTGATAATTGTAGTGCGTCAGACAACAGGTATTTTGTCTTGGCAAATACCTTTGCTAGTCGAGAGCAGAGACTTGGGTTCTGTGATATATAATAAAACAAGTCGGAATCTGTGCTCAACCAAATACGATCAGTTTGCGCCAAATGATGATTTTATTATTGTTGGTATCTCCACGGCCAGTCGTGAGAATATTTTGTTTAACGTCAATTTAACGGAAGTAACGGATTTTTATATAAAGTGCGTACAGGTGTTGTAACAAACAAAAATTCTTATTAAAAAAATTGTCATTTTTTTGTGTTCACTTGACTTTGCATTTTACTGTTATTGGTTTTACAGTTTAGGAGATGAACGAACAGTGCAAATCTCTCCGTCTGAGCCTATTTATTATGGCTACATATTCCCTCAACAAACCGAGAATTCCACTGTTATTGTTCGCGTAGAATCAGGCAACGACACCTGTATGACCGTGTCTGTGCAAAATACATCGGTAAGTTACAGTAATAACTCGCAAGAAATACAGAGTTGCCTAATTTCGTTTTCTGATTTTGTTTAGTGTCCTGTATTCGATTTGGAACGAAATATTGAATTTTCCGGACGCTGGCAGACAGTATCTAGAAGAGGAGCTATCACAGTACCAGTGAGTACAGTTTAGCGTATTTTTTTCTAAGTAATTAACATAATTTTTTGTGCATGTAAAATAAAATACTGATATATATATAAAATTAATATTCCAGAGAGAGGCTTTCCCGTTAGGATTTTTTGTCGTGCTTGTTGTTAAAGGAGATGATACGGACTGTCTTGGACCATCATCGATTGGCAGTTCTGTCAGCAATTCTCGTACCAAAACTGTCACGTTGTCCATACATCCCGCCATTACCAAACAGGATTATGTCGTCGCAACGGTATCAACAGCGTTAATTGTACTTCTCTTCTGTATTTTTTATGTAATAGCTACAATATTATTCAATATCAAAGAGGGCAGAAAACACGAACGTGAACTCTTGAACGACGAAAGTCAGAATGTTATTGATCAAGTACCGAGTCCTTCGACGGTGGAGGAGGTAATAAGTAATTTTTATTAAAACATAAATTATATCTATCACGCGTTTATGCGATATCAAAATGTTCCATCAGGTCGGTCCGAAACAATGGGATTCCGTGGAAGAAGACTCGTCTCTGGATGAGGACGATATAGATCTGATGGAGGATGCTCTTTCCGACAAAGATGTGATACGAACAAAGATCGTGCTCTCGGTCAGTGATCTCGCACGCAAGGAACCGAGAATACTGCGACACAAGTCTCGTTTGTATCTGTATTATTTGGCAACCGTCGCCGTGTTCTACGCGCTACCGGTCGTACAATTGGCGGTGACATATCAGCGCGTGTTCCACACAACGGGAAATCAAGATATGTGTTATTACAATTTCTTGTGCGCTCATCCTCAATTTTTTGTGATTCTGTTGTCCGACTTCAATCACGTGTATTCGAATTTCGGATACGTTCTGTTGGGTTTGTTGTTCATATTTCTAACTTATTCACGGGAACACAACGAGTCGGATAACGATAAAACGAAAGGTTACGGAATACCGCAACATTACGGTTTGTTTTACGCAATGGGCACTGCGTTAATAATGGAAGGTGTAATGTCAGCGTGTTATCACGTGTGTCCCAGCCATAGTAACTTCCAGTTTGGTAAGTAGTAGCAATGATCTACGACCACACGACCGCGTCTCATCTCTCTGTTCACTAATCGATTTTTTTTTTTTTTTTTTTATCCGCAACTAGACACAAGTTTCATGTACATAATTTCGGTTCTCTGTATGATCAAGATCTATCAAAATCGTCATCCCGATATAAACGCCAGAGCGCCGGTAACGTTCGGAATTCTGGCTCTTATAATATTCATAGGACTGATAGGAGTTTTGAACGGAACCACGTATTTTTGGATAACGTTTATCGTTCTGCATCTATTGACATGCTTCATTTTAACCGTACAAGTATATTACATGGGTCGATGCAAATTCAACAGAGGCGTTTGCAGAAGGGTAATACAGGTATGTTATGTATTAACGTTGTATTCGCAAGATGAATAGCTGTTGATCGCGCGCGGTAACTCGCGCCAAATGCATCTTCTTCAATTATCGTACATTTAGATATACTCTAATGGAGACTATTATCTCGTAGACATTCAGGCATGACGCGCGCTGCGGCATGCGGCATCTGTTAAGGCCACTTTATCCCGCAAGATTCACGATGCTCGTACTAGCTAACTTATCTAATATCGCGCTTGCGATATTCGGAAACATGTATCACGAGGACAATTTCGCTACGGTTTTATTACTTATATTAATGGCTAATTTAATTTTGTACACTTTGTTTTACATAGTGATGAAGGTACGCTACGCTTTGATCTTTCTCTTTTTTGCGAGTCTTTGAGAAGTAAAAAAAAAAAAACAAAAAATCTAACTTTGGTTTTTTTTTTCTCAGATTTGCTACAAGGAACGGATTCTTCTCACACCCGGAGTTTACATCGTTTTGGCCTGTCTGGTTTGGAGTGCGGCTTTGTATTTCTTTTTGAACGGAACGATATCGTGGGCGCTCACACCGGCCCAGTCCCGTTTGCGCAACAGACCGTGCGAAACTCTGTTCAACTTCTTTGATTCTCACGACATCTGGCATTTTCTTTCGGCATTTGCGATGTTTTTTTCATTCATGGTATTACTCACTCTAGACGATGACTTGGTTGACGTTCATCGCACACAAATACCCGTTTTTTAAAGAACTATAAATAGATTTGAATTGTTTATATAATTTGAAAGCTTTTACACAAGGTTACCCGAATGTATATTTATGATGATGTACAATGCGGACAAGAGGGGTTACCAAAGTTGTAATCGCTATCAAAATAACATATTAAATTATACATTATAGACTTAGTAATTAATTCATCATGTGATAAAAAAAATCGCGTCATTTTACATGTCGCAAAAAGAGTGAGTGTAAATATCGCATCGGCGAGTGCGCGATTTTGTGAAGTTCTTTCTATGTGTTACAAGTATTACTTCGTTTACTTCCAGAGAACACCTTTTACAAATATGCGTAAAGAAAAAAAAAACAAACATCTCACAAAATGCGAAAAATATTGTGCTGTCATTGCGTTGCGGTATAAAATTAATTAACTTAAATGTGGCAGTTGCGCGCAATATCAGTCGTTCAAAAGTATTTCGTACGTGTGCGCATTTTTATAAACGGTGTTGCGCTACAAAGAAAAGAAAGAACTTAAAAAAAAATGGATCCTGTAGAAAGGAAATTCACAAGAAGAAAATGAAACAGAAATAGATCGGTGTACACAGAGTGATGAAGAAATAAATGCTTTGGACGAGCACATGCGCGAAGCTAATAAACGAGAGGAATATTCGGATGAAGATTTCGATGAAGACTATGATGAACGTGCAAACATGTGGCGCTATGACGTAGCAACTGAAGAACCCTCGTTGCTTCTTGAAGAAAAAAATAAATTATGTATTTTACATGCTCGCGCACACGTACGTGTAGTTTATGTACAAAGAAACATGCCAAATCTTTTGTAGCATGTCCTTTCAGATACATGAAATTTTAAATTATATGCGAAAAATTAGTGAGAGATGGCGTAGTGTAAATAAAAAAGTGCTTATTTTTTATATAAATGTGTTTTTCTTTTTTACGATTAAGTCATTTTTCTTTTTTATTTATGATCAATGGTCATAAAGAGCAGCTTTTTTCTAAAATGCTTTGTTTTCAAGATGTTTCAAAATATTCTAAAAACTATTTTTTCGCAGAGAAAAGCCTTAAGAAATACTTAATTTGTTTTGGTAAATCTGCACCTGAAGGAACATGCAACATGTTCGAGAGACAAATTTACACTATACACATACACACATACACAAGACACACTCGCATGCACGCACGCGCGCGCACACACGTCATATTCTTACATATTTCGTACATAGGCTCGTCACGAATTGGCAGTGACGCACTTCTTTTCATTTCCTTACATATTGTACATATTTTTTCGAATATATAGAGTATTTCGTAAAACCGGTATCTCGGGAATTTTAAACAACGAGCATTCAACAAATTCAATCTTTTTTTTTTTTCGAATTTCTTCCGTATCTCCGTGTGGCAGAACTCGCGTTCAAGAGCTCTGTTGAGATTCTTTTCTTATTTTTCACGACAAAAAAATTATTATTGTGCTTAAATTTGTCAAAATTTGCAGTCTTGTATCTCGTTTTAAATACTCTATTTATTCGAAATTTATCTCCTCACCAATTTCTTAACTAGGATATCTTTGCATTCGTATAAATAATTAAAAAAAATAATTGTCTCTTTGATGAATTGTACTATTGACGTGTGGTGTTTGATAGTAGGATTAAAAATCTTGGAATGAATAGCGTAGAGAGCGGGTACGAATGTACTCAGGACGAAGCGTCCGAATCCTTGTGATGTTCCTGCCCCGTTGTTTCTAATTGCGACAAAGTTCTTTGCAATTCCGCTCGCTCGGCCGGTTGCAATCTGTGCGCTATTTCCAACACCGCGTTCAATTTTATTTCCGGATAGACTTCCAAGGCGTCCTTGATGCTCGTTACTACCGCGTCTCTCTTCACGCACGTTATATTACGCGAGATGACACTATTGTCGGTTTTACGTTGCGCCTCTAGCCAATAGGTCGCAGCTTCATCCTGATCCCACAGATACGATTCCGTCGCTCCTTTATCCTCGATAAACCAGCGTCGTAACATCGCCTCTACTTGTCTGACATCGAGATCGTGTTGCGTCGATAAGATTTCGTCCTTAATTTCTTCCTCCAAGAGTCTTCGTCGCAATCGCCAGTAAAACAGCTTCCGTGCCCTCTTCCACGGTATTATCTCACTGATTGTATTTTTCTCAAACATTCTCCCCGGGGTATCGTGCAAATCAGCGAAGTGAATCGCAACTTGATGATACATAGGCTCCAAAATCTTCTCCCGTTTGCGAATTTGCGTTTCGAGCTCGACTCGTTCCTCCGCCGTGTTCACGTTCGACATTTTCTCCTAAAAACACACACACACACAGGTTTACACATAATTTGTTAGAAAATTTATATTTGAGTATTTTATTATTTTACTTTTAGCTTATGGACAACTGGATCGTTTCGATGCATGGTCTTCAGAATGTCCTTCATTCGATATTTGATTTCTACAATACCACCGGCTTCCAGAACGCCACCTCTACTGGTGTCGTCGGCGAACATCTCTATAAAACGAGGATTTATCAAAGGATCCAAGACCGCCCAAGCGCCGCCTCTGAGTTCCGCATTCGGTGGAATATAAACGAATATCGGTTTGCTATAGTGTCGCAATCCGTCCACAATGTAAGCGCCGAACTTGACAACTTGCTCGTACATGTCTGCCAATCGAAAACAAAACAAATAATCTTGCTGTGGATGTAAAGTATATATAAATGATCAATCAAATGATCGTTTCTTACCCTTCATTCCGCCGGAAAAGCCTCTCCAATTAGCGAAGATAAACAACGGCAGTTCTTCCTTGCCAAAATCTTGAATAGCCTGCGCGGTTTTATAGGCGCTGTCCGGGAACCAAACTTGTCCCGCTTGGGATATAGTTTTTGCTTCCGAATCGAAATTAGCGGGATCGGCTGGCAAATGCAATTCAACGGTTCTCGTCTCGACGGCAATAACGCCGCACGGTATGCCGCCAAGTCTGGCTCGACCCGTCACCACAGTTTGCGCCCATGGTCTCATTATTTCCTATTCAAAAAAAAAAAAAAAAAAAAGAAACATTGACACGATACAGTTTGTCATTAGAATTCACCAAAATTGTTAATAGAAGAGAAAAAAGATATAAAAAAAAACTTACGTGCCACGAGCCTCGATCGAAAAAGCCGCTTTCCCAGGCATTTGTTTCGATACAATTTCTACCCTCTAACATCCATCTTGGATCGTAGGGTGTTTTTGTAGGCACGTAAGTAATCTCTCGATCGATTGGATCGGTGATCGGCAAAAGTATCGGTAACGAGGAGCCTTTGCTTTTGGGAAAGTAAGTGAGCCATTTCAATGCGGTCGCAACTCCATCCAAATCTCGATCGTCAGTCGCGTGGGATACTCCGTTATTGTACATAATTTGCGTACCGCCCAACTGATCGTTACTTGCGTAAACCTCGCGACCCAGCACAGCGTTCAACGCTTTGTAACCGGTCAGAATAATGTGAGAATTTTCTATCTGGATCACTCTTTGGCCAAGCCGCACTATGTAAGCGCCAATACCGATCGCACGGCACGACACTATGGAAATCGTGATTATTTCCTCGTAAGCCCTCGATGTTTCCCCCGCTATCAGACCGGCGTACTTCAAGTTCTCCACTCCCAGACCGTCTTCCTTGCCGATAATGTCTGTGATTTTGTAACGGGATTCTCCCGCGGGATCCTCGATCAACGAGGCTTTCACCGAATTGAAGGGTGCCAAGCGCGCGTAATCGTCGGGCGTGAGATATATGTACTTGAAACCTTTCTCCGGCTCGTTTTCGTCTTCCCATGCGATCTTGAAGGCAGCTTTCACCTCCTCGGCCAGACCAATGCGAGCTCCGGAATTGGTCGCGAAATATATCCGCGCACATCCGAGCTTCCTCGCCTTCTCGGACGCTTTGCAAAACACCATGTCTTCGCGCATCCCGAACGAGCCCATAATGTGCGTTAAATCGTTAGCGATAAGAATAACATCTCTACCGGATACACATTCCGGAGTGTACAGAGTTAACCGCCACGCAACCATGCCGACGTCGTTCTCTCCGGGTAGACGCTTCTGCTCGACCAACTGGTCTCCGTCTAACACCAATTCCACAACATCCATCACCGGATTAGGAATCGGATTTGGACTATTGCCGCTTAGCGGTCTCTCTTCGAAGTATCTTTGCCATAATTTTTCAACCTGTTGCCGAAACATGTCCGGCAAATCGTAGACGTAAGTCGTGCCGGCGCTCTGCGCCTGGAATCTCTTTGCTTGAAGATAATCTTTGGTCAGATACGGTGTAGAGATCGGAAGTCCGTGCATAGGTCCCGGCCTCCAATTGGCCGCGTTCGCCGCTGTAGGCGGATAAGACTCGAAACGGATGATACCCGTCTTGGGATCGGTGATTTCCGTATAAAGATGCAAATCGATACTGTATCCGCTGTCGTTAGCGATACAGAGACGTACGTTCGAGGTTGGTTTTCCCGGCGCGGGCCGAATTGTCATTTTGATCTCCGCCTGTCGGACGTGCAACTTCCACAGTCTCGGTCCGTATCGCAGCACCATGCTGGTAACGCTCTCTTCTATCCTGCTAGGATCCATGATGACCGTAGGTACGAAATTCAAGAAGATGTGATTGCACTCGGTGCGCTTCGCGAGAGGATGCGAGAACGCGACCTCCAATTCGTCCATGGCTTCGAGCAGAACTCGCTCACCCTCGTTGTGAAGATAATCAAAGCTGGCTTCTTTCGTGATGAGATCGGAATGACGTATGATCGAGCGAATGAAGAAGCGATAATCCGTAACTTGCTGGCCTTTGGCGACCTTAGCCTGTCCGAGATAAAGATGCATCTTCTGATTGGACGTCGGTAGGGCCTCGAGGTCGTAAGTTCTCATGCGATTCAGTTCCAAGTGGAAGGCGCAACCGGGTTCGAGATGACGGTAGATCCTGTCCTCGACGAAACCGTCTCGCTGACGGAAGGTGAAGAACTTGGGCACTTGTCTCTTCTTGAGCGCGGCGAACGTCATTCTGCGAATGCCGCGTGATGTCAACTCGTCTTTGTTCTTCGTGCACCAATCCGCGAACATTCTAGCCATAGTGGCGTCGTCCTCGGTGCCATTTTCCTTAACCGCGATGCTCAGTATGTGTACCGGCTCGGTGGATTTGTCACTTGGCGCCGCACCTGTCGCCGCCGATGTTTCCGCCGCGCTCAACGACACGTTTATCGATGTGCTGTGCCGTGACTCGCTACCAACGGAGTCCATCGCCTCCAACAGTTTCGCGGATACCACAGGCGTAGGACTCGACAAATCCTCCAAAAGATCCAAGATCTCGTCCGCGTATTGGCTGAAGTGGTCGAGATTTTCAAAGGCCACCATTGCGCCGGTTCTGTGATCTACCAGAGATTCGTTCTGACGATTCGGATGATTGCTGGGCAAAACAAATTGGAAATATATCAACGGAATCTCGCCCGAAAGTTCCAGATGTTGCAAACACGTGACCTCGTAACTGATGTAAGCCCGTCTCACATAGACTTCCAAAGCCGCGTTACACACCGCGCGATTTGAATGATAGAAGAAATCGTGAAGTATGTCGAAGATGGACGTCTCCGAGAGAATGAGTTTCTGAAGATTTTCCGGATGGAAGTCGTGCCCGTACATATCCACCGCCGAGAGGAATATCGATTCCATCTGATTGTATCTGAGTTCATAAGCGGGTTGATGAGCGGCGATCAATATCTGTCTGGCTCTCAGAGCGACGCGGCTGTGTTCTGTGCGATTCAAGCTCGTCAGTTCTGTTAACGTGCTCGAGAGCTCGTCGGTAAGACCAGGCTCGTTTGCCCACAGATGATCGATCAGCATAGTGACCAGGACGTTCTTTTTCGTCACTTGATTGTGACTGAAAATCATATTGGTCACCATGGTCGCATCGTCCTTGTACTTCTCGATCAGCGCCGAAACACACTTGTCGTAATGACCCTGTTGGAACTGGCTCTCGACCGTGTAGTATTGTCGAAGAAGTTCGTGCACCGCGGTCTTCATTCGGCCGCGTATGCCGTTCCGATATCTTTGCACCAATTGCACGATAGCCTGAGTAGTTAGGAAGAACACATCTCGTTCGGCCCTCTTGGACAATGTTGCCGCGTGTCCGTCAATCACGGCTGCGATCTGTTGACTCGGGAACTGAGCCAAGATCGACGTGATATTTCGCTCGTACAGAGACATCAACTTGCGTATCTTCTTCTCGACCAAAACGGGAATTCTACCGGATATCGTTGCGATCACCTCTTGCAGTTCCAACAACGGTAAATTAGGATCGCGCAATGAACACATGAATTTTTCGATCAGCTCTCGCAAACGTGGCAAGTGATGCGGATCCGGCAGACAGTAGCCGGCTAGTGTATTTTCCAAGGCGTTTCGGTACTTAGCGTGAAGTTGATTCAGTTTCTCCGGTACAACGGGCGCCGGCGCGGCAGTGAACTGTCCCGTGTATACTTGCGCCTTCGTCACTAACGACGGATCGTCCAGCTCGAGATGGGCGATCAATGTACCGGCCTCCAAAATAGCTCCGGGTCTCTTCACGTAAAACACACTACCCGCTTCGCTCGCGGTAACAGACATAACCATTTTCATCACTTCGATTTCAGCGTACGCCTTGCCGGCGTCAACGTGACCGCCATCTTCGACCAAAAAATTGATCAACTTGCCGGCTGACGGTGATCTGAGTAAGGATGGATCGTTGTCTTTTTCAAAAATACACGTTTGATTTCCAATGATGATTCTATAACGATCTACTTCTTCCCGCATGTAAGTTGTGAAACTTGCACCGTCCAGCGAGAGCAACAATCCTCCGTCCGACATGCGATGGACTTCTATCTCCTTGAAAGATCCGTTCATTATGAGAAAATAGTTATTGGGACCGGTTTTGACAGCTTGTACTTTATATTTGTATCCATCGTTAATAAGTTCCACCTGTAACAACATATGGTGTAATAAATGATCTTTGAAGAAAATATACAATGCACGAAGCAGAAACTTACATCAACAACGTTGTCCAGGTCGTTGCTAGCTTGAATCTGACCCTTCTCCAAGGCCGTTTGAAATCCGGTGAAAGCGGATGTGATTGTTCTGTCGGCGATATGAAGCGCTCCGCAGGTGACGGCCAGCAAAACATCCGGTTTGTCGCTTCGAATACGTTCGGCGATCAGCAAGTCGAGCCAAGCGGTATCTATATTGTTCTGTTGGAAAGCCTCGGTTTCCAACAAAGTAATGAGATATTCGACCGTTGTCCTAAAGTCGCCTCTGATGCTTAGTTCTTTCAGAGCTATAACTAAATTCTCTCTAGCTTGATTGCGATCTTCACCCCAGGAGAAACAATGACCGAATTGTGAGTCTGCGAACTCGTGAAGCCCACCGGATGCTCCAACCGAGAAATAACCCCATACGTTTTTAGACGATCGAAAATTTAACTCCTGCACCGTGCCGGAACTCGGTTTGAAGCCTGAAAAAGAGCCAAAGTTCGAATTTGTTGTGTTAACAAGACGTTAATTCTCCGCGACGGAGAAAACACACTCTCACCTTCGTCAGGATTTTCGCTGGTGATTCTAGCCGCGATAACGTGACCCCATGGTTGAGGCTTGTGACGCGGCTGATCGAAATCAATCGCATTCTCGCCCCAGGGACTTTCGCCGTATAAAAGACGTATATCTTTGATATGATGCAGCGGTAAACCCATCGCTATCTGCAGTTGAGCTGCAGGTAGATTTACATCTGACACCATCTCGGTGCAAGGATGTTCTACTTGAAGACGGGGATTGAGCTCCAAGAAATAATATCTGCCAGCTGTGTCGTAAAGATATTCCACAGTACCCGCGCTAACGTATCCCACCATTTTTGCTAATCTCACAGCAGCCTGTCGTTCAATAGCAAATAGTTAAACATAAACCGATTGACAGATCGCAGAGAGAGAGAGAGAGAGAGTATATGCTTGTTTTAGTCACTCACTCTTTCCATCTCTTCGAAAACTTCCGACTTGGCGATGACAGCCGGAGCCTCTTCGATAATCTTCTGATGTCTTCTTTGGATGGAACAGTCGCGTCCGAACAACGATATCGCGTTACCGTAATTATCAGCTAATAATTGTACCTCCAAGTGACGAGCACACTTGGCCAGCTTCATGATAAATATTGGCGAGCCGGGTATTTCCATCTGCACTTGCCTAAACGTGAGAAATCCTTGCAATAGAAATAAATTACCCGGCAACATTATTATCGAACAAAATTAACTTGTTCACGATGAGACTTTCGAATTACCTAAACAGAGCGGGCAATTCCTCAGGATTTTCAACCTTTCTGATGCCTTTACCGCCGCCACCTTCACTTGCTTTTATCATAATCGGAAAACCAATTTTGTTAGATGCCGCTAGACACTCTTCCACGGTAGCGACGCAGCCTTTTTTGAACAGTTCCGATGATATTTTGATCTTCTTTCCGCTGTACTGAGCTTTCAGTTCCGATCCTGACCAAGGAAGAGTCGGCACGTCCGCGGTTTGAGCAACTATGCTGGAAGCGATTTTGTCACCTAACGCCCACATGGCCCTTTCGGATGGTCCTGTCGGAGAGAGAATAAAAGTGTAGAAATACACAAGTAAATATAAATTATAAAACTTGTCGCGCGACGTTACGCGTCTTGTCAAACGACATCGACAGCAATCGAGGAAACGAAAATTTTGCTCGTATCTCTCTCTTTTTATAATTTGTTAATCCCATTTTTTTGTGTCATATTTTTTGTACCGATAAAGCAGATGTTATTTTTGTGAAGTAGTTCAGGAAGTTTTGGATTTTCCGAAGCGTGACCCCAGCCGGCCCAAACTGCTTGGACCTGAGTACGTATCGCGATATCCACGATCAGTTCCACATTAGCGTAATTGTTGTTGTTGGTCCCACCCGGTACAGGCACGTACTGATCTGCCATTTTGATGTATTCCGCGTTCGCCTTCAGATCTTCCGGGGTGACCATCACCACAAAACGTACGGCTCTTTCGTTTTTAAACATCTCGTAGGACCAGCGTCGAACCGATCGCATGCATTTAACTGCTGCGATCCCATTGTTGGCGATTAACACCTAAAACAACGTAAAAAATGTCGCAATGTCAAATCTCGCGAGCCTAACGTGCAATTATTTTCTCTTCTACGCTGTTTTAATAATTAGCGACTGTGTGTATAAACTATTTATATTTATTACCTTGTTGATAACTCGGGTACCTCCGAAACGATGGACAAACTCTTCGGGAGTCGCGATGGTGAAGTCCTTCTCTTGGAGCCGATTTTGCGCCTGAATCATCACCGTACCCTGCGACATGCTGGGCCTGTCAAACGACATGTGTCCGTTCATATAGATGTGTATACACGCACACTGAATATATTTTAATTTATTGTTAATCTATATATAATATTTTAGTTAGATTTATATAAATTCTGTGCGCATAAAAGTATTTCATATATATATATATCATATACATTGAGATGTATCGTATTCGTTACGAGCAAAAACATCTTGCATCTCGTCAACCCGGTCGCAGAAAAACACAGATTGAGAAAAAAAAAAAAAAACGTTCAAAACAGTCGTTTGAATAATTTTGTATTTGTGCCAGCGGTTTATAATCGCTCGTAAATATTACTTATTCAGTTTTTTGTCTGATTTGTTTTCTGCCGCTACAACGACGCCGCGATCTCTTTTTATTTCAAAATCTCGCTTCCGTCAGTTTTTTTTTTTTTTTTTTTATTTTTCTCTCTTAAAGTAGCGGCGACATTGCGTTTGAATATGCATCGTTTGCGCGATTCTGTGTGTGCTCGCGAAGTAACATACAATTATGTTAATTGTAAAGTTGACAGATATCTCGTTCGTTTACACTCGTTCGTGTTTTCTTCTCTGTTTCCGTCGTTTTTCTCGCGCACATTTCGAAGACGAATGTGCGACGACACATTCTCACAGAAAACTTATGAACTCTGTCTTCTCTCTATTCCCACTTGATTCAAGAAGAATCTTTTCACTCGCTTCTCGATATAAGAAACCCACGAGGCTGTCCTGTGTGTTTTCGCAAAACCTCCGATATGATAAAAATGTTCGAACGTACGTAGTTTCATGTGTTACCGTTGTTCACAAAAACAACAAGCCTGGAACTGCCACATTAGAAACTTCACATCATGCTCAACATCGCAACATTTTTTTTTTTTTTATCACCATTACATCTTTGCTCAGTCGTGTCTTGACGCGAAACAAGAGAGAAGCGCATGGATGTGCGCGCTTACATCCATGCGTGGTCTTTGGTCTTGGTGCGTAATCGAACAGTTGTGCTTTACATACGCGTTAAACACTACAACAACGATCAATTATGATGGTAAAGAAACGTTCTTCTGTTTACTGTGTCGCGCGTTTATGCGCGACAATTATTGAAAAAAGCGAAATATAATACTGATCTCACTCAGATTAAAGGTGCTCGCTAACTAGTGTCCGCTACTCGACTACTACGACTACGACTATTTAACGGGCTACCCAAATAACTGTCCAACACGCAAACACACACACACACACACACACACAGATCCCTTTCTTTTTACATGTCGTATATTACATTCAAATTAAATTTATTTAATCACTTCAGCCATACATATCGTATACTAAAGAAACCAAAGAAACATTAATAATGTCAAGATGTTCTTTTAAAAACTCTATAAAAGAAACAGATATTCTTGGTATATGTAATAATTAATTTGCATGTAAAACCATCATGACAAAAAAATTGCAGAGAGAGAATGATCAAAAGTTAAAGGTCAAAAGATGAAGTTTGCAAATAAATTGGTATTAAGGTTTATTTTTAATATTAATTTGATTATGATTAATAACGGAAATAGGATTATCATCAATTCTCTATCTCTTCTCTCTTTTTTCTATACTTAGTTTTCTCTTTCACAGAACGAGTCAAAATACATTAAAATGATTGTGATTTATTTACAGAACATCTATTTCAAGAATCACATTATCTTTTTGTCTATACAAATAGATTTGTAATCATATTTCACAATACTAAAAAACAAACAAAATATAAAAAAACCAAAAAGATACGTAGAATGTCGTGATTGCGCGAAGGATTATTACCTAATTCGATAATTTTGCTCGATATTCGTTTGTTTTTTTTTGTTTTTTTTTCGATAATCTTAGTTCTTTTTATAGCTTTTTATTGAGATACTGAAATATTGCGCGCGATAAATGAAATTTGAGGCTTACATGAAAAATAAAAAAAAAAAAACAGTGCAATAACTTTACGCGATATATCAATCAGTACCGCTGATATAGATGTTATTGTGCGACATGTCGAAACTTGCTTATCAAGCCTAATTCGCATACCATTAAAAAAAAGCAGTTGTCATCGATTAATGAAGAATTTGAAGGCCTCTAGTTTCGTCACAAGTACAATCTTTTTTTTTTTGTTTTTCCCCCTACAAAAGCCAATTGCGACGCGTTACGCGATGTTCGCGAAGTAAATAAATATCTAGTGATAAAGAAAACTAACAACTAACGCGATATCTATAGACTGATAAACAACAATAGAAATATGTGCATAGATAATCCGCGCGCTTGTGTATCTCAAAAACCTAAAATTCAATGTAAAACATAAATTTTCATAATTCTTTTTCATAATTTCATAAACTTTTTCTATTTATTACCACGCGCATATATTATTATTACATAATCTTCGATGTCGATCGTTAATATTATATATCGCTTTGAAGATTAAAAGCGACAACTTTTAATTCAGTTTCTTGTTGTTTTTTTTTTTACGAAAAGAAACACATCGATAAGTGCACTTGCATCGTCGCATAAATGCATTATTTATAAACTTGTGTAAATACTTATGTAGTGCTCAATCATGTATAAGCTGCGTGGAATAGATTAGAGAAAAAAAACACAGAAAGCAATCCACGCTTTCTCTCTTCCTCCCGCGTTATCAGTTCTCTTTGAAGTATCACGCGAGACGATAACCGTTTTTTTTTTTTAAATAAATTGTCGCATTATAAATTTTCGAAATATTTATATAATGTACTACCGAAGATGTGGCACCGCAGAAGAATAATCGGATAGACGATGATCAAAAACTAATTTACATACGCACAGAACAGTGCTAATTAAGAAGTAATTATATAATTAATTAATATATAATTTGAGTTAAAATAAACTGTGTGCAATAATCGCGATAGTGCGTGAATTCGAAAATCATTTTAAACAGCCATTCTTTGGTTGAAGTCCAATGGAATATTCAAATATTCATTGTTATAAAGTCGCAAAGGTGAAAAAAAGGTCGTATAGCCAAAGAGTGAGATATTCACACATCCCTCTTTTTTTTTTTTTTTTTCTCTGTTATCTAAATGCAAAGTTCGCATTACGTAAAGGTTGAATTTTATCTAATTTCAATTAACGTCGTTGCGAATTGGATAATTTCACATCGGACGATCGCGAGCGACACAGATCGCAATTTCGACGACGTCTATAAACACGCGATGAAATAACTCGCAAAATAAACACCGAAAGTGTGCTTCCTCTCTTAATCCGATGGGGTCGATTGGATTCAAAGCTGTTTTTGCTCGTTATTACTGACGGTGATGGAGAACGCAGAGAGAATCACCTGAGACGCTTACGACGTTCCGCCAGTCCCGGCGCGATACTCGTCTGCGCCTGCAGATTTGTGGCGCTATCGCCATTATCGCTCGGGAAGCTGTCCTCGATTTCCAGAATTTCGCTAGGGTCGGAACCGGAACCGTGATCGGATTCGGGCTCGTGCTCCTGCTCGGGCTCGCCGACGACAAAACTCACCGGTGCCTCCGACATCTCGTAAACGGATCTGGACGAATCAACGGGACGTACGACTTCCTCGCTAGGTCCCGTCGAAGAATCGAGCGTACTCTCCGAGGGCTCGACGTTACCTTCAAAAATATATTCGGATATACGATCCGGATAATCGTTTTTCATCGCTGTCGATCGAAAAAACAAAGAGACGTTTAAGAAGAGAAAAGCAACACACGTGTTTAAATGTTAATAATTTTTAAGATATATATACGGCGATCTCTCTTGGACGGAGATACAAATTACCAAGATGTTCGCAGGTGTTCAAACACACAGTTTGTTACTCACCCAGAAACGCGTCCTACCAGGAGGATCGCCGTGCGTAAAAGCACTCTTCGGCCGGCCACTGGCAGCGAAGAAATCGCTCTCGCGCAAAAAGAGAGCTCGTTCGTGAGGAGGAGAAAGAAGAAAAGAGAAAAACTCGCAACTCTCAGTAAAGTGGTAGTACGAGTAGATAGGTAGATAGGTAGGTAGTAGTACACACGGAGCGATCAAGTTTCAGAACAGAAGATACAATAAATGTATATATATACACAAGAGTGAAGAAGAAGTCACGTGATTTTTTTTATGTGATATAAAAGTTTAACAGAAAATACCGAACGTGGTGAGAAAATCCAGAAGACGACGTAGCATACCATCAGCTACGCGCGTTTCCCTCACTTTGGCACACCTATCCTCCTCCTCCTCCTCTTTCTGCACCGGGAGGTGTCACACGCGGCGATGAAAACCGCGTAAGACCACGTTCTTTCGTCGACTGAGTTAAGAGATCCCCCAACTAAGGAGTATATTAAAGACGATTACTGGATCACACGCGCGCGCGCTTGCACACTGGCTCGCACCAGAGACCGTGTAAGCGAGAATTACGTCGGTCCCACGTGGAATACACATCACTTGCGAGTGAACATGAAGCTCGGCGCGAGTTCAGAGGGTCATCGCGTTATGTATGAAAAAATGCCGATGACGTCTCTCCGGCCGGAGTCTTCCTCAATTTGTTGTGGATTATGTTTTTTTTTTTCATTCATACACCGCGTGCGGTTTGAAATTCGGTGAATAATCGTCGAACAATCGGGTCGCGCGCACACCTCTATGCCATCATCCCTCTTCTTCTCTTTGCGCTCAAACGCCGAGTTATTTACAGCTGATTGTTCTCTCAAATTGTATCCTTTCTCTCTGTCTCTCCATCTATCTATCTCTCTCTTCGAGTTTCAATCCTTTAATTACACAAAACGAAGCATTAATTTCGATTTTTTGTTACATTCGTAACGCACGAATCGCACAAAACCGATGCATTTATTATTGGACGTTGTTAGATGAAAAAACAATCGGTCGCGCGTAATAATGACGTGTAAATACATTAGACTGTTTACACGTGTACTTTGTTTTCAAGAATCTAAATGTCCTTGAGGAAACGTTTAACTGTTCTCTAATATTTAAATTATCACGAAAGAATTATGCGCAAGTTCATGCATATGTTACATAAAGTGCGTGCTGCGAAGATTAAAATATTGCGAATATGCGACAAGAGTTTTTTTTTTTTTTTTGTTTAAATTGGGATTCTGGTAATTTGTAAAACTCTCTCTCTCTCTCTCTCGCTTTGTTCCAGAAGAAATAGATGAAATTGTTTATTCGCACACACGCTCTCGTAACATTGCCAATCGAGATAAATCCATAAATGAAAATTAAAATGAACACGATACAATCACGATACAAATCTCCGCACAGACGAACGTTTATCTTCCATTAACGAAATTCGAGAGTTCGCAAGTTACTCAAGAGACAAGTCTTTTATGCCATTTATTTTTCTTACACACACACACTCACACACATGCATACCCTATAACAATATCCATTTGCGTTCACGCTAAGAGCGCGCTTAGCTTCTTTTTCATTTCGGTTTTGAGATTTTCGGATTTTACACAAATTTTCATTTTCGTTCCTTCGCGAAGAGACAAAATAAAAAGAAACATATCTAATTCTGGAAATAAAAATGTCTAAAATTTAAATCAAGAATAGATTTCGTTCTCCGTTGTGTCACCGATTACCGTTTCATTTATTATCGCTCTCTGGATTTTTCTTTGTAAAAAAAAAACAAAAAAAAACAAAAAAAACATCCACAAACTTCTCGAACGCGTGCACAGATCGCGCATCGTGAAACAGATTTTCACATATGAGATTATCGAAACTAAAACAAAAAAAAAACACCCGAACAGACAACAACGATTGGTCGAGCGGGATGTCAGGCGACGCACGGCCGACGGCGATTGGTTCGCGCGGCGCGCGCCACGGCTCGCGTCCGCTCGTCGCATGCCGCCCGAATCACCGGGCCTTTGATAACACACGATGCGATTCTCTTTTTTTTTTTTTTCTACTCGCGGGGTCGTGACACGATTGCGATTGACGGTCGCGATCGCGCAACGACTTTCGTTCTCCCGCGGGGAGTGGGAAACAAACGTTCGCGCGACTCGCCAACTTTGCACAGTACGCAGCAACTCACCGGTGACGAATTTTGCGCGGCGGAGTGGCTCGCTCGCTCCCGAGGTTAGGATCGTCCCTGTGTTCCTGGTCTGTCATTCGAGACGTTTTCACGTATCGCGTGTTCTCCGTCAAAAAAGAAAAAAACTCGGTCTCAATCTCGCACAAAGCGGCGTCTGCTGTTTTTTTTTTTCTGTCTGTTTTTCGCGAACGTGATTCGCGATTGTCAAGTCGAGATTCGATGTCACCGCGCGATCATAGGTACTTCCTATTTCTCGGCCGCGCGATCACTCACTGATCTCCGTTGTCATCTGTCGTGAGGTTCCGCACGTCGCGAAACGTAATGATCTTAATTCTCTCTGCCATGCGTCTCCGCACTCTACTCTCCGATCAGGTGACCAATAATAATGGAAATCTCGTTTTTATCGGTCTAGTCTAGACGGTCTTATCGGCGCGCTCCAGGTGGAAATAGCAAAAACAGTACACGCCATCGGTACAGCTGGCAGAGGTCAGGAGAGTCACAACAATCGTGTACCAATCGCATTTTTCGAGCGAGAATCGCAAATGCGCGGTCGACTCAAGTCGGCGGCAATTTTCAATTTTCTCTCGACAAACGAAGTATTTACGTGGATATTTATTTTGCGAGGCTTTTGATACATCAACTTGTTGCAGAAAGGAGAGTGTTCGACGACGAGTTCGATAAAGATGCAAGACACGAACGCGAGTCAGCAAGTCGCGTGCGACGATCACGCGCTCGACAAGGATTGCTCGAAATTTTGCCGTCTCCTGAGCGTCACGCTGAGCAATATTATCAAGCACAGTGTGAACGGTGAGTTTCGAAGCGATTGTTTCAGAACGTTGAAGACCGACAACTCGTTCGGCGCGCAAACGACTCTCGCCTCTGGTTTGTCGGCGATTGTGGCGCGCGATAAAAAAGATCGCGTCGCTCAAAAGAGGACGGACAATGGAAACGACGGGAAAAGTGACTGAAACAATGTCAGTGAGGTGCAATTGTCAAAAGAAAAACAAAACTCAGTCACGCAAACAATGCCGAAAAAATTTGCGTGACGAAAAACTACACAACAATCGTCACTTCGCAATTTTGTTTTTGTTTCCGCAATTGGTTTCGTCAAATCAAACACAAGGATTTTAATTAAACATTTTCGACATAATTTTATTTGTAAGGATTACACTTGGGATTTGTTCTTTACAATTTTTATTGTAAGGATCAGAAGGAATTAATAAGGTTTTTTTTTCTTTTTATATTAAATGTAGAGCGTAATGAGAGAGAGTGACACATTGTTCGGTCTATATAATACTATTATTTTTTTTTTCGTTATATTTCATGACTCTTTGATACATACAAAGCAGTTCAATTATTATATATTTGCTAGTGTAACAGTACAAAGAATACGAGTAAATATAAAAATCCAAGAATAATAATAATAATAATAATAATAATAATAATTACAAAGAATTGTTATTAAAGCTTCTCTAACAATAATAAAATTAATATATCTCTTTCTTCGTGTGTTCGTATATAATAAATTAACAACGAACTTTAAAAATCTTTCGTTACAATTCAGCTAAAGATAATCGACGAGATAGGAGAGACAAAGATGAAGTAACTTGGAGAAATAAAGAAATAAATTTGTTTCATGTCGTCATCTTTGTCGCGTGATCTGTGTTTTTTTTTTTTTTTTTGTTCGATATTGAATCCTTCGCGATGAGATTCAAGTGAAAAAAAACAATAGCAAACAGATCGAATAGAAAACAAAAACAAAAGATATAAAAACATTTTAGCGGAATTGCATAAATAATGGTAATAATCGTCGTCAAATGCAACATCGTATAATCCGCTCGTAAAGTAGTACAAATAAGCCCAAAAAGTATATAGCGTATACAACACGAATCAATATATGTATAAATATATTATGAAAACTAGACGAGAGTGTTGAGATTTTTAATGTAACAAAGTCTATATATATATATATATATATATCGCTATCGTTTTGTTTAGTTTTGTTGTTTTTTTTTTTTTTTTTTTTTTTTAGATACCTGTTTGTTCGATGTTCCATTCTAATTATTAGTTGCCCTGTTGTATATAATAATTCAGTGTTTTCAGAAACCGAAAAGATGCAAAACTGCGAGATAGGACACGCGAGAGGGAGATCAATCAATTCAAGTAACTGTGTTCTACAATTTTACACTTTGCTCTAAAATGCAGATTGAATACTGAATAATCGCGTTTGTTTGTTTGTTTGTTTTTTTTTTTTTTTTGCGCCATTAATACAACTCTCTATTACAGAACTTATTTATACTACTGCAGAGAGCAAACCTTTGAAGAGATCAAAAAACTTTATCAATGAAGAGACGGTCGCGAAGCTCTCTGTTTTAATCTGGTCAGTAACGCCTGCTCGCCGTCGTCTTCCGTTTTCGACGAGACTCCGCGAAAGCTTTCCGATCGATATTTGTCCCTCAAGAACGTCCTTCTCTCCTCTTTGTACTTTTCGATTCTCTCCCGACACTGCGGATCTCCCAGATCCAGACCGCCGAGATTTTTCAGCTGGATCTTTTCGCTGGAACCGCTCGTGCAAGTGCTGGACCCGCTGCCGACATTGGGCGTTGAGCAGTGCTGCGCGTCCTCCGAGATTTGTTTCACCGACAACGGGATCTCTCCCGTTATCCGATTGAACTTGGCCTCGTCCAGGGATCGACTCAGTACCGCCCGGGTCGCCCTAGCGTGACGCGCTCGCAAACACGGCGGCAAGTGTTGCGACACCTCTTCAGACTTACCTCTCGCACAGTCCAATTCCTGCTTCATTTTTCTCTCCCTAACAATTTCTCTGCCGATCTCCGAATCGAAGCTTCTGCGATCTCTGATCGTTTCGGTCTCGTACTTCCTCCTCGTGGAAACTTCCCCCACCGCGCCTCCCGATAATCTCTGCAGAGCCAACTCCTGCAGAATGGCTGCGGTATCTCGCAGCACAACCGCGTTGTTATCGATAGTCGGAGACGAGACGTTCGAAAATGTATCCGACGAATCCAACGTACGTTCCATCAATTCGGACGTACCTTCAGGAGCGTGGGCTACCTCGCAGGGCTCGGCCGCGTTCTCCGATGGAATTCTCACGTCGATGTCGCCTAATTGATTGCCCTGCAAGTTGCCGCACTTGTGACCATCGTCGGTACGTTTGGAAGCGCATTTGTACAACTGTTGCGTGTTCGCTTGCTGTTTCTGCGAATTATTGTACCCGAAATTTTGGCACTTTTTCGACAATCCGTTCGAGCAACGGTCGTTGTCGTGATCGTCCCGCGACGTAACGGGAACGTTCGTTTCCTGATCTCCTTCGAATTTATCTGAGAATCTCGATGGGTTTATGACGTGCAAGGAACGCGACAAACCTCGATGCTGCACGCTCGTGGTACCTCTCGGCAAACGCTGATAATTCTCAAGCGTCTCCGTTTCCCTGAACACCTCCTTTTGTTCGCAGACCTCGTTCTGATTCGTACCGAATACGTTCGCGTTGTCCGCCTCGATGTAACACGCATGAACCTGCTGCTCCCTCGTGTTGGATTCCTGACTCGAATTAACATCAGCCGTCGCGCAAGTATATTGATTGCCGTTCTCCTGATCGCGTAGCCGCGATTCGTCCATGAGATTACGTTCGTTTATGAGATCAAAGCTCGCACGCGAATCGCTCCCCTCCTCTTCTTCGTGACTCGTCTTTTCTGTGAGACTGTCATGCTCGAGTATCATATCTTCGCTTTCCTGCGTCGGCACGCAACCTCTCGTCGAGTCGCTAACTTCGACACAAAACGCATCCGCGGTTGAAGTTAACGTAATCTCTAACGAGGTCCCCGAAACATTTTCCAGCGCTGTTGGATTTGCACCTCCTTCCAAAAAGGGATCGTTCGAACTGATCGATTCGCTGATCGACGTTGAGACAAGACAGGTCGCAGGTTTTCCGATGATCACCCAATCCTCGGAATCGTTGGTGGTGCCGGTTGCGCGCTGATTTTCCGTATTGTTGAACACTTTGTCGGAGTTATCACAAATTACAAATCCAGACTCCTGTAATTCCTGCAGCGTCTGTTCGCACGACATCGGCGAGTCGAGATCGGTCATATTGGACGACGACGGCAATCTCAACAAATCGGCCACAGCGGTAAGGTTATTCGACGAATCTGTGGATTTGTCGCATCCTTTCGTCGCGTCGCTCGCGTCTTCCTTCTCGTCGTACGACTTAGACGAGATTTCCACGGAGAAAGAGCTCAGTCGTCCGTCCGTTTCGTCCTTGCGAGACGCAGCAATCCCGTCGGATTCGATTCCCTCGCACGGTAAGGACAATCTGTTGGAAAACGTTAACTCCGTGTCGTTGAAAACCGAAGCTACCGCGCTCGATCGAATCACGGATTGATTTTCAATGTCTGTAAGCGACGAAGTTGCGCTTTTGTCGCATAATTTCGCGTGATCGCAAGTTCTGGTCTTCTCACGCGACTCCAGCCCCCTATCTCGGTTTTCTAGATTTGCAGACAATCTATAACCAGGCTCTGAAGACTTATCCGAGGACAACGCGCTGGTTTCTTTCAACTTGTTCGCGTTATTTTCTTCGTGTTCGTCGCCGATCTCCAATGGCAGAGTGAAACTTCGGAAACTTATTCTCGGACTGTTAGCTGGTATCGGCGATGCGGAGTGAGATGTGCCTTGCAGCGTGGCGGGTGTGAGCGGTGTGGAAGCCTCCGATAAAAGCGGTAGGTAGCCCGGCGTCGGTAACGGAGACGGTGTGTCGATACTGTGAATATCCGCGCTCGTCATAACCTGAAATATTTAAAATATTAGACACAATGTGCGCGTGAAGGAATTAGCAATTTTGACTAGTTCGATTTTGAATTTACCTGATCGGGACTTTGGCTATCTATGAAACGCAACTCGACGTCGCACTGCAGTCTTTCCTCTAAACGGGATCGTTTTCTCTTGGATCCACCAGTGACGACGGTGCATTGATTCCCTTCAGCTCTCTGTCGACGCGGTGACGCCTCCACGGACGCCGTTCCGCCGTTACCTTCCTCTTCCGAGAGCATTCTCATTTCTCGTTCTTCCAAATCGAAATTGAGCTGTATTTCCGAGAGATCCAACGGTGAGGACGCGTTGGGCGCATCGGCCAGGTGATCGAAGTACGAGTCGTGAGAAACAGATCGACTGTGACCGCAGGTTCTGGTCGGAGGTGGTCCACCCAGAAGAGGACCTAAACTATCCTCGCCGTCCAAACTGTCAGCACTCTTGACTGGTCTCAGTCTTCGCAAGGAATTTAAGGAACTCGGTACCGTTTCTGCCTGAGGTGGCGTACCAATCTGTCTCGGTTTTCCCACGGCCGCTCTGCCGAATAACGCGCGCCAATTCAGCGAGGGCGATCGTTTCGAGCCGTTTCTTTTGCGCGGCAGTTCTATGACCGTATGGTAACGCAGCGGCAAACCGGCCGGACCCGCTCCTACTTCTATGTAATCCGGTTCACCTCTGATGCTTCTGTTGCGCGCCTCCTCTAAAGTAAGCAATCGCGCCGATGTGGTAATCGCGAGAGACTTTGGTCTACCGACGGGGCCGTCGCCGAATATGAGTTCCGCGTAGCAGACTAGAAATTCCGTCACAACTGCTTGGACGCCGACGCCCTGAAGCGCTGCTACTCCGCCCACCTCCAACTCCTTGCATCTCAGAAGATTCGGCGCCCAAACAATGGCCACGTTGCGCGGAGTCATGCCTGTTTCCGTACCACGCGCGGCTACTCTCACCAAATGACGCATCAGATATTCCAGTGTCCTGCATATGCGTATAATATGTATATATAATAATAAACATTGATAAAAAAAAATTAAAAGTTTTGATAAGAGAAATTGCAACACACACAGATTGAAAATAAACGAAGGAATCTACCTGTAATGAGGCGGCGGTAATTTCCTAACCGCGTCTCTCATACGTCTCAATCTCTCGGCGTCGCTGCCAGCTTGAACCGCGTTTACGAACGTAGAATACAGTTGGTAAGTGCACAATGGATTCGGCAATTCTCTAAAGTACATCTTCAACAACGACGCTACAGAATGAATATCCTGTAAAATACTCTCATCGGAATGCAACGCTGGAACCCGATCCTCGTCAAATGCGTTTCGCAGTTTTTGAATGTTGGACGTTACACCGCTGAGGCGATATATACCATCGACTAGACCATGTTTCTCTATGAATTCCGCGCAGCACGTCAGAACCGTAGGTACTGCAACAGAAATAATTCACAGTAAATTGCTTTTTTTTTTTCTTATATATAAAATTTCCAACTAAGTCGGAACATCTAATTCAAAAAGTGTGCGATTAAAAAATTTTACCGTCTTGACCAGAATTTAACAGATGTTCCCCCAGGTCGCAGCCGAAAACGCGCTCTTTCAATATGCCCGATTGCTTCAATCTTCTTCTGGAAGGCCGATTTAATATGAAGGATCTAAAAAAGGCGATTAACTTGCCGTGCTTTCGAAGCACGGGTTTTACTGGTAATCTCGATCTGACTGTCGTCGAAACTGTCAAGTGACGCGGCACTTTATCTCCTATCACCGCAACGCATTCAGCCGGAAAGAATCCAACTGCGAATCCGTGCTTTCCACGCCACCATGTACTTTCTCCCGGTGGGGGCATGTCAATAACGGATATCATGTCGCCTACCTGTCACACACACACACACACAAGAGACAACTTTGATCAGTTCTCTTGCACCAAGTCTCATGAGAATTCATTTAGTTTGACGTTCTTCAATTGTTAATTTTACCTGAAAGGAAATTTCGTCCTGCGCTTGAGCTGTGTAAGGCCTCACCGCGTACGCCGCCGCGACAGCTGGGGTGTTTATAGGACAGGAATCCGATTCGGGCACCAAAATTCTCCTCCCTCTATTATCAAGTTGCAACCAATTTAATACTGGACCGCAATTTAGGCCTTCGTGATTCAATTGCGAGAATCGGCTCAGGTAATCTTTTAATATATCACAGGCATTTTTTGGCCGAACGTCTGGAAGCTTCGTTAACGAGGAAAATTTTCTGTCGAATATGCAACGATGCAATTGCTTGTCAAACATTACGAAGTTGTCGTAGGATCTCTGTAGTGTCCAGCACGCGTCTCCCGATGTTATTCGAACGACGTAACTCTCCGAGTCGTTGGAACCTTCGTTGACCGACACCTGAAAGAAACACACACACTGCAACTTTTCAAACGAATCCCTTCCGTATCTTCAATTTGACGTACCTCCAGATTACCAAGCTCAACGTGTTCGTAATGAAAATGGGCGCATTCGTCTAATTTTGGAAAACGCGCGATGCTGCTCATGTTGCTGCCAGAACTGACAGGTGTGCTGAAATCATCTGTCCGATTGCCGCTCAAGCCCTGCACAAGTCGATTTCCAGTAAGCATCTTTAAAGTATATTTCAAGTAAAATCGAATCAAAATTGTGTGTGAGCAATTTATTAACCTTCATTGTCTGAGATTCGAGATCGGTGAGCCGATGAGCGCGAGGTCTCTCTTGAGCCGATGGTCCGGGCATCGTTCGGTAAGTTTTTTCGGTGTACAAAGACGATGATCTTAGGCCTTCGATTTGGACAGCGCATCAAGGTGTGACGGCAGAATTTTATGTTCCTCTTAATCGAGCCATTTTACTTCAGTTTTTCTCACACAGTTTCTCTGCACAGACGTTCAGAACTCTCCCCGTTAGAGAATATAGAATCTATTTATCTCCAGCAAAAACACACACACACACACATATCCAATCGCAATTTGACACTCGATTATTTGTGTCTACCGTGTACAAATTTTCTCCCTTGCATCCAAGTGTATTTCGTTTTATTTCGTAGAAAATCGATAAGAATTTTGAACGTCTACGAACGAAACGTATATAAACCGAGCGAACGCATTGACCAATGGGTAAGAGAAGACGAGTCTATTGTATGTACGAGTGTGAGTGTTGAGTACTTGTATTGCGCATAAGTGCGCCAATAGCAATTCGCGAGTATATATGTACTTTGTATATTCGGAAACTCTTCTTCCAATAATTTTGGGCCGAAGGTCGGGGTCGGTCTAGAGGTTGTCAGACAAGTTGGTTACAGCCCATATGCTGGGATATTGGAAAGGTTGCGAGAGAAACCGCGATAAAACCGGGCGGCACGGACTCGCGCGCGTATATTTACATCGCGGATGTTGCACCGCGCGCCAACCCTTAGGGCGGCGATATCGAATCTTTGCGCACCGGCGAACCGTTCGCGCAAAGGCTCGATGCCGAACAGCTGGGTTTCCGCAACTCCCCCCCCCCTCCTCTCGCACTCGCCTTCGCTCGCCACTGTGCGGACTAAATCTTCGCACGGGGGAAATAACGGAGCTATTATGTCACGAGCGGTTTCTCTCTCTCTCTCTTTTTCTCTCTCGTACACACACACACACACCTGCACACATCCAACGCCTCGTCGCGCACGCTCGGACGAGGACAAAACTCAGAAAAAGGATAGGCCGGCGCGACGCAACGCAGCGCGCTATAAACGGGGCCACGCATTCGCATTCACGTCGCGGCACGCACTCACGCTCGCTTTTAAATTCTCCTCTCTCGCGCACGGTATAATATGCGGTATGTAAAAAACGCATATTATACACGTACGTGTATACGCGCGCATTAACACACAACGTTTTTTTTTTTAACGCCGCTCGGATTTTAGAGCCCAATCGATTTCGCGATACCGCGAGAAAAATCCGGCACGGGGCGGGGGGGGGGAGAGAATTCGAAAACGCGAGATTTATACCTACACTCTGTGTGCGAGAATCATTGCCGCCACTCCCGGGTTTGAGAATCACTGTCGTCAGCCGGATATTTCCAAGCCGCCGAGCGTAAGAAAAACGTATATACGAGCGCTCGCGTCGCGTGTTTGTCTTCCATTTGCTTTGTTGCGGCGTGTGTCGTTTCACCCCCGAACGAGACCGACGTGGTGTGACGACGAGAACAACAACGCGCGACGCTCACGCGACGACGATGTCGAGGTCGCGTCGTCGCAATCCGGTGGGACGGTTCGAGTGGAGGGAACAACACGACGCGACGCGACAGTGGTGGTGGTGGTGATGATGACGACGATGACGACGACGACGACGACGACGGTCTCGTTTAAGCGAGGTTCCACCCTCGCTCGTTAACTCTCTCCGTCGCTCCTCATCACCGTCGCGCGCGCGAATTAACGACAGTCGCCGAGTTTGCCAACACGCGTCGATCGGCTTGTCCGCGCGATATCAAAAGACGCTCCTTTCGCGACGCGATTCTCCGCCGCGTCGTTGCCGCCCGTCACCCGCAGCCCACCCGACCTACCTTATCCTGAGTTGTTACCGTAACCTAACCCCATCCCGATGCGATTTGACGGAAAAATGATGGAATTCCTTGATTTTGCACGATGTATCTTTTTTTGATTGTTATCAAACCAGCTTGAGCGAATCTCTCACGCGCGTTTTTATCACCTTCCGCGCGAATTTTTCCTTCAGCTTGCACTTGACTTCGTCAAAGTCAAGCAGAAGGAGATCAGATGTCGCGGATCTTCTGCTGCGACATATTTGATGTAAATCTCGTGCGCAAGACGTGTGTTTTTATAACAAGATCTGTTACACCGCACCACACAGTAAAAAATTTTCTAATTTTTGCGTACGTGATGAACACCGAGAGACGACGAGAGTAGAAAAGGTTTTGTATAAATTTTATCTCCGGTGATACTGGTGGAACGCCGAAGAGAGAGGACTTGAACTCGACTGTCGTTAACTGTCGGTAATAACGACAGTGACAAATGTTGCAGCCGGTCACGTGGTGGTGATCGGACGTTTAGTTACACGCTGTAGATAAAAAAGTCTTAGATTAATTCTATCCTTTCTATTTTTTCGTACAATGTTCAATGAGAACAAGTTTTTTATTTTTCTTTTTTTTTTTTTAAATTGCCTCTTATCAACTTTTCTTCTTTTGTTCATTTACACAAATCTTTTACGCAAATTGTGATTTTTTATTAATTGCCACATATCGATATCGAATAAATAAAATTCTGTATACGGTTTTTATATAAATTGTCGTGTAATTTTTTATAAAAAGTAACGATTTAAATAGCTACTCGTTTCTTCCCTCTTGCGAGCACTTTTATTAAATTTATACAGTTCTGATTAGAGCGAGTTGAGAGAGAAAGAGAGAGAGAGAGAGAGAGACAAATGATTGTTGACAAGCGGCATTTTTAAATCAAAGAGAAACAATTCTGAAGAGAATAAAGTTATTATTTCGGGAAAGGGGGAGGTGTGTGTGGAAGAGAAACGATTTTTTCCTTTGCAATTGGTAACACGATTGAAGAACAAGAACGTACTTAACAAATACGCACAAATGATATGTATCATCATGTCAAAATCATTTAATCGCATCGCACATACGCTTCTTTAAACTTCCTTCACTTTCGAGCGACGACGCGAAACCAAGTGTGTGTTAGCCATCAAGTCCGGTCCCTTCCTGTCATCAAGTACCTCGACTGCTTTCGAGGCGAGCCCCTTCCTCTTTCTCTCTCTCTTTCTTTCTCTCTCTCTCTCTCTCTCTCTCTCTCTCTCGACATGTAAAGAACCTTTAGTCTTTACTTCTTTAAACGCCGTGATAAAGTGGATGGGGTGCTACTTCTCGAGAGCGATGGCGGAAGAGGCGCGAGGGCCTCGCATAAGGGGACAAGGGCGAAAGAGAGAGCGCGCCCGCGCTTTTATCTCGTAGAACGAGGACCACTCGAGAGGCCAGGAAGCAGCCAAGGTGGAGGGCGACTCCGTGACTATCGTCGGATCTACCGTGGCAATTATTTTTAAACACACTGTGCAGATAGGGATCTCGACCGTAAGCGCCGAGGAAGAGTAGGTGGCTCCGCACACTTTTGTGTTCCGCGTGTAAATAGCCCAATAACCGGCGCATGAAGCGCGGAAACACCTTGTAGTGCGGCGGCAGTAGTGCCGAAACCGCGATCGCGAAAGACCACGTACGATATATATGAAATAACTAACACGTGGCGAAGCGAAATAACATACGCGCGGCATTTTCGTAGAGCGCGGGGGGGGGGGGGAACTTATTCACCCTCCGCGCCTCTCTCTCGTCTGTTGCTTCACGTCTCCTCTTTCTCGCCTCCTTCTCGAGCGACGCGCGCTTTCAACGGTGCGCAAATCAAATCAGAACACCCCCGCGCAGGGTCGACGACAATGTTATTTGTTAGCGGAAGCGTCGTAGTAATCGGAGGTTGAAACGAGGCCAGATTGCCCGCCGTGATCGAGTTAAGCGGCACGTGGGCAGTAACGCCGTTGTCTCCGCAATCGCGTGTCTTCTTCTTTCATTATTCTTCCCCAGAATATATGTCTCTTTCTCACAAGATAATTTCCGCTACGACCGCGCGGAAAATTGCAACACGCAACGAGGATTTTTTTTTTTTTTTTTTTTTTTTTTTTTGGAAAACCCCAAAAAACCAAATGGAAACAAAATATATATATATATATATATATATATATATATATATGCATAGGCAACTCGCGTTGCGTAGGCCGACGGCTGAAGGTTTTAGGCGGGCTTTATTTCGGGGATCGGTTGGAGAGCCGCGGATTGACACGCGTCGACGTCTTGACAGCTTGTTAGGCTAACGATTCACCCCTCACGCTCGGTGCCAGCCTCTTTGGTTACTCTTCCATCCACGATTCGCTCTCTTTTCTCCCCTTTCCGACCTTTCGCTTTTCAACAGATTAAGTCTTTGGGAGTTTCGCGCGCGCCGCCGCCGCCGCGACCGATGTATGTACATACATCTCCATGTGTATGTTTGATAAATTCGCAAATTACCGTCGTCGTCTGTTAATTGACTTTGCGTCGATTTGCGCGCAAAAATGCGCTAACTCGCAGGTAAACCCGCCTGCCTACGTGCGCCGCTGCACACATCAGGGTTACATTCGGGCTACATCGATACCTACCGAACACTCCGGCGACTGAAAATAATGAAAGTAATGGGAACACGCCCACTGCATTTAACTAAAGCGAGCCTCGCTCTGTACCCCCTTGTGTTGCAACCCCTTCCAACGCGCGCGCGAGGCTCGCGCTTGCCGCCCGCTGGCGCCTTGTTCGTTCTCGCTCTCGTCCTACGCTCTATTGGCCATTGTACCTGTCACTTCATTGTCCTTTATTTCATTATTTTCGCCGCATTCCGCTCTCCGTCGAACGTGGGGTGAGCAAGCGCGCGCGCGCGCGCGCGTTCCCGGATTCTCCCCCTTTATTTATGTACTGTAATAATAGACGTCTTAACGGAATCTAATAAACGCTCATAAATGGCCCCCGCGTGATGTCATTAGCCTACGACCAGGACTTACCTGGGCGTTTATTTTTTTTTTCTTTCTTCCTTCGAACAAGAACGCGATCGTAATCATCTTGCGCGCGTCAAAGGACCCCTCTTTTCTTTCACGCCTTTCATAACTCCCGCACGTTTCATTATACGCACAACAGTTATTACATCGATTGTTATCTCTGATTATTACGCCCGTCGAGTGTCGTGCATTCCGAAAACAAAAAATGAGAGCATTCTTCTTTTTTTTTTTTTTCTGCAAAACATGAGAGAACGTATAACGCCGAGATATATATATATATATATATGTATAAACTCGAACTCTCGCTCGTCGTGTCGGAAGTGGATGAATCTTGTGCGCATCGGTCGCGCACGTCACGAGATGCGCGGATATATATCCGTTCGATGTATATCCGAGAATGTACCCCGTGATTTCGTCCCGATAACACAATTACGATCCTCTCTTCGTCCTCTTTCTCCACTCCTGCGAATCCTGGCAGTGAGAAGGGAAAATAGAGGGAAAGAGAGAAGAGGAGAGAAGCGTGGTGCCAACCCTCTTCCTATCTCTCCCTCTTTTCCTCTCTCTCTCTCTCTCTCTCTCTTTCTCTCTCTCTCTCTCTCTGTCTCTCTATTTCTCTTTCATCCCCTGTGCTCTGTACACGTCCCGCTGGCCCGAACCGACAGCCGACAGAGTAGCTTCGCTCGCTCTGATCCCTCGCAATTACTTCCCATTATCTAGGTATTAGGATTCACCCCAACTGGAAGCACGACGTGCCCCGCAGACGCCGCTTATACAACGAGCGCGCTCGCGCGCGCTCGTTGGAAAATCTACCATCTCTTCTCTGCAATATCGTTTCTTTTCTTAACAGATATACGGCCGATCTTGCCAATCTGACGTACGTCCCGCAACAGGTAGTAAAACCGGTAGCGCACTATCATTATAACCGCGTAATTATGCGGCACAGAGCGGAGCCAAATTTGTTTTTCCTCGTCACACAGTGTAGCTGTAATTACGAATTGATTACGGATTTTAATCGGGAAAACGTTACAACAATCGTAATCATCACGACGTTCTTAATGAGGGCGCGAGATAATTCGCAAATAGAACACGCGCCGCGCGCAGTATCGCGCGCGGGACGGGACTTTTATATATATTATCTTCGCCGGCTCGTTAGTTCTCGTCGAAATGTCTCCGGTCGCCGAAATGTCACATCGACGATTAACGAAGTGATTACGCGGAAAGAGATCTCGCGTTTATGACCCACGACGCAATTAAATGTCATTGCTAAACGCAAGTCCTTCTCGTCGTTTTCGTCGAGAGTCAATTTTCCAAAATCCTCTGGAGTTTCCTACAGTGAAACAGACACTCCGCGGTAGACGATCTTCTTCACGAATAGATATAGTAGTTGAACACAATCGTTGAATTTCGCGAGATAAAGAACATCTTCTTCTAGAGGAACCGCGGAGAGGAGTTGTCTATAAATCACACAGGCGCTGTAAATTCATTTTACGTCATGAGATTTATTTAAAAAGAAAGTTTTATAAGATTTTTAGAGACACAATCAGCTTTTATATGCATTAATTACGTATATATAATATATAACAATAAAAAAAAAAAAAAAGAGAAAGAATAAAATAATAACAAGTATAAAAATAATAACACAAAATAAGTTATACCGCTAACACATATAATAGCAATAATCTGGAGTTCGTCAACTTATTTAATAAATCCTCATGTCGCCAATCATCCCTGAGGTGAAACAAAAAATAATGGGTTTTTCTTCAAATCTCTCTCGCAAATTCTCGAATTAACGCTCCAATATGAACGTCACCCGGCACGTCACCCCGGAAAACCAAAGAAAAATTTTAATGAGATGATTCTTTCTTCTATTACGTTTTAAAATTTCTTACAAAATTTTATGTACGTGTGTGATATATGTGTGTGTATGAAGAATTACTGTATATTAACACATGTTTTTTTTGTTTTTTTTTTTTTTTTGTTTTTTTGGAATCTTAGCAATCTGGTGATAGATGTAAAGCTCTTCTGTGCTAAAATGCCAAAGTAGCATTCGATCTGTACAACTGTTCACGATTGAAACGAACGATATATTGGCAAAATAGGCTTTGTTAATTATTTTCTTTTATGTTTTTTAAATTAAACCGCATTCTGAATGGAGATTCAGAGCAGAAATATGATAAGTGTGTATGTTCGTGTTTCTATCTAGCGGGAAAGACTCATTGGATTGGCCGAGTAATTTCGAAGTGGTTATCGCATCGAAGAACGCGTATAATATTTTTCGTAATCTACTCGTTGTTCCTAAACCGCAACGTCTTCTCGAAAACGTATCTCTGTGTGTCGTCGATTTCTTTTTCCGCACGATCCGACGTCGACAAATGTCCAAACCTTTACTCTATACGTTCACTATGTAATGCCAATAGTGTATGACAGAGAGGAAAAACAAAATACTTCTCTTTGCCGATGAAACAACAATTTTGCTACTGACACTAATTTTCGCGGAACGAAATTCTAAATTTTCTCCACGTTTATCGGTTCCGTCTCGTCATGTGTGTGTGCAAGTTATTTTCAATTAATCAATTTCCGAACGTAAATCAAATTACCGTTATAATATATATGAACATTAGAAAATTAGTAAACGCGCGTACCTTAAGCCGTTGCTTTTCAATGTGTTTTATTGGATCTTTGTGTGTGTGTGTGTGTGTGTGTGTGTGAAGTTTAAATCAACATATAATATCGCACGGGGTGAAAGGCAAATTCTCTTCAGTGTTTTACGTACTTACATATGTAGTTCGCTTAAGGCAGGTCTATTAATTCGGTAACGTTCATAGTATTAAATTATTATAGTTCATTGTGTTCACATTATTTGTTTGATCTCTTTCATTATGTGACGTGTAATAAATACCTCTTGAAGAAGCAAATCGTTTCTTGTTTCTCGATCTTGAGCGCGAGACATTCCGGTATTCCTTGCGTTACACGGCAGACTTAAGGAAGAGAGTTTCTTCACTAAATTGGAAAAATTATATTTATATATGTTACATAATAAAACCGAATCGCTCTGCGTGAATCCGATCGTTATACGGATACTACAAAATAGTTATCCCATAGTGTATGTATGTACGTGTGCATGTGCGTGCGTGCGTGCGCGCGCGCGTGTGTGTGTGTATGAGACAAAAGATAAATTTCTCGTCTTTCGTCCGTAATTAATTAATATTCTGATTTTGTGAGGGAGAACGAGCGATTCAATTTTATTACAACATATCTCAGCGATGTTGACGCTGAACGGAATGCTGGCCGTGTTGCGACTGATGATGGTGCAGACCGACGGTGTGCGGATGATGCGGGGGATGCGAGTGCGGCGGCTGCTGCGGATGAATCGTCGTGTGAAGAATTCTCGGTGGCGTGTCGCGTTTCGACAGAGGTAGGGTTCCGCTTCGCGTCGATGTCGCCGTCAGTGCCGTCGACGTTGACGTCGACACCGGCATTGGCATCGCCGGTATCGGCGTCGCCGTCGGCGTCGGTATCGGGGTTGCCGTTGGCGTCGGTATTGGAGACGGTGTCTCGCCGCCAAGCACGTCGATCTCGTCGTCGTCCTCGTCGTCGGAATCCGCGGGAGCGTCGCTGCTCGCGCGGGAGTCGCGGCCGCCGCTCAGCGAAAAATCAACCGGGCGCTCTGTAAACAAATAAACGGATAATCAATATAAATATTGGAAAAAAGTAATATAGGGTAGACCGAGGCGAATCGGATCACAGGGCGAATCGGATCAAAATAAAGATTGAGATTATATTTATTACATTTTGACAGAATAAGATGTTCTGTCACATGTGTTACTTTGTTCCCCTTCTCTCGCGTCTAAAACAATTGCCAGTGCATGGATATCGCTCGTACTTTGTTGTTTGTTCACGTCGTAAGAAGAAACGACACAAAAGCTCGGTGAAATTTTGGCGAAAATCTAAAATATAATCACTGTTATATCTTGTATATAATAAAAAGGTAAGTTAAAATTGATATGTGAGTATTATTGTTGCTTTGCATAGTATGCTATAGTAATGTTTTGGATATTTTAAAGTAAAATAGTATAACATGTTTGTTAAAAATCTACTAATTGTATAATCCATATACATGGGGCTAATCGGATCACGTTTTTCGGGGCGAGCCGGATCATGTTTTTTCTTCTTTCTTAGTAATTATTTGATTCTAATAACGTAATAATTGATTTATAGATGGTTCGTACATATGTAAGAAAATCAAATGACAAATCATGGTGTCAAGAAAAAATGAACGAAGCAGTAAAGAAAGTAAAATCCGGAGAAATGACTTTGCGTCAGGCTTCAGATATTTTTAATGTTCCATATACAACCTTGCAGAGGCGAGTAACATGTCAAGACGTTATTAAACGCCGTGGTGGACAGCCAATTATGAATACAGTAGCTGAAAAACTATTTGCTAAACGCTTAATTTATTTAGCAACTCGGGGATTCGGGATTACACCTAAGAACGTCCGCAAGTACGCTTTTGATTTTGTAATTCGCCATAATTTAAAACATAATTTTAACACAAATGCAAAGATGGCAGGTGAAGACTGGTTTCATAGATTTATGCAGAGAAACAAAGAAATTACAATTAGAAAACCAGAAAGTTTATCTCGAGCCAGATGTAATGGCATGCAAGAAGAAAAAGTGAGAGATTTTTACAAGATGTTGGAGAAAGTTATTGATGATAACAATCTGTGGGACAGACCGGAATGTATATACAATCAAGATGAAACAGGGCTGCCTCTGAACAATCGTCCTCCCAATATCATTGCGGCAAAAGGAAGTAAAGATGTGATAAGTATGACTAGTGTTGAGCGGGGCGAAAACGTGACAGTTTTAGCATGCATGAACGCTGCAGGACAATTCATACCTCCATTCGTTCTTTTTAAAGGTGTGCGTAAACGAGATGATTTTATGATTGGTATGCCTTCTGGAACCGAGATTGTTATGACAGAAAAAGGTTGGATAACTGAAGATGCATTTAAGATGTGGTTGGATCATTTTAATCGCTACCGCACAAAAGGAAAAGTGATTTTAATTTTAGATGGTCACTTATCACACACAAACTTGGCAGTAGTAGATTTGTGTGAAGCTTCCGAAATTGAGCTCGTACTCATTCCACCACACACATCTCATGCTCTTCAACCACTTGATGTCTCTTTTTTTAAGCCATTAAAAACTTATTATCACCAACAAGCGACCACATGGCAACATTCTAACACAGGCAAAGGAATCAGCAAGATTGTTTTTGGAGGCTTATTAAAGCAGGCTTGGAATTTATCGGCAACGGTTGGAAATGCTACAAAAGGTTTTGAGAAGACAGGAATTTATCCATTAAATCTCAATGCCATACCGGCTCACAAGTTTGTCGGAGATAATACCACAAATAGTATCCACTTCATTGAGATGCCTTTAATGAGTAATGATACACAACTTTCTAGTGCTAGCAGTGAAATTGCCAACACCATAAAGGAGCTTCTTCCTCTACCGAAAAAAACAACTGTAAAAAGAACTAAAGCAGCCACAAAACCGATTTTGCATTTGACATCTCCTGAAAATAAAATACGACTTCTTCAAAAACTTAAAAAAAAA